CACAAATGGCTTTGTGCCAGGCCTAAACCGAGGCCAAGGAATTTGCGAGTTAGCCAAGCGTGGCCAACTTAGCCAGTTGAAAGTCAATTTAGCGGAATGTAGCAACGGCAAAATATGGGCTACAGCGTGTGCCCGTGGGCGGACTTTGAATATTTGTGTTGTTTTCCCAACTTGGAGCACATGTGTGGCGTTTGGGCAGGACTCTCCACGGCCTGGCACTTTGCATTTCCAACCCAATTGACTTTTAATGGCTCCATGCTCCTGGCAAAATAAACGCAGGCTCTCCTCGAGTGCCTGAAGAACATTTCCAGCGAAGTCGAAAAAAAGGGTCGCGAAATATTGAAATGGCTTTGGGGTAAGATAAAAAGCAAGCCTCTTACGAGGGCACTCTTCTTTTTGGGCAAGGCTTTGCCCAGGATGACTAACAGCTGCTCCGAGTGCCTCAAATCAGATTGGAAGTCCTCCACTAAATCCCATTAATGCCCAACAAAGCGACAGCTCACTTTGAGGGGGTACGTCCTGACTAATTACTTTTCACTTGATTTCCGAAGACGGCACGGGGCAGGTGACAAGGGGAACCATGATGTTCTTTTCACGTTGCACACGGCGAAAAATTTTAATTAATTTTTTGTTGAATTCTAATACTAATTCTAATTAATTCTAAAAAAAAATAAGACTTGTTTGAGGGATGTATGGTTTCTTTAAAGAGCAGTTTCTGAGGGAAGTGAGGTGTTCGACCCACCTGTTCCGCCTGCTCCTCTGCCTCTCTGTGTTGTTTTTGTTTTAAACTGTCATTAAATAAAGTGCGTGTGCATTTAAGCAGGCTTTAGGGCGGCGCATAAGCCTATTACGAGGGCGCCACCTCTGTTCCGCCAGAGGGAGAGATGCCTAAGAGCAAGAGAGGTGCGATTTGATTGCAGTGCCACTGATGAGGAACTGCCCTCCAGGTAGTAGAAATATCCCTATGGCCTGTGCTGCCCAGCCTGCTGTGGCCGTCCAATTTAAATTCATCGCTTTTCCTGTTGCGTTGCCAATTTGCTTTTCCATCACTCGTTTTTCCCAGGCTCACATCAAGCATCATCCAGGCAGCACAGTTTCAACCCCAAAAACCCTGCATACCAACCCTCTTTCCGTAGGATTCCAGCATGGCTCCCGTATCCCGTCCTTCCACAGACCCTAACCAAGTCAGGTTCCTTCCTGTTTGTCACGTGCCTCGATTTATATTGATTTCATTTTGATGGATAGATAATGTTGAATTCGCACCAAACGAAAACTCAGTTTTCAATAAACTCGACAATTTAAGCTATCTGGCAAAGCATCACCATTGATTAGCTGAAATTCATTATATAAATGGAAAGAATGGATTCAGTTAAAGCCTTATCTCAGTAAACATCTCTTCAGCTGCCGCCGCCCATTCACTAAATCCTTAGAAATGGAAGTCGTCAGGCAGAAGACACAGCCAAAATAAGGCCGGAAACAACTCTCTGGGCCATAGACATAAACCGTCCCGGAATGCGAATCAGAATTTAGCCGCAATCAGAACACGAGTCAGCAGTGGACCATGACCAAGACCACGACCAGGACAAGAACCGGACCACTCGGTCTCCCTACTTTTCCTACTATTCTCGTCTTGCTTGTTCCGGCTTAAAGTGGGCAGCAATTAACAAGGATAAGGCAAGCGTTGGCAATGAATGCGGGGATAGGGAACAACAACGAAAAGTGTATGCTCTACAATATGGAATCTCTCTTCCTCAAGAACATCTCCTGTAACTTTAATATACATAGGTTCAACAAGAGCAAACTAATGGCCACGCATTTATTTTGTGTCATCGCAAGCATATGCCCTAAATGATGGCACCACCCGCAAGGGTATATTGGCCAGACATCAGCCGCCTAAGCAGGCTGTTAAGGAGCCGGGGACTAGAAGAGCAGGCTGCGTGCCTGGCCAACATATAGAAACTCAATAGGGACGGCGGTATAAGCATCTGTCTGTCGTCTACCTTCCCGGAGACATTCTACATAATGAGGACTTATGAATGCGTAAACACATAAAAGATAAGAGCCAAGGGGGAGGGCGGAGCGGAAGGCGTCTTTCGAAGGGCGTGGCACGTGCTATATCGCACACTAATTGTTAGTTATTACAGTGCCGTCGATGTCATAAAGGATGTGCCCTTCCGGACCCGTCGATAAATCACTTAGGACCACTTGTGTGGCTGTCCAACTAAGATGGCTGTGTGGGCAACGGGAGGTGCCAAGCTAGGAGCCAACTCGGGAGGTGCCAAGCTAACAGTTACCAATATCTGGTGCATCAACACGATGTGGTTAATTCAACATTGGGACCCAGGAGAGGAGGGCACAAGACTCTGTCTGACTTTAGAGCGACTTGAAGGCGCATAGTTCCCAGGAGCAGGACTCCCTAATTACCTCTCCACTGACCAATGGCTTTAGGGTTTGCGGTAAACGTCCAACGCAACTACTCTCTCGTTGCGGCTGCAAAGTGTAACATAATTAGCTAATTGTGCGTTGGACATCTGAGGTCCACTCCGAGGCCCATTTGCCTGCGAATCAGTGCCCTATTTGCGGTGAATGCCGGAGGAAGCTTGCTCACGTGTGGTCTGGCTGGGAACTCAGTTACGTTGGCATAAATCAGATGCCCTTTGAGTTTGACTGTGCCGGCTGAATGGCCTCGCTTTTGGCCCCCCGCAGTCCGAATTTCTCCAGCTCCGGAATTATCTGCCGGGCCGTCCAGTTGTGATTAAGGGGGGGCGATAGGTCAGACGGCTGCCAGGCCCGCGGATGGACAGCTTGCTCCACCGCCCGGGCCCGAGGTCAGATTGGAGCGTTTGGAGTCCCCATTTATGGGATGCCAATAACTATTGACTCTATATTGTGCGTGTCAGGGGGTGCGGTTAGGAATGTCCTGGGATAATACATGCCGTGTTTGGCCAATTTACATACACCAACTCCTGTGGATGTGGCTGTGGTCTGTGGCCTCCTGATTGGCATCCTGTAATGAAATTTTGTGTGTGTGTATTTTGGGCCGGATTGTATTTATTGTCTTTCCAAGGCCTGTCCCTACGATTTCCGACATCGGTGTTGAGGGAGTTTTGGGTGGCACTGTGATAATGGTTCGATCTCTCGTACTGAACCCAAACTTCAAAGCAATTTTGCGATTTAGCCTTGATAAGGGCGACTGACGACCCTCAGAGGCCAAACAAATTGCATTGACGCTATAGGCCCATTTCGGTCTTTGCTGGTCTTTGTTGTCGTTGCGAGGAATAAGGCCTGTTTGACACACTTTGTGGCTGAATATTGATTTTAAAAATGTAATTTCGAGTATCTGGTATTATTTGCATACACTACGCCTTTGTGCTACCTTTTCTATAACTGAAAAAAATTAGAAATGAAAGCAATTCTCACATTTGAGAAAAAATTAACGAAGCTAAAATCATTTTGATGGAGGCTTTGAACAATTCGTTGTATGTTTTTGGGTGGGTTCTTCTATGAACAGTCACCTACAAATTCGGATAAGCTACATTTAAGTTTGTTATATTATTTCTCAGTTTGTAAAATAATAAACTATAAATTTAAATATGGCAATGGGTGCCTTATCATAAAATATTTACAAGGTCTGCAACATATTGTCTTAAATATATAAAAGAACGGTTCAGATATTGATCATTTCTCTTACCAAAATAAATATACCCAAAAACCAGAAGATAAGTTCGAAAAACTGAAGTTTGTATACTCTTGCAGTATAGTATAGTAATTTAATTCAGAACAAGCTACAACATTACTGGAGGATATCCATGCTTTTCTTCTTAAAACAAGCATAGCTCAGTCTTGCCATTAAAGGGTAGTCAGCTACACGATATGGTTCTCCGATCTGACATGTACATATAATCCCTATACCAAGTAAGTCAATCAGCCACTTACAAAAACCCTCGGAAATAGCATTGGGTCAAGATGAAAAGAGAAATTAGCCTAAACCAAAAAAGAGTTTCCCGTCTTGTTCTCTTTAAATATTATATAATTACAGAGGACCCTATTTCACATCCAATTTCGATTTATTTGTGCTTTTGGTTTCAATTTACAATGTTAATAGCAAATTGTTATACAATTAAAACGTAGTTAGTTATCCGTCGAATATAAATGACGTCTTCCAAGCGAACCTACCCTCCAGGGGTTGGGATCATCCCTCAATCCTGCGTGGCTCTGTTTAGTAACGAAGGCGGTCACTTACGTACCGACCCATAAGGCTGGAAAGCATTGAATACAGATTATTACTCAAGCTACGCAGACTTGGGTTTGTTATCGGTCAAAATCAATAATAATTTATGTATGTACATAACCCCATGAACCCAAACCGTGTGTGTACACTCATACCTTTACATCGGAAATCCTTGGTGCAGCAAGTTATCCAATTGGCAAAACTTTTTGGGACCATTAAGGCTCTGGAATACAACACCGGTGCTCTTAACAATTATGGAATTCATTTATTTACAATAATATTACGCTACACTCTCCGTTAAGCCTATTGATATATGTATGCATCGAGTTCACACTCGATAATTAGCTGGGGTTTTTGTGTCTGTGGCCATTAAATGCTATTTTATTGCACTCGGCCAGATAATTACAAGTTACGTTTAATGTGCTTAGTGACTTACCTAATTAACACATCACATACATACGACTAGGGTACGGAATAACACTACACAGAGATGCGTATTAATGCATAGTAGGTTTGCTGTAACATATATACAGTGGCAACTGGGCTCAGTGGAAGTGCTTCCGGTCCAGCTCTGCGCCAAAAAACAAATTGCCTGGTTAAGCCAGCCTCCAGGTGAGGGTGTCACAGGTGCAGAGTGCGGATTTCGGGATTTGGGTGGTGCTAATTCCAAGCTGAATCAATGGACCATTGTGTTCGCTTAGAGCTGCTCGTCGGCCTGCAACGATACCACCACCTCCTCCTCCTCCAGCAGCTCCACAATAAGCGTGCCTCACCTCTTCTCGCCCACGGCCACCGCCCGTCCGGCTGATCCGCAGCTAGTTCCAGAGGCTGTGCCGCCTCCAGCCGCCGCCCCATGGCCATTTCCATGCTGCAGTGGCATTGAGTCCTGCCTGTGAAAGCTGCCCACTCGCCCAGCTCCGCCTCCCAGTGCTCCTCCTCCTCCTACGCCTTGGTTGCTGTTCCTGTGCAGGGAGGCCCGCAGATTGCCTCCAGCTCCGCATCCGCCCACGTACGTTGAGCGTCGCATCGACATCACGCTGGTGTTGTCCATCATGCCGGTGGCCGTGGAGTGCTGCCGCAGGTGCGGCTGCCGCTTGACGCAGATGCAGCAGAGGTAGCGGTTGAAGTGCTGCCGGAACACCCCGGAAACGCAGTAAAGAGCCACGGGGTTTACGCAAGAGTTCAGGAAGCTGCAAATTGAAAGCACACGGCATGGTTAGTTTCAATAAAAGAGCAGAAACTGGCCAGTGGGTGGGTCTCAAACAGTTTCCATTGAAATTGTTCTGGCATTGTTAGACGAAAGAGTAGGTTGCATTCTATGGCAGTGGCCAGGTGCCATTCAAATTCGGCCAGCGGGTTTTAACTAAGAATATTTTCTGTTTGGTCAAAGTTTACCAGCTATCTGTTATATAGTATATCCTGGATATCAAACGGAAATAACTTTTTGAGGCTCAAAAATAAGCATATATAATCTATCTAGGTTTGCATACTTTTCTCTCTTTAAATTATTGACACTTTTACTTCATAAAATCCCATATAGATAGCCTTTCTAAACTAAAAGCTTCCATTCTAACTACTAAATTAGTTAAACCTGCAAGAAGGGTATCTACCTACACGCTAACAATCTGTTTAAATTTTAAAGTATCGTAGTTTTTCTCACTTCTACTATAGTATAACGCCCTAGCCCAACAGGTACGTGCTTTGAACACTTGAAAGCACTGACCGTATGCCATCAAACGACCATTTATATCGTTGACTTTCGCTGCTTAACGGTTACCATCCATCCTGGTCCCCTTTGCCAGCTCTATTTAGTGGCACATTAGTAGGGCTGAACCATTTGCATCCACTGGCCCAGAATTCAAATTACGTTCCCGTCCCCATCGCTGGGCAGCGAATTAAGCCACCAAATTGCTGACACATTATTTTGCGAGCTTTACTGCGCTAAGTGACGCCCAAAGTGGCAGCAGGACACTGGACAGAGGCCAGAGGGGCGGGTTGCAAAGTTGTGAGGGAGGACGGGCTGTCAACAAAAATAAACGTACTTCGCCAAAGTGGCAAGAGGAGGGAAAAAGGCAGGGCGGGCATAATCAGTTTCAATTAAAAAATATGCCAGAAGCGGTGCAGTAAAAATGCGAGTGGAAACTTTGAAGGAAAAAACCAGCTCAAGAACAGTCGTATGCAACTCTTTTTGGGTCCTTTCGGCACTCCTCGCTGCGGTATGTGTGTGCGGGTCTGGGCCATAAATTGTGGGACCCTCGAGGAATGCCAGGACTGCGAATGCATGCAGGGGACCAAGAAAAATGTCCTCTGAGCGGAATAAAAACTGCTGAGCCCGCCCGACAAAGAAACCCCCCACTTACCTCGTGCAGAATCCCACGATGCGCAGCACGTTCCAGAAGTCATCGAAGTCCTCCTCGGCCGTGGGGTAAAAGTGATACCAAAGCTCGAAGACGTGGTAGGGGAAGAAGCAGATGAAGAAGACTGAAAAGAGACAGTTCGAAGTCGATTAGAGGATGGCCGGGCAGTGGGCGGTGGTCTGTAGGCTGGTCAGATGTACTTACCCACCACGAAGGCCACCACCATGCGGGCCACATGACGCCGGGCCCTGGCCTGGGTGCGACTCTGCATACTCTGCTGCTCGCCCGGCATATCGCGCGCGCTGATGTGGAGCCTCTTGGCCATCATGATGTAGAGCGCCCCGATGATGGACAGCGGCAAAAGGTAGTAGATGAACGCCTTGGCCGCCACCATGTACCTAGAAGAGGGAGTGATTCGGTGACCCGGAAACTTGTGCTACTTGAACTGGAAACTAGAAACTGGTCCGGTTTTTGGCCAAAGTCGTCATGGGAATAGAGTCTCCCCTCCGCGTGGAGCACGCCATTTCAATTTCCGCTTGTAATAAGAGGATTGTGCGAGATTCCCCGCATATGCATACAGCACGACACAGACAGCTATTAAAATGGTCCTCCAAGGGACAGACATTAAATTTTCGTCCCCGAAATGGATGGCCAGAATGGCAAAAGGAGAATCAAAACCATTTCCTCCTCATTTTGTGTGCCTTAATGCGTAAAAAACACATGCCAGCAAGTGCTAAAAAAATAAAAATAAAGAACGGAGCATGTCGGCATGCCTCAAATGAAAAATTAGCGACTGGCAGCAGGGCGAGTAATGCCTTCAGGCAGCTTCTTGCCCAGGATTTGTGTAAATTACATCACAGACAGATTATGTGGCAACAGCTGACGCCAGCCGGTCGAAAGGATTTTCGAATTGCGCCACAGCAGCCACTTGGTGGGGAGGGAGAGGAGGAATTAAGTCCAACTGGCAGGATGCAGCAAAAGCACGTCAATAAGGAGTCACGGCATGGGCGTGCGCAGAAGGAGCAGCTGCATCAGGTGCGGAGGAGGGTGCATTAATACTTAATACCATCTACAGGTCGAGCTGATGCTGAAGATGCTGTTGCGGCTGCGGCCGGAGGAGCGCACTTTGAAGTGGTCATAAATTTGGAATTTGTGTGTCCTGATTCCCTGGAACCGCGTTTCAAGGTGAACTTACTGTGCATACTCCGGGTCGCGATAGGGGGAGCACACTTCGATGGTCATGTTGCCATTGGCCGTTAGCACGGGATAGGACTTGATGTCGGAGACCAGGAACGAGGGCATGCCCAGCAGTATGGCCAGGATCCAGATCATGACTGCGGTGAAGACAGTAAGCGGCTTGGTCTAAGGAAAAGATAGATACCCCTTTAGATAGACTTTTGGCAAGCCTTGTCTTCCTGCTACTTACCTGGAGCTTCCGCAGGGGATTCACAATGGCACAGTAACGCTCGCCGGAGAGGGCGGTCAGCGTGAACACGGACACGCCAATGGAGATGTCCTTGAAGAACTCGCTGATGCGGCACATGTTCCGCTCAAAGGGCCAGCTTTCCTGCGTATAGACAATGGTGGCCACGGGCACGCACACCAGAATCACTAGCAGATCGGCCAGGGCCAGCGAGAGGATGTAGCTAGAAAGAGGGTGAGAATTGGAAACACATTACTCTCTCCCCATTCGGATAGGACGTCAACCCGGTATGATTGGCGGTTCACTCGCTCGGAAGGAACTCTCATTCGTCCGGGAATGCCTTTGTGATGCTGCATGGAAAAGGGGAGACCCTTGACATGGGTCCTGGCGTCCATACCACACTCGGACGCCCTCAAAGCAATTCAGTGTCGTTCCGCTGGAGGAGCATGTAACCAAGAGCGGGAGTCAAGGTTGGGAAGCTTAAATTGTTATTAAACGAATGACAAGTGGGGGTGTTACTGGACTATTTATAGAATAATCCCTTGTCTATATCTATGTATGAGTGTGGGTTTCGACATTTTGAAGCACTGTAACCGCTGAAGCACTCGTTGAACTTGGGTCAAAGCGAAAGAGCGACGGGGGCTAAATCCCTTTGACATTGACACCCGCGACCTCCCACGTAAACCAGCTAAGGGGGGAGTCATTAGGGTTCCCGCCTGATTGCATGTGACGTGAATTCCAACCTGTGACACATGGCCAGCCCCCTTCAGTCTAGACAAGCAGTCGCGACAAAGTAGGCAAACGAACTGCAAACTTTTCCGTCGATGGCAGGACCACTATCGTGGACAATCGCTGGCGCAATCACAATTACTATTACAATCACTGGCGCTCTGATTGCAGCCAGTTCAGGCGAAAGTGTGGAAAGTGGCAATTTGTGGGCAATCAGTGGCAAATTATGACCACCTGCAGGTCCTGGCTAGGCTCCACTCACTCCTTCAGTGGGCTTCGGTTTAATAGAACTCAAGTTCAGAGGTAGAAAGGGCTGCTGCCCCCTGCTGTCACTCCGGCTCAAAGGACACGGAAACTTTTGATTGAATCTACATTTGAATTTATTCGACTTTCGCTACAGACTGCATAGTGGGTCTGGGTAAAAGTTAATAAACATTTGCATACCCAACCCCCCAGCTAAGCCGTCGCCAGCTGTTGGCAGCATAGTTTGGAAAGACGAAAAGGACTTGTCCTGGGCTGAATGTAAAGTGGTATTTGTATGCCCCATGCTGCGTACACGCAATCCGACGACATCCTTTTGGAATTATTTCAAAGTTTATGCAACAAGAACCAAGGGATGTAAACTCGGTTATCGATTCGAAAGTGTGTCAGCTTGCCAATGGCGGGTCAACCAGCGATCATGACTGAGTCGAAACCGAAATGTATCTGAGAACTATTAATATATTCAAAAGAGACAGCCGTCGCCTTTTTATATTGGCGAATTCACAGACAACAGATTGTTTGACACAATTTTCTTTGTTCGATTCTGCGAGACGGTCCCGACTTTAATTTACTTTGAGGGTCGGGCAAGGATGTGTCTTCTGGTTAGGCAATAAAATCAAATGCAGCTCATAAGTCGGCCCATGAATTTTGAGAAGCAATTCAAGGGCTGTTTCGGGGGAGTGACGAGCTCTTTTCGGGCCCAAATGTGCGGCCATATAAACACATTATTATTTATGGCCCGCGAGGGGGTGTCTCTGGAACAGGAAGCCCGTCAATAAATATTATTCCAGGCATCTCCTGGCCCGACCCCCGACGGCGCGCCTAATATCCACTTACGTGTTGGGTATGTTGCGCATGGAGCGGTGTCGAAAGAAGATGATGACCAGCGTGCCGTTGCCCAGCACGCCCACGATGAAGATGAGCGTGTACAGCACGGTGACAATGTATGTCTCGGGGCGATCCAGCACTGGCACATACGGCACCATGCCGCCGTCTATGCTGGCGTTGTGTTGCTCTGCGCTCGCTCCTGTTGCCAGGAGGACGCTGTCGTTGCCTCCACTCCCACTCCCATTGCCACTACCATCCAGGGGGGCGTGCGCCAGACTGGCTACCAGCGCCTGGGCTATGTCCATTTTGTTTGTATTCACGTTTTGGAATGTCGTCTGAATGCTGTTGTTGTACGTTGTGCGCTTTATGGCCTCGCTTCGGCCACTTCCGCTTCCGTGGGTCTCGAAAGCCGCAGGTCCTGTATTTTTTTTTTTTTTTTTGTTCCAAGCTTATGTCTGGGTCTGCCGTGGAACTGATGCTGCTGCTGGTGTTGCCAAGCTTCCGTGTTTTATTTTGCACATTGTGTTTGGTCTGGCTGTCGCTTGACTTTCGCCCGGAAGTTGCTGCTGCGGGAGAAAAAGACAGAAAGAGAAAGTTTCCGGTCAGATCGTATGCAGTTAATACCAAAAATTTAATTGGGGTTTGCAGCAGCTGCTGCGGCTTATCTGGACAATGCATTACCTATGCCACGCATAAATATCCGCATAAGCAGAGGGTGCAGCGGAGCAAATAGAATTTATGATTCGGCAGCTGTGTGTGTATCTGCATAATAAAGAATCTCCTTAACATGCATTCGTTGACCGTGTTTGCATTACACATTACGATTTTACAGGGCCCATAAACATAAATTGTACAAGACTTTCCCCGGAACATTCCGAGTCCCTGCTACATCCAATTATTTCTGGCCTTCCCCTGGCTCAGATTATTTCTCACGCTCGGCTGGTGCGAAGCTAACGTATCCCTAACCCGCTCCACGGAGCCAACTAATACAAAATCATTCGTGTAGAAGCAAATACTTTCAAGTCGCAATCAGAGGCACTTATCCCCCAAGAAGAAGGCAAGGCAGAGCCTCACGCGGAGCCGGAGTCTGAGGCGGACTTATCTTGGCAGCCTTCGGATTGTGTGGACGATGCTCCTCTCCGTTCCCTCTTGTTTTCCGATACTGTTTCAATTTCAATTTGATAGTAGATTGGAGGGCTGCCACCGATTTCGCTTTCGTTATTTATTTATTTCGATTGTGGCCTACGAGACTCATGCGTCTTGCCGAATGAAATTCCATGGGATTCGTGAGACTATTTCCCGGGAAAATCTAATCAAAGGGGCGGTGGAAAGTGCACTCACCTCACCCGCTGGTTTAACAATGCATTCACTTGGCGTAAAATGAAATATTTACTCAGAGCATCTTGAAAATGTTTGCTGGTCTTAAATTGTTGACTGAGGTAATAATTAATGGGCAGGCCATTTATTTTATTGTTCTTCAGTTTGGAGGTTAAATTTCTCTTCCTTTTTTTCGACACATTAGACTGAACAATGGCCCGCCATAAAGGGTTCATATCAAAGTCATTACACAAGGGTTTCCACCCTCCTTGATACTCACTGACCTCTGCCCATGACTTCTAAATGGAATCGGGGTCAATTGCTGCTCAGCCGGACCTAATAGCTTGGACAAGAGCACGAGTAGCAAAAGCGTTGGGAATAAATAAAATTTCACACAAAGTCAAGCCCATGTAATCATCAGGGTTGTGAGCTTTTATGATTTCTTACATCTTTTGTGTGTGAATCGAACTTGAACTTAAGGCACAGCTTTAAGGACTGGCCTGCTCTTTTTTTTCGACCCAACCTGAGCCCTCTGTTCTGTGGCTTCGTTTCATCTTGTCCCTCATAAATTCACTCCGCACGTCAATTATTTATGCCACTAAAAAAACTGTCAGCAAAATGTCAAATATATAGCTTCTGGCACCAACAAAAAGGAAAACTTTTCGCTGTTTTTTGGCTGTAAGAAAAACTTTTGAATTAGGACTTTTTTTCGTTTGCGTAAAGCGGAAAAGTTAAAGTTTGTGGCAGTGGACATGCAATTTTCAGTGAGTGTTTCATAGTGTTTCCTTGGGGACTCCAAAAGTCATCACCAGTGGGAGAAATGATTAAACAGAAAGACAGACAATCGATTTAATAGAATTTTATTTGTACGTTCGTCTCATTAATTTCATTCGTGTCTCTGCCATTTCAGGACCTTAAAGAGTGCGGTGAGACTGTAAAACGCAGCCTTGGCAGCCATAAAAAGATGTTGTAAGCGCTTGTCTAGGTAAAAACATTTATTTATGATTTAGGCTCATTGTACGAGCTGAAACCATTCCATTCCCGGTTTAAGGGATGCCTGCCCACCCGTAGCTATTGTTTCACAGAGGATACCAGGACTCCCTGCCGCGAGACAAAGTCAGATAGGACTTGCGTTTTTGTAGCCAGAACTGGTTGCCGCTCTTACGTGTCAGATAAATCATGGGGCAAACATAATTTAATACACTTGCGTGCCTCGGTTGTAGCTGCGGCAACGCGGCGTATGTGTAATGCGGCATGCCGGTTAATCATACGCCGTGTGTTTTATTTGAGCAGCCAAGCCGAATAATAAGCTTAAAGTTGCGCTTAGCGACGCTTTAAGGTTGCCAGGAATCAGAAAACACAAACCAGAATCCATCACTGCACAGCTCCTCGCCTAATGGCAGCTCATTATGGCCCCTGCTGCTCTAATTAGAGTCAAAAAATATCTGATGTGCCCCGAGGATGGGACGCAACCCCCAAACAGGACATATTTAATATGCGCTGAAAGGTCCGCGAATTATGCAAATTTTGTGCTTGCCCATCTATTGCGACAAAATTATGCGGCATCGCCACTGAGTTACTGAGTTACGGCGCCGAAGTCCAGACACAGCAAGATGAACGTCCCAGCCTCGCCCAGGGTCCTGGCCATTAGGCACCATTGAGGATGATTGAACGCAGTGCGGGTTAAGCATTTCCGGAGTAGGTTGGCCTTGCCTTAGATGTCGCCCTAAGTGAACACTCATACTTCTCGAACGAATACGTAAACACTCGTAAATCGGCAGCTAGTTTCCACGTTAAATTATCAGTATGTCGAAGAGGGTGAGCATTGTGCTGCCCGACGAGATGCCCTTGGGCTTGTCAAAAAGCGAGGATGCGCCAAAACCCAAGGCCAACCTAAAGAGCTCCATGAGAGCAGGACCCAGCATCAAATCGGATCTTGTGCCACCCGTGTTTGTGTTTGTCAGCCCGGAGATCAGTGCGAGTTCGGAGGTCTCAAGTCCACGGCCCACATGCAGTTCCCCCAGCGGCATGTCCCTCAACAATTGGATGCGCAGGGATTCTTCTACTGGAGGATCTTTGGATGCTGAATCACCCGCAGAGAACTGGACTATGATCCGCAGTGGGTCATCGAATAATAACTTGGATACCTCCTGTTCTTCCATCAAGCAGTTCCTCAGGAGCACAGTGGCCTTGGTCAGAGCAGGAGAGTCCTTTACGTCTGTAAAGCACCTTTTCTACAACTTTATCAAAAGCAGCAGCTACAGCTCGCATTCCAGCCCCTCGGAGGAGGAGCTCTCAAGTCGGCGGATGACTTCCTCACCCACTGCCTCCCAGCTGGTCCGCAGGGAAAACCCCTACCTCAGCGAGTCGAATGATACGATTACGTCGAACAACAACTCGCCCCAGTTAACCATTCCCTGCCCTTCGCAGATGACCACTTGTACGCACCGCTCCAGCTACTCATCCAACCCCCTGAAATACGAAATGTCGACCAGCTGGCTCTCAGACGTCTCCCCGCTGACGGGTTACACGCCCAACTCCACCGAGCTGAGCCACAAGGAAGTTGGCTATCAGAGCGATGTCTCCCTGAAAACCTACGCCTCCGTTCAGGCACAAGCGAAGAGCCAAGACACAACTTCCATTCAGACACAACAGAAAAGCCAAGAAGACGTTTTGGTAGACTCAACTTTAATGCCTGCTGAGGGCGGGCTGTCATGTTGTACCTCGGAAAAGGACTTGAGTCTAGGACAATCTCAGGGCGGAGATATCAAGACATTGCCCGAACTGCCAAAGACTTTAAACCTGTTGAGCGATGCCTGGGAAACCAACAAGGTTCGCAGATCCGGGGGCTCCAGCAATAGGTCCTTGCCACACATTAAAAAGCATACAAGAAAAAGTTCACCCTGGAGATCTCCCAAGATGTCACCTAGGAGACAGGCCCCCAAAACGGCGGCATCGGAACCCACCATCAGCGCCCCTGAAACCCATTCCCAGGACAATCGATCGGCGAGATCGAGTGGATCAAGCCAAAGAAGCAGTCGGCTGACGGTCAGACAAGCTGAAAAGAAGACGCCACAGGTGTCACCCAGAAACTCTGTGACTTCTGGCATGTCCCAGAAGGTTGTCGAAGTACAGGACATGGAGCCAAGTTCCCAGATTGAACAAATATGCAGATCCTCCGAGGCCACCGGACCAGAACGGAGTAGCCAAATGTCCCGTAGAGTAAATTTCCTGTTCACCATTGTAAGTCCCGAGGAGGGTGGCCCCAGCCAACCAGAAAATAGCACTGAAAAGGACATCGAAGAGCGTTCTACCTGTGTTACCTACCAGGAGGAGTGCAAATGTCACCACTGCCAGGACATGCGGAGGGCCGTCAGGCGGGTAGAGTACTTCCAGTCGCCCGAGGGCCAGAAGCGTATGGAGTCCAAGCTGCTGGCCAAGAACTTCTTCATGGATCTCTGTGCTCTTTCGAAGGTGCGCAAGGAGATCCAGGCCGACCTGTATGGCACTCGAAAACATCCTTCGTCGCGCGTCAGCTATCCGGTGAGCATCTGTGGCGCTTGCCGGCTGGACGGCGGATCCCTGACCCTCAACTGGTTCACCCACGACCTGGACTGTGTGGACCACTTCGAGTTCTTTGTGGACGACAAGCGGAGCAAGAGTGTCTTCAACAAGCGGGCCACCTCCACAGTGCTAATCGATGTGAATGCCTCGACGGAACATCGCCTAAAGATGCGCGCTGTGCCCGTGCGAGGATGCGGGCCACAGGACTCGCCTGTGGACAAGCTGATGTCGGAGGTGGCTGCCGGCCACATGAGGAATGTACGGCAGGGCCAGCTCTTTGCCAGCTGCCTTAAATTCCTGGACGCCCAGCCACAGCGTTCGCTGGTGGATTTCTGGACGGACAGCGAGTTCCTGTACCTGCCCACCTGTGACCCGTCGTGTCCAGGCCAGAAGGGCCGCTAATAATGATTTATCATAAGTGTAGAGTCCAGTTTGGAACAGTTGGGCAAACATAAATTGATTACTTTAATTTTGGTGTGTTGCTGACTAATCGCCGGACAGGGGTGGTTTGGGGAAGCCCCTTCGGAATCTGTTCAGGCCCTGGCACTGCCTGTGGCCATCAGTCAACGAGGCGTGTAGACAACTTCAGCTGTCGCCTTTATTTAAAAATTTATCGTAATCTGTGCAGGCGCCCGTCGGCCTCCAGCGGCATTTCAGCGGCCGGCGATGATGAAGCTGTGTGCCTTTATCAGTGGCCCACAGGCGCGTGGCCCTGGAATTCGCCGAGTGACTGAACTGGGTCTGACGTAGGCGTCTCACTCGCGCGGATCTGTCAGAGATTTCGGCCACGATGTGGCATGATTAATTATTTGGCAAATATTTGAGGCACCCGCCGCATGCTGCCATGGAAATTGGTGAAAATCAAAATAAGAGATGCGTACTCGCAGTAAACAGGAGCAAGTTTGGTGGGGGAAACCCAATGCGCTGAGTATTTTAATTAATTTTCACTTTTGCCCGACTAGTGAGCATTCCATTGGCCATGTGATGGACAGCTGGGCCAAGTGCTCAACCTCCCTCTGGCCTCTCGGAAATTTGGCTTTTGCTTTGTTTGGTTTCCTTTGGCGCGCGTGATTGCTCTCGAAATAAACAAGGGGCTGTGCAGTCGTAGTTCATTTCCGAATATTTTCATTATTTTCGGTAATTTTCAATTATCGCCGATGCTCTCCGCAGTCAGCAGGTCATTTCACCAATTTTCATCCCTCCAAGCTCTTGGCCGTGTGCATGTTGCCACGCGGCGGATACGCAATTTATTACAGTCGCATCTCGCGGCGTACTTTCAATTACTTTTTATGGTTATTATCATGGCCCCATGCTCTGCTCTAAGGCTGCTTTATGTGCTGCAAGCAGTTGGCCGAATATTTTAATTGATTTCATGTGGTCGGTGCTAGCAATTTAGCCCCTACTCTCCGCCCGATCCAAATATTTTGTAAATATTTGGCTATCTGGCAGACAGTGCATGTCCATCTCCCCTCGAGTTGTTTACGCTGGGCTTTTTATAGCGAATTTCTTTGCTCCATATCAGATCATCTAATGGCTGAGAGATCTTTGGTTATTTTTCTAGGATTTAATCAGCCTTAAGTTGTTTATCTCGCCCATAAAAAGGTGGGATATCGGGTAGCTGTGGTTCATATCTGCAGCAGGTAATATGCGCAGACTGCCGGTCCAGAACAGGTCTCCCTGGTCTGCCCTAGTGGGAGAATTTTGCGATCCAGACACTCACTCGAAAATTCATTACAAATTGTTTAACTGTGACAAGTGGCCCCCATGAGAGCCATGTATCACAAAATGTTTCGACACTGCCAGTTGCTCGGAGGTGAGCTGGGTGGTTGCCCTGGACCCCTATCTTCCCTCATCCTTTCCCGCATCCTTGTTTGCTTGTCAATACTACACACACTCCCATATGATGCCACTGACAGGGCTCTGAGCCATTGAATTGAATTTTCGCGGTACTGTCTCCTACTCTGGAGGGGAAACTGAAAAACACGAACGGTCGAAGCAGAGCACAGTCGGTCGGAGGTGAAGCAGAACTGGCTGTGGGTGTGGCTGTGGTATTTCTGAAAATAAGTCTAGTTCGAGTGACTTGGACAGGAATGTAAACACGAACAGCAATTTTCTGAAGAGAACTTGAGGCGTGAGCAGTGGAGCGTTTTTAAAGAAAATAAAAACGAATAACTGACGACGTTTTAAGAGCTAGATTTAATATTTGGGTTGTTCATTTCTTTTAATTCAAACTTTTCTGCCGAAAAGCATATTTTTTGAGGGGGGGAAATATTTTTAAATTTATTTTCTTCTTCTAGAAATTACCCAAAACATAATACATATATCTTAAGACTAGTGTTGGGTTGCAATAGCAATTGAACATATTCAACCAAATTATCAGCATACACCCAACATTACTTAGGACCTCTTCATCTGCTTTTACCAGTTTTTTTCAGAGCAAAACTTCTCTAGCAAAAAAGTACAATTTTCCAGAACAATTCCGGGCCACACTAATTGAGTTTGGTGGCTCGAAACATATGGCAAAACTCGCCGTGGCCAGGAGCAGGCTTCCCTGTGATGCTTAAGGAAAACTCAACTCGGACGCCCAGCTGGCTGTGGTTTGCGGCTTAACTGAAGCCTGATTTGGCCAGGCCAAAATAAATTAGGACCCCAAGGTAGCCAAATAAAAACAATTTTCCCAGCGCTCAATGGGAAATTAAGCGAAAACACAAAGGGCGGTACGCCCACGCTGGAGGAGAATCGGTAAATGAATTTGTATGCAAATTAATCATTTGCCTTTTATTTGATTTTTTCTTTTCATTTCATTTGCATTCCCCCTGCAATCGCATTATTTGCTAGCTGAAAAGATAAATGCGAACACAATTCTCTTGTTCTGAACGAGGTGGAGCTGCGACCAATGTGTGGCACACGAAAAAGAATAAAAGATACAAGATACAAACGTCTTTCTTCTGCGGTTCCTTGGGATTATTTATAGCCCTTTGTCCGGGTCCGTGTCCAGTCGGTAACTGGGGGAATTGGGACACGGAGAACGATTTTATGATAAATGGCTACAGTTAATCTTTGGGTCTGAGTGGCCCTGAAAGGGTGACTGTTGTGTTATGCCATCTCGGACACTCAAGAACCGGACTTTCTAACGTAGCCACCTGCCAGAAGACGGCCTGGCCTCATTTCCTCAAAAGGAGTAACTTTCCTTATTTGATTAATTCACACCCGTTGTGTCCATCAAACCACCATCATCATCATCGTTCTCCCACTGGTTGATCCCGATGTGACAGCAATAGCAAAAACAGAAGAAGCCTCGAAGTAAATCACTGCCCGCAATAAATCATTCGTCCAGTTCAGAGCATTAGCCGCGGACGCACAGTAACCGCCGGCGATGATTGGAAAGCCACCAAAGTTCCATTTATCAAGAGAAGGAGCAAAGCGGTTCGAGTCCCATGAGCCAAGTAATAGCGGAAAATAAGTAATATCTCATTATTGGACAGGTGAGTCCTGTCGCAGCGACAGCAGACGAGCAGTTGAACAGCTTCCTGTCAGCGACTCCGCTCACCTGTCAGCCACAGAAGGCGACAGGTGACGGCTGTCCCTAGGAACGACTGCCTACGCCGATATCCCTGATATCCTTCGCATATTCAATTTCCCATTTATGCCACGCACGGCTGACTGGAGAGGTAATTGAATTCGATCCGCGCGTTGCAAGCTGCAGCCAAAAGGCGCACGTAGAAACTGGATTTCCCCACAAGGCCAAGGTGTGAACCAAGTTGCCGCCCAGGAAAGAATAACTAATTCAGTGCCCGGGAATCCTGCGCCTGCCTAATGGGCACATTATGAAATTCATTTACAGAATGGATGAGGCAAACATCGTTGCATATTCATCAGTTAATAGGCGGCACCACGTGCTGGTCCAGCAGCCTAATTATGCCGGACTCATCATTGCCGCAATCCGAGCAGGAGCCGGGAGTTGGTAGTGCCTGGTCTGCCTGGGCCATTAATAACTCGCGCAGACATTAATCAGTTTTATATAGCAAATTAATTCCCCCAGCCTGGCGAAAGAAAAAGTTGAGGCCAGCGAAAATGGCTTTAAAACTGCTAGTAACTGGGGACAAAGTAAGTGCAAAAAAAAAAAATCTACAATAGGAAATGGCGTTTGGAGGAAGCGGAAATCATAACGAATGCTTGGCAAAACAACAGGAATAATCCAGAGTTCCCATTTAGGCAGCCTGTCGTTCAGTTTTAAGAGCTTTAGGGTCTGCAAACGGAATTGCAGAGCGAAAACTCAATAAGGAGATTGGAATGTTGCCGACATTTAATGTTCTCATCAATAAATCAGCCAACGGAGCGGGGGAATCTTTAAGCCGGCGTAGCAATTTGGATCACAAAAAGCTATAAATGCCTTCGTTACACACATAAATATCAATTTTCCGGGGTCCCTATTGACAACATGCGCTCGCAAATAAAATATAATTTATTATTACTTACTTCGCGAGAGATTGAAAATCATGAAAAGCCAAGGGACCAACAACAGCCCACACCTGATAAGGGCCTATACCAAATTTATGGCATTCCCAGGGATGTATTTGTAGGCAATTAGGCGGGGAAAAATAAAGAAAAGCGAGTAGGAAAAGCCAGCAGTGAGGATGGAAAACTTTTCTAGGGAAATCGCTGTCATATTTTGCTCGGCAATCAAAGAAACTTTCCCCATAGAAATATGAGATTGAGCTCCGCTTTGACTCGCCCGACATAATAAATCCCTCAGTTAAGCTGCTCAAATGCAAATTTTTCGCAATGCAGCCATGTTGACACCATGCAATCCATTAACATCAACCTAGAGCCCTGCCAGCCGTCCTCTCCGGTGACCACTCCATCATGTTAGTGGGGCGAAACGAAGGATGTGGAGTAAACATAATGTTTGCATCTGTCATCACAGGCAACGTCCATTGCGGTCGAGTGGCAGCGACTGACAACTGCCAGGGGCAGATTTAAAACTTCGATATGCCCGGCCGCAAAGTATTTGGTTAAATAGGAGAAACCATGCCCGCAGAAAGTGCGGGAGTCAAGTGCAGGACCTAAACAAATATGGCCCTGCGGCCACATTACGTATACGCGATGTGTGCGTCATGCGCTATTTCAATTTTATTAGCCGCAAAACTTTTCGGGCTCCAAAAACCCAGCAATTGCAGCCGCAAAGGGGTGGCAAAATCCTGGGTAGCAATAAGGTTATATTAGGCTGTGAATATACAGGTTTCTTGTGCTTTATACAGAATATCAGACTGTCGCATCAGGCGGAGTTTGTGGCAGCAAAATTTTTGCCATTAAATGAAGCGCGACGCTGCACGGAACGCGTGAAACTTTCCATTGTGGCGCCGACAACAAACAATTACACAATCCAAAGAAATCAACAGACAAAGTGTACGCACTAATTAGGGGAAACTCGGGAGCTTGGGGCGTGGATATCTGGATGTGGCACTGATTGCGCCGCTTAATTACCCTTTCCCGAGAAGTCACCTATCATCATAAGCCATCGGGTGAGTGACAAATTTGATCTGATCGCTGCCGATGTGGCCCTGTCACGTGCTGGCTGTGCCAGATTGACTTATGCTAATTTCCTCCCTCTGATCATCCGTGAAACTCACCGAGAGAAGTGACACTGACAGGTACGGGAATCGAATTGAGACAGGGATTGTGCTGAAGGATTTCCCCTCCTTATCTGCAGCTTATCCTCGCACTGTATTTATTTTAAGCTGTAAACATGCCAGAAAGTCGGGGACTTTCCAGGATTGCCTTTGTGGCTCTTTTCTCCCCGGATCCGGGTCCGAGAACGTACGCAGTTAATTAGATCCTAGAGACCCCGCTGGCCTAATATGGCAATCGGAGCACACAAGCGAAGGCCAGCTGGGGGAGTCGACCCTCGGCACTGACCGCCTTGGAAACAGGGCTCCTAGGAACCCAGAATTATCTCCGCTGAATTATGGAATAATTTGTTGTGCGAATCGCGCAAGAGAGGAGGAGGAGGAGGAGGTCTTTAAATGGTCTTGGGATGCAATCCGAAAGTATCAAGTTTAAATTCGATTATAATATTTTTAAGGCTCACTCGCTCATGAGGAAGCGATAAGAAAATTAGCTGGGCGGAGTAGTAACTTTGGGGTTGTCAGGAAAATAAAAAAACCAAGATGCTGTCTGTCTTTGGCCTATTTGCCCCCCTCAAATGACGACACGTTGTGACGTAATTTAATTACATTTGTCGAAACTTTTTCGCATTCAAACAATGAGTTTTCTGTTGATGCCTGCGAGAATAAATAATTTAAAATCTCTTTTTGTCCCTGTCATCAGAATATCACAACTTTCTGCCTTCTGTTGGCATTTATGAAAAATGGGAAAAGAATGGGTGAAACAATTACAAGGATTACACTGGAAAGAAAGGGTTAAAGGAGTCAAAGCAAGTCAAGAACTTGAACTGAAATTTACAAAAAATTAAATCCAGGCATTTTAAAAAACTTACCAAGGCTACAGGAACTAATGATACACCAAAAAAACTTTAATTGATATTAAACACTTCTTCCAAATTTAGTTTGTAGTTGAAAACAGATTTTAGTTTTCCAGAAAAACTTGACACTGCAGTATAACACTATTGGGTTTAACTCCTTTGAGCGAGTATGGAGCACCGGTTACTTGGTTCATTATCGGTTTGTCAGCTTACGTTACGCCTGACCCAGCGACCTCGACCGTTCCGGCTGAATCCGTGCACAGGACTAACTTGGCCAAGTCGCCGGATCCGGCGCTAAGGCCTGTGGCTCCAATGCGTTCCAAAAGCGCGCCAAAGCCAACGTCCACAGTGTACTGAGCGAATGGATTCCACCATGTGCGAGAAAGTGCGCACACTCCGCTTGCCGCCTGAAATAGGCGCCGTGGGAGATGTTCATCTTTGGAGCCATCTGTTGCCGGGGCTCCTCTGCGAATTTCATTCATGAGTACGCGTACTTTTACGCTCTCAATGGAAAATAGACGAAATACTTAAGGCCTTCTCGCCTTGGTTTTATTTCTAATGATTTTTATTTATTTATAGCAGCTATTTGGGTCTGTGCTTAACTTACTCAGAATACCCTGGGCAAGGAGTCTGGTAGGTGGCATGACGTATTCCAAGAATAAAAGCCATTGTCTTAAGGTGACATCTACTAGGTGAGAAAACAAAAGGAAACCCCACGGATGTCACATGAAAAGGTCTTTTTAAAAGAATACTTGGAAGTATTCCATGTATATTAACCTTGCTAGATGCTTTTTCTAATAGTTAGCACTGGGAACAGTTAGGAAAAGACGTCATAAGTGATCTCTGGACAAACTTACATAGCTAAACTTGCTTAAGAACTTTAAATAAAAACCTAGCAAATAAGTTATGCAGTGCAATTCTTCAGCAAATAGGTATTTACTTATAAAAGCAAATTGCGACGTTGTTTTTACTAATAAGTAGCACTAAATAGCATTAGGTATTACTGGGAACAGTTAAGAAAAGACGTCATATGTGATCTCAGGGCAAACTTACTTAACTGAACTTGCATAAGAACTAGAAATAAAAAACCTTACAAATATTTACATTATGCAGTTCAATTCTTTTGCAAAAATGTATTTACTTGTTGAACAAATTTGTTTGCTCTTCAGCAGCTGCAGTGGCGATTACGTTTGATCGGTTCCCTGGGCGCTGATATATAAAAGCCAGCCGACTTTCAGTTCACCCTTGAGTTTGGAAAGAGATCAGTCAAGATGATTGCCACGTGGGTGTGCTTTTACCTGGTGCTCATTGCCCTGTTCATGACGTTCCTGGCCCCCTCGGCCGAGGGCTGCTTCATCCTGTTGGCCTGCCTGCTGGCCTCTCCCTACTGTCCCTACAACGTGACCGCCTCTGGATGATGGATTACACTCTCAACCCTCCCACACCGAATAGTCAATAACCCTTTGCACTGAAAATATAATCACGATGCACCATAATAAGCTCTGATTTCAAAGGCTTCTCTTATGAGGGGTTTATGCCATATAAGAAGGTTGTGGGTGAGTGTGAACTATTGGGAATAGGAAGCTGGTTTCATTTCATCTTCATTAGGTATTTCTATTTGGGTTTCCGGAACTAAATAAATCTCGGCTGGCAGCATTTAAGATTCATTACCTCGACTACATTTTGAGCTTCAATTCAGACACGCCAGAATGGCGTTAGGCACTCGCACGTGTTGCACGCGATTGTTTGTCCAACTGGGAGCAGCCCACCCTCTCAGTCGGACTACCTGGCGTATGAGTGATATTTAATTAATTGCCATCTCTGGCTGTTTGTACTCGGTAAATTTGAATTACATACCGGGCAAGTCAAACAGCGCTGCAAAGGCGGAGGCAGAGTCAGGGTCAGGTGTTCTCGGGTTCGCACACGCGTGCCGAGTCCTCCCATTGAGGTCACCACCCCGCAGGCTCCAGTCTGTCGTTGGCTGAGACGAGAAGTAAAAAGCCATTTGGAGCGGAGAGCGGAGAAACTTTGACACGACTTGGCGACGACAGCTTGCTACATTGTGGCGCCTGCACACACCTTGGGCTTTTTACACCTTTCCAAACACTTAAAGTTGACTTAACACCGATTTGGTCAATTGTAGTTGCGAAATTGGAAAAGGTCTGCGCGGTGCCACCGTGGGACGTAAAGGCACGAAGAGCAAGGCAACTGGGTCTTGATAAAAGTTTTATCTTAAAGTTGACATAAGTTAACAGGGGATATTTCTGCTGTACTAGTTTAAATTTTACGGTAAAAGGAAGGACTCACCGACCTCCTAAAATGTATATATTCTTGAACAGCATCGCATTAGCCAAGCCAATCTGAATGTCCATATTCAGGAAGTATAAGCCTTAGATGTTAAAAATATGCGTAACTTTTATAAAAAATCTGATGACAAACAAACATAGTGTCATAGCAGCGAACGATATAAAGATACCACCATTAGAACCTAGCAAAATTAAGTCAAATAAATGCACAAGCCTTGACTGCTAACTGTTTAACAATTTAACAATTTAACCCCTTTAACTTTTTACCAAAATTTTGCTTCCACATTGGCAGCTTCTTTTGTACTTTGTGTTGCTACTCTCGAGAGCCAAAACGATTTGCGGTTTGCGGCTTGGAAGCCGTTCCTGTTGAGCACTGGGCAGCAAAAATGCTGTCCTTTGTGTGTACTAAAAGGATGCCAATTCAGGTAATTGTTTGTTTGCATTTTGTTTTTTCCTCTACCAAGCTAATTAAATGCCAATTGGCTTGAATCGGTCCAGGCCTTCAGCTTCCTTGGAGTGCAAACAGAAGCGAAGCGGGGGAGGCATCAACCCAAACCCACCAGGAGGTTGGCTACGTACTGCCTACGCTTGGATCATTTATTGATTTCTTTGGCTCTCCTTACGCATTAAGTGAATAGCCCGGGGTGAGGTAGTATCTAGCATATATATAAAACGTATATATATATAAATATATTTTCAATTTAATTTTCATTTGCCATGATGAATCTCTTCCCGGGGACCGGGTATAAGGAATGCGGGTGAGGATTCGTTTGACTCGCTTGGAAATCGCACACATTTTTGAGGCAATTGCTGACGAAATGTTAATTTTGGAACCGACATGCAAATAACATGACACCGCAAGGACGGATGGTTGATTGGATAAAACTGGCTATAAAAATTCGTCTCGCTGACTCCCACACATATTCAGGGGAATTCCCTTTGGGTGGACAATCAACCCATGTTAAATAAATTCCGGGATTCAATGGAGGAGCTTCAGGCAGTTTTTACAAACACCAATCAGGGATTGTCTTTAAATGTAATAAAAACTATTTATACTTATAAAAAAGATTAAAATCCTGACAATAAATAGTCCAGGATATCAGCACAGCTTTCGCAATAGATTAAGTAACAATCTGAATCCTTTTCAATCGTATTTTAAATGTCATGACATTAAGCAACAGCAAAACCAGCAAAGCGGAAATAATTTAAGACAATTTCTAACCCAGAAAGTTGACTATTTAATTTCCATAAAGTCACTGCGTGGGGTCTCAAGGGGTTGGAGTCCCGAGGCTGGACATTGTTTAATGGTTGGGTAACCCAATATGATACCTAGGACAGGGCATTTTCGGGGGGTTTTAACAATTTGTGTTCATTGTGCGGCTGGCCAAATCCATTAATGTGTCCGAATCCTGTCCTCATTTCCGTCCGACAGAGCTGCTTTGAGTCTGAAATTACGCAACCTGGACACGTGCTGACAGGGGGCGAAAGTGAAAGCCGCCGTTGAGCGAGCTTTGCACTTAATTAGTGCAAGTAACTAATGACAAACTTTGCACTTGCCGCAAACTTCGGCGCTTACTTGGGCAGCAGGCCAAGCGGAAAGCACAGGAGGCAGTGGGTGGCTCTTCTCCTTCAGCTGACGACATATCTCATTGTACCCCCGGACCCCGCCTGAATGTCAATTAAGTGGCTTTCGGAAGGGTTCTTTATTTATTTATAAATCGGTCGGCTTGTACACAAAAATTACTCAAATCAGCCGCCAGTAGCTACAGTGGTGGTCTTGAAGGGGCAGATTTCCAGCCGGTAAACGCAAGCCCAAAATAGGAGTGTCGACTCGGCCGTAGAAGCCTGGCACACGAGCAGGACGGACACCAGCAGCAGGTAGAGCCACAGCACGGAGATATCCATGGTTGAGAGTAGCTAATAGAAGCTTTCCCAATGATCGTTGAGTGCGTATTTATAGGCCCGCGAATCGGTCCGATTCTGTTTGTTCAGATGCAACCAGACAACCAGGCTGCCCTGGACAGGCCTGGCCTGGCTTGGCTGTCTTTGACCCGCATCGGGGTAAACATTTGGCCAGCCCACAGCTAACTAAGGCCCATGGCCAGCGCGACCTTAAAGCCCGGCCAGCAGCACATGAAACGTAATTTCCACACGCATTTGGCACATTTTGCAATGGAAATGAAATTACTTTCAACCTTCTGTGTGGTGCGTGGGAGGGCCTGCCTAATGCAAATTAGGCTGCAAAATTTGATCTGTCATTTCACATTGCCGATTAACTTTGTGGCTCCAAATTGAATTCGTTGATGTATGACTGTGCCGGGTATCAAATAAATCTCATTTGACTGTTAATTGGGAAGCGGTTCTTCCACTTGAATGTGTCCACAGTGCATATTAAATAGCAGGTCCTCCCACATTATGTATTGAAATGCAAATGATGGGCTTTAAGTGGGGGCGAGCTCGGCAGGACAATGAGGAATAATTTGTCGACTTGGACGTGAGCCTGTTGAATTTCATTGTAAGTTATTTCTGAAACGAAAACAACAAGGGGGGCTTATAGCCTCCGAGGAAACCCTGCCAAGAGAGCCTGTAGCCCTTCATTTGTATAGCTTGGGAGTTCGTCCTTGTGGCAATTATCGGCGGGCGGGCGGATGTGAAAACGAAAGGATACAATGGCGCATTGGTGACTTTTCCAGCACCAATTTGCATGCAAAGATGTAAATAGCGCTGAATTAAACCTCAACTTTATAAACATTACTCTGCACTTGACAAGTGCGTCATGTTAAGAGGAGCAATCCTCCACACAATCCCCCTGCAGACAAACAACAGTGCCTTGCCGTGCGAGCATATTTTTTGCGCTGGCCACGCGACGCAGACTCTCATGAATAATGCATCGCCATAAACAAGCTGTACTTGCTGGATCCGTGGGCGCTGCTCCTTTTGTTACTTCGCAGCAGGAGAAACTCTAAATGTGGCAACAATTAAGCCCAAAACAGTCACCAGTAATGCTAATGCTAATGCCAAGCGACAGCTCGGTTGCATCCAAATTATGCAAATTCCGGCCATGTTGTCGAGTTCACAGATTCATTATGGATGGAGGAAGTTTTCCCGGAAACCTGGGGAGCTCAACTTTGAAAGGAAAGTTCAGGGACACTTAATTATAATGTTTGTATTACAAATACTTAGCGTGTGTATATCCATAGTTATAGTAGAGATGTCCACAGTGATTGGTCAGCTTGAGAAAGGGTGAAAGCTAAACGATTTTTTAAAATTGGAAATATCCTGCCAAAAGCCTTTAAATCAAAATAATATTTAAATTAAATTGAAATGAATGCTGCAAAAACGTTGATGCTAAATTATAGATTACGAAGATTTTTCTACCGAGCATAGTTTTTTAGATACTTTTGATTCTTCCCAGAAAAATTCCTATTTTGCTACTATCTACTACGGCTTTAATCAAGCCTTCAACTATTTATCATTATTTTTCTTTTCCCCAAAATGGTTTTTCCGTTACCAATTTAATTAACAGAGCTTTATCGTAGACATATGGCAACTCCACTCAATTTCTAGCCATCTATCGGAACTTTTTTGAAGTGCTAGTGACTGGTTGAAAGTGCAAAGCAAGCAGCAATACTCTTAGTTTAAAAATGCGTGTGCCAGAAGAGTTCACCTAGTGGCTCTTACTTAATTTGGCGCTCTGTGAATTTTTTGAAAATGTGTCCTTTCAAATTCTATTTTTTTTTTTTTTTTTTTAATTTTAGGTTAAATTTATCTCTGAAAAGTATATATTTATTTTTATACCCTTGCAGGGATTTATAATTTCAGTCAGAAGTTTGCAACGCAGTGAAGGAGACGTTTCCGACCCTATTCTATATATTCTTGATCAGCATCAACAGGGGAATCTTTCTAGATATGTCAGGAAGAAATCGATTTTTTGGCCATTTTTGCGAAATTTGATAAGGGGTTACATCATTAAAATTTTTGATTTTGATAAAAAATTGAATTTTCAAAATTTTTAAATGAAGTATGCAGATTTATTAACTGTAGAAAATCTAGCGCAGAACAGTTTTCCGATTTAAAATTAATGCTCTTTTGGCCGAGTTATGATATTTTTAATTTAAAAAAAAATCAAGAAGTTTTTTTTAATATAAAAAATCCGATTTCATAATACAAAATAATATTTTTCTAAGTCAAGGAATCATTTCCGACCCCATAAACCATATATATTCTTGATCAGCATCAACAGGGGAATCTTTCTAGATATGTCAGGAAGAAATCGTTTTTTTTTTTGCCATTTTTGCAAAATTTTATAAGGGGTTACATCATTAAAATTTGCAAAAATGACCAAAAATTTTGATTTCTTAAAATTTTAAATTTGGTATGCAGTTTTTTTTAATTAATAAAAACTAACACAAAACTGCTTTCCGAATCGAAATTAATGCATTTTTGGCTTAGTTATGATATATTTTAATTGTTACCTGCAAACTTTGGCTGGCCAAAGTTAGCTTTCTTTCTTGTTGAGGATAATAAAAATAAAATTTTAATTATTAAATTTTGAAATAAATAAAATTGCATTTCAGTTAAGATTTAAACGTAAAAAGCATTTCTTTGGCCACCTTCTGAGCCACTTCAATTCCAATGCAAAATCAAAGGTAGTGCCAGGACCACGACTCGTGATTATATTACCATCCTGAACCACAATCTTATCATCAACATAGCTTAGGAAAATAAAATAAATGGAATATAAGCTAAAACTCTAAATCTATAAGACACCTACCAGTACTTGTCCTCCAATTGGGGCTTCATGTCCGGGTGCGATGTGAGGGATTTGCCCAGTGCTATGCCATGCTTGCCCAGAGTCGTGGGCGCAGCGCAGATGGCTGCAATCAAACCCCCCTTCGATTCCTGACAGTGTAACAAGTCACCAACGGCCTTGGAGTTCATCAACGCCTTGTTGCCGGCCAAACCGCCAGGCAAGACCACCGCATCGTAGCTTCCCTGGGCCACCGCCTGCTCCAGGGAAGTGTCTGGCACTAAAACCACACCCCGGGAGCACTTGACCGGCTCAGAGTCAGACAAGCCAGCCACGGTGACATTAATCTAAATAATAAAATAAATAAATAAAATATAATAATTGTTGTATGTCCTTATTCCAGCTATTTCTATTTTTTTATTAATATAATTCATGGGGATTCCGGAAATAGGGATCGGATATGTATATACCTTCCTATATACTTCCTTATTAAATTCTGTATTTCTGTCAGGAGAAATTACGAAAGAATCACCAATTTACCATCTCTTTCAATCGCAATCGAAGTACTTCTACTCACTTTGGCTCGGCGCAGGACATCGGCTGATATGGTGAACTCAATTTCCTCAGCTCCTGGTGCCAGTATGATAAGAGCACTCTTTGCCTCCTGGCTGCTCTTGGCCCGCCTGACCAGAGAATGTGCCTGCAGCAGGGCAGGACCAAGGCGTGGCCAGGATCTCCGAAAAGCACTCAGCATTTCAAGTCAAAAGGCAGTTGTCACAGTGTTTAGTTAAATATATAATTTTATTGAACAAAAATGAATTGTATATGGTGTTCACTTATTTTTAAACGCCAACTGAAATCATTTATTTTTTTGTTGATTTTTTTTTTTAATATTTTGTAAGGGCTCGGTTTTCTTGTTCAGCTTTTTGCCAATATTTAAAAACTCAAAACTCGGATTGAATAAAAGCCGCAAAAACTTGATAAAAATAATTGTAATTTGTATAAAACATATACATTTTGTTAAATATAATTGTGTTTTCTCATTAACTTAATTGAGTTTGTTATTTGTTGGTTTTTAATGGTATTTGTATTGAAGCGCTTAGAACTAATTGTTAGACAGCTTGACAGAATTCTATCGAAAAGATCATCGATTTCCTTTGAATTGCAAAATGTGATAAACTCCGATCGACCTCGAGTTACATATAATATGTTTGGTGTGTGGAAAAAATGTCGATTACGTCGTAATTTAAGTCACATTTAAAACTGGTTTGATTTGTATTCGTCTTTAAACTTGATTTTTTGTTTTTTGTGTTTTTTGTGTTTTGTTTTACTAATAACATTTAAAAAGATCACCAAAGTTACAAGTTTCCCATATTTTACGTTGCTCACGTTGCTCATTTATCTTTAGATTTAGATTTATCCGTATGTTGATGTATCTTGCTTACTCAGCTTATATATTAGCACTAATATTATGTATTTTATTGATTAATTACCCGGCATTTTGGTTGATTTCTAAAGTAAGGGATGTACCAGATGATGATCTCTCCTCTCTTCTACCTCTTCTCTCGTTATCGTCCTACAATCGTTTAGATTTTACTAGTCGAATTTCAGCTAAGGGTTATCGTTAATCTGCTTCGTATTTGGAACACTACGTCAAGAGTGGAGGAGGACAGTGAGTGTGTGTGTGTTGCGGTTGGGGGGCTTTCAATGGGGGGCGGGGGCTTTAATTGGAAGAGTATAGAGTACACACACACATATCATAATATAACGTTTATAATTGCTTGGAGTTAGTCCTTGTCACTTGTTTTGAAATCTCGGTAATTGTGGCATATATAATTTTAATCGTTAGATTTGTATTTATTTTTATTTCCTTTAGGAAGAGTTGTGCAAATTGCTGTTCTAGCGTTGATTTCGTTCTGATTATATATCATATATCTATGTATAATCTATATATTTGTTGTATATAATTGTAGACATCTATAAACGGCACATTTATAAGTAATATATGTAGAAACAATGCGATCCGAATTCTATCCCTTACTGTCTCTCTCTTTTTTTTATATGTTGTTTTTGTATTTATTTTTATATCTTTAGTTTAAAGCTCAATTGAATTTTGACAGATAAAAGATACAAGTTCCCGGCTTTCGTTATTTTGTTGTTGTTGTCTTTATCTTAGGGGCCTCGACTCTGAGCAGAACATATACGAAGGTTGGAAATGATATACACATAAGGCTTTCCGGCGGTCTCCAACCTTCTCCTTCGTCTCCTCTCACCTATTCTTCGTTTAGCTGCACGACACTGAAGAAACCATTGAAATTGTTGCGTGTGTCAGTAGGGGGAAAATCGGAGTTATCTAGTATATAGTAGGGACTACTCGTACAGCCCATTGTTCTGGGTGGGAACGTGGGGCAAGTAGCATTAGCTTGTTGTTGGCCTTTTTCGATTTTTGGGGATTTTCCCGCGTCAACTTTCAGTTTACGTTTCTTCCTTGCGAGTAGTTAAAGCTTTTGGACTTTTCTCACACACATTTACATGTTGTGTGCTTCTGCTGGTAAAGTAAATTATTATTGGTGAATATTTTCGCTCATTTTTAACAACTACGAGATGCATTCATTGTCGGCACACATTTTCAGCTTAAACTTATTGAATAATCATCGTTACATGGTTTGGATTGATCCGTTCGACATCGAACTCATTACTTGCATTGATTCGTTTTCTATCGTCTTTGCTTACTAACTAATATTGGTTGATGTTTGTTGTTTTGCATTTGCTTGGGCTTGCGTTTAAGTAAGTCATTAAGAAATAAGTTTAATTTTAAGTTTTAATCCCTTGTGTTGAAACGTTGTTAGTAACAAACAAACAAATTGGAAAATTAATAATTACAATTGAAGAAACCAACAAATACGGACGACCCACACACATAAATTGATTGATTGATTGATTGATTGAGAGATGGTGGTGCAGCCTGGCCTGAACTCGGGCTGCCAACATCCCCCTCCCCTCCTTTCTATCTGTATTTCTCATTTCTTGTTCAGATATTACCAACTAATTTGTAAGTGCAATAGAGGATTAAATATAATAAGCATATATTGATTTAAATATTATGTATTTTATAATGCTCTGTCACAAATGTACGATTGATGGCCAAAACATACATGCTCGCAAACTAAATCTAAAATTAAAAGGATCTGTAAAGGATTGTACACAAGTATAAATAAGGCTGCGGTGCGCCGCTGCACCGCACCGAATAAATATAACAACTCATCATAATGTTAACTTGAACTGTGTCTGTGTCCTCGATATAGTACAATTATTAAGCATACGTTTCTCTCATACATCATGATATTTGTTTATGGTTGCTTTTGTTGGTTGCTTGTTTTGTTGATTGATTGAATTGGCAAAGAAAACTAAAGACTACTTTGTAAAATATTGAAATGTAGTTGCCATCGTCGCTCTCGCTCTCTAGCCTGTTTAGATTATTATTATATTACCCGTACACCACTTGGCTCTAAAGTTAATAATTAATACAGAGTTTACAGTGAAGAAGCAGGCCTGCTTGTTTAGCGCTTTTTTAAAAAATATTTATAAAGTACAAACTAAATATCGTTAGGAGGTACATAAATAAGAGGACATTGAGTGATATGCCTTGCAGGGAGGGGAAAAGAGGTTCAGATTGTGTTTATATGTGTGTGTGGAGGCTCGACTAAAGACTAACATAAAAATATCTGCACTTCTACCGTGTTTTATTTGCACTTTCGAATTTTTAAGTATTTCCCATTATGTCGCATCGGTTAAAAACTTTAACTTAGTTTGGTTATATATATATATTATCCGCTCTAATTTATAGTATATAGCCTATTGTTTTGACCAAAAATGATGTCTGTCCCTTGTTGAATTTGCAGTTCTCGTTACTCATCATCTATTATCTGATCTGCGCTGGCGTTCTCCCAACTCTTACAAACTATTAAATGTTCTTTTTGCTCGGTTTTTTAATCTGCGCTCCTAGTTATTGAAGTATTTTCCATTCTTTTAGTACATGCTAAGTTGCTCTCGCTTGCTTGGTTTCAATGCCGCTGCTAGTGGTTCTTGTTTCTTGTTAATTATTTTGGTGGTGGTCTTCGTTCACAGTCCAGAGAATCCGAGTTGATGTTGTGTGTTGTGTGTGCTTTGTGTTGTGGTTCGAGTCAATCAGCAACTTATTCATTTTTTGTATACTAAAAAACCTTTGGTTGTATGCATTCATTCATCTCATCTTAGCTCCTTTATGTCTTCAATTTCGTATCGTGTAAAAATATATTGTACAATTTAATCGTAATAATCCTATTAGAAAAAGTTATCTCCTCTTCTCTTTTTGTGTTTGCCGCCGCTCTTTGCTTTGCTTCTCTCTGCTTTCCCTTTCCTTTCGTGTTTTTATTGGTTGGTTGGTTGTTGCTGTCGACGTTCGCTTTTGTTCCCTTTTAGTTGATTTCTATTTGCTTTTATTATTGGTTTGCTACGCTTCTTTTGTTTTTTGAGAATTTTTTGTTCACATTTTACTTTTGCTTTCGTTTAGTTCATTCTTCAGTTGCGCAAACTTGTGCTTAACATTCGATTCCCTATATACCTAACATTTCTCACTTGCTGCTCTTTGTGTGGATGCATATGAGTGGGCTTGGCTTTTGTGTCTTTGTGGGCTATCTTTCAGCTTACTAAATAACTAATTGCATGCAAGATCCTCGCGCTATCGCTCAACCTAAAATATATATATAACTTTTAAACTTATTTTTACAATTCTATGCTTGGCTTTCATTCGCTCGCTGTGGTCGGAGGAGGACTGAGGATTGGGGGAGGAGTTGGCTTATTCGAATCGAATTTCGAAACTGATTTTGTATTCTCTTTAGCTTTTTGGTGTTCGGTGTGGGGTGGTTGCTTGGTTGCTTGCTTGGTGTTCGGTGTCCGATATACTTTTTAGGCAAAGTACATGACCTTCTTGGTGTCCGCATGCACTGTGATGGCCCTGGCCATGGCGCCAGGCGTACGATCCTCGGAGCAGCCGCTCTGGTGCGATCCCTCGCCCGAGTCGTGCTCCTTCTCCACCAAATGGTATCTGCAAGGGAAGCACTCGCATAAATCAAACGTTCAATGCACAGCAAGGCAACGCAAAAGACTTACCTGGCCCGGAAGGCCACCAGATGGGCGTAGTAGGCTGGCGCCGGTATGCTGACGGAACGGGTGCAGCGAACATACGTGTGACAGAGCTGGTACGTCAGGCACTGCAGCTCGTCCGAGTCGAAGTGATTGTCATCCCAGAGGACGTGATAATGCGAGGGGCGACTGGTGCCCTGGATGCCCTGGTGGCTGCACAGATAGAAATCGAATTCGGTGGGATGTGTGATGCCCACGTCGACGGTGGTGCCAGCGGGTATGTTGCCCGACTTGCCGCTCTGCTCCTTCTTCTCGGCGCAGAAGAGACGTGTGTGATGTCGCTTTTGCACCACGATGAACGTAATGCCCGGCCGGTACTCCGGCTCCAGCTTGATGCACGCCTCCCTAATGGCCGTCAGTTCGTGCTGCAGGACATGCGGGAACTGACCCTCGGAGACGCCGTCGCGATACAGGATGATGCGGTGGGGCTTGTAGCCGCCCGTCGATTTGTAGAACATGATCAGCAGCTCACGCACCATGCTGCTCAGCTCCTGGATGATCTCCTGGCGATGCTGCTGCACCCGCACGGTGGCAGCATAGCGCGACGGATGTGCATCCATAGAGCCAACGACGGCAGCAATCGATGGTTTCTTATTGTCGCCAGCTGGCGGATGGGTCACATCGGCGCCCAGGAAGATGACGGGCTCGTTGAAGACCTTGGGCCGGATGGAGGGCACCAGGATCGAGTTGATACCGCCCAACTTGACGTTGATCTTGAGACACAGATTGGACAGCGTCTGCGGCGATGTCTTGTTCACGTTCTTCGCCTGCACGCATTGTGTGGCCATGCCAAGAACGGTGTCTCCGACGCGCTTCACTTCAGCATACACCGGCGTCTTGCCGGGCAGCACTACCACAACGAGCTGCAGTCCAGGGAAGGTGATCTTTAGGTAACGGAACATCGGCTCCACCTGATCCGGCCCGGTGGCGTACTTGCAGAAGCAAGGCTGTCCAATGATCGGCATGCCGGCATCGTTTGAGATCTTCTGCAGCTGCTGGGTAAAGTTGCGCAGCGCATCCTCGCGCACCGTACGCTGTGGGGCGAAGCAGGCGATAGCCCAAATACGGATCTCTACGCCGGTGAAGAACTGCTTGCCACGCATATCCCAGACACCCTGATTGGGCGAGGCCAGGCTCACCTTGTTCTGCGGCGGGAACAACTGCTGGCCGGTGATGCCGGTGGACACACGTCCCCCATACTGAAGCTTGGGTGGCGGCAACACCCGGCCGCGCACTTCCATCATTGAATTGGAGATGGTCAGGCCGAACTCCTGCACATAGGAGTCGTTGTTGAAGTCGGCCCGCTTGACCAGGTTGTTGATTTCGCGCTCACGATCCGGAGCCGAGCGAGCGGTGGCCTTGATCATGGTCGAGGTCTGCATATCGGTCAGCTTCTTGATGCATCGCTGCCCAGCCACAATGTTGCACACCTCCAGGGGCAGGTAAGTGTGCTTGTGCTCCTGGCCAACCTGCAAGCAGGGCAAGTGCGGATAGCGCAGCTTCATGCGGTACTTGTCCAGGAAATACTTGGCGACGGTGCACTCCACGGTCTGGCCGTTCTCCAGCTGCAGTGGGAAGCTGCAAGGGTAGAGGAGGAGAGTTAGCAGGAGTATCAGATTTTATTACAGCTAAAAGATTCTTACGATTGCATCTGGGCGGGACGACGGGTGACATTGCACACGCGATACTTGCGACGCATTTGGCCGCAGTGCGTAATCTCGATCTTGAGGCCCTTGATCTCCTTGGTGAACTTGACGCGCTGCGAATCAGTGAGCGGCTTGCGTTGCTCGTTGATATCGCGTATGTCCAACACCTCGCACATAAAATCAATGACGGGTTGCGCCTTGTAGAAAGCGGTGGCCGAAACTGAAAGAGATCGAAGCTTTAGTAAGAGAAACCTACAATTTGGAGGCGGCTTGAAAACTCACCATCAATATTGAGCATCATCTTCCACTGCGAGGGCCTCACGCTCTGATGGAAACCGAACCACACCTCACGTCCACCGCCCAGGGGATGGTAGTAACCATCTGGGGAGCTGAAGAAGCTCCGTCCCACCGGAGTGTACGTCATGCTGGGCAGATGACGCATGACCACGTCCAATGCCAAAATGGCATCGTACGGTATCTGCCGGGTGCGGCCTTCGAGAGCCTCTTCCAGATTGAAGAGCGAGACCTGCGCCTGCCACTTGATCGTCACGCGGAATATGCGATCCTTGCCCTCGCCGGGCAGTGTCACTTCTAGCTCTAGCCGTTCGTTGCCAATGGGCAGGGGATCGCGGGTGTACAGATTGTTGCGACCATCGAACACGGGCTTGAGCACGCCGAATATCTTGCTGTAGGCATGCACCATGGTCTCGATAATCTCACGGTTAACTTTACGCGGACATTTGTCCGGCTGGATGTTGATGTCGTAATGATGCACATAGCCGCGGGGCATCGTCACCTGGAAGTGATTGGCGCGCAGCACAATCGGTCGACCCTCGCGACCCAGATTCGGACGACGTGGGCACGTGAAGACGGGCATATCCGGCTGAGCAGCTGGCGTGGCGGTGGCAATGGCTGCCGTCACGCTGCCGGTGGTGGTGGCGCCCAAGGCGGAGGCCACCTGAGCGGCAGCTGCTGCAGCACCGGCCACAGTGGCTCCTCCAGCTGCCACATTCTGAGCACTTGGACTGGTGACAGCGGTGGGATTTACCGACGAGCCGGGCGTTGGTGGTGCTGCAATCAGTCAGATTCAACAGTTAGTTTCATCGACATCCCCAGCAGAATTTTAAATAGGATCAAAAAAGGTAACGACAATAAAGTAAAATAAAAAAAATAAACTAATCTAACATTAAGTGTTGGGAAAAGTTTTTACATGCTTAGATAAATCTCATGAATTAACTTTTTTGTTTAGTATTTGAATTGTCCCTTGAGGCATATTCCTGTTATACTTTATACTTTAAAAACCCCAGGTTATTATCTATATGTAAGGTTTAATCTTATAATTTTAAATTGGATTTTCTAGTAAATATCTATTATATATATTCACATATTTCTGTCAACTTTTAGACATTTTGTAGAAGATTAACCTTCAAAAGGCGCATTCTGGTATAAGTTAGCTGAATTATAAGAAACTGAATTGCAATTTGGAATTACAAGACTTATTTCTGGCATAACTCCTCCTATTTCCCATGAGATTATCCCTAAACACAGAAAAACTCCCATTTAATTAGCTACAAAAAAGGCATGCAACGAGCTGAAAAAAAAAACACAAAATATAATTCATACTCAAAGTTCAAACATAGTTTTAAGGTGTCATTAATTTAAGTGTAAGAGTTAATACTTCAAAGTGCACTTTGCATGGTACGAAACAAACATTTACATGAAACTAAAAATTATTTGTAGATATTTGTTAGTAATTATTACGGCAAAAGGGTTAGTAGTTTGTGTTCAATTTTTCAAAGGATTTGTTAGTAAGTGGAGGAGAGCTTTTGTTAGGATAACATCAAACTAAAGAACATAAACACAAACAAACAGTTTCGTAGCTTTTTCGAATCAAATTCAAATCAATTTCATAAGGTTCTTAGTAGTTTTAGTAGATCATTTTTGGTTTGGAGAGAAATTTACATGTGAGCGTGTCGAAGCTAGTCTGCGCCTGAGAGGGACTCTGAGGCCGAGTGGGCGAGGGGGTCCACTGTGACTCTATAAAAAGAAAATGTAATCAAATAAACGCAAGGTAAATCAATGAAATGAAAATGCAGAGGAATTCAAATCAAGAGGGTAATGGCCAATCGATGGTTGTTTCGTTCGATGATGGAGAATCGAAATCAATAATGTCAGAGGTGGTGGTGGGTGATGAAATGATGAGGGAACCGAAGAACGAGAGGCGGTATTGTAACAAACGAAAAGAAAACGAAATAAAGGTGCGTTAATAATATTTTAGTTACAGTTTTCTTTCATCATCGTCATCAATAAATATATTTATATAAATATTTTGGTTACAGGTGTGTGTTTTGCTGTATGTTCCCTGCTGCCACAAGTCCATCCCCATTTGGTCAGTGGAATCAATGTGTGCTCGTGTGGGGTATTGGGGCTGGGTTTGGGTGTTTGTATTGTATAGGTATACCAGGGTATCGGGTTAGCCACCATTTTGTTAATAGTTCTCAGTTATAGCACCATTCAACCCTTGGATCCTAACCCTATTTGGAGGAGGAGGGACCACTTTGATGTTGTATCAAGTACTAAGCGCCACTTGTTGTATTGCTACTAAAATCTGGCTCTTATCCAATTAAAGAATTTATTTAGCAGAAGTCTATTCAATTATCTTTTCTATAAGGACTTAGTATATCATATTTAAGTTTTTATAAACAGGAAAACGACTATCGAGTCATATCTCAATAGAAACTAAGATAGTTCAAAACTTGTTTGAAATAAAAGGTTTTCAACACTCATAAATAGGTCATAATATTTCGAATATTCCTTAGATCTTAAAGGCTACATTTCCAACCCTCATATTTACAATTTTTCCTCTTTCCACCCCTCTTAGACTCTGTAAATATTGAAAAGAAATACGCACAATAAGCTGCAAATTGCGACGCAATTAGACGATGTCTGCTCTTGAATCGCACATGTGGAACATGGAAACTAGAGAAGCCCGAGACGGAAAATCTGAATGGATCGTTGTAAAAGCCCCAAAATCAACCCCCAGAGCAGAAAGGTAATGAAAGGGGGAAACTATTGCGACGCGACGGTCGTTGACCCAATTTTTTGCGCATTTTCAACTCTCCACGCACGTGTCTGTGACGTATGGACATAGGTGTGTTTGTAACTGACTGCATGTGTGTGCAATTGGAGTTGCCACACATACACCTTTGCAAGTAGAACATCAAAAACTTGATTTGTGGGCGGGGAGGCGGGGGTTTCTTGGAGACTTGTGGCAGCAGCGGTTTTTCTTTCTTTTCTTTGACTCTCTTGCATTGTCTTTCGTGTGTTTTTAGCTCGCTTTGCTCGCTATCCAACTTACGTTGTCCGACTGGATACATGTTTTTGCACTAAGTTTTAAGGTTTTGTTTTAAGAAAAATAATTAATGTATAAAAAGGTTGTTTGTTTGATGTTTCTTCGTGTTTTGGTGTAAAATGTAATTGATTGTTTGATTTGTTTGTTTTCTTTGTGGTTGTTGTTTTTTCTTGTTGCTGTTGTTGATGCTTTTGGTTTTCTACTAATTATTTAGTTTTTGTTTTGTTTTGATTTCAGCCTTTTTGCTTATCACACTTTAAAGTAGTTTAAAGTTTTATTCGTTTGGTTGATTTTTGCATTTGTTGTTTATTTATTTATTATTGTTGTTGCGCGTGGGCGTGGCATAGGCGTATTTTTGTTTGCTTTATAAATTGGAATTTAGCAACAGACAAGTGGGAATCTCGTCTCTCTCTTGTTATCTCTCTCTTATTTGCATTTATGGTATTTATATTAGTATTATTGTTGTTATTTTAGTATTGGAAAAGAACACAAATGTAGGCACAGCTTTCGTTTAATATATATGTATTTCTTTATGTACACACTTAGGCGGGTGTGTATATATGTATATTTATATACTTATGTATATATGTATCTAATGCTCTTGTAATACAACTAAGAAAAAATTCTTCTTTATGCTCGCATATCTCGTGAGTGTATTGTTTGTGTGTATTGTGTGTGTGTGTCTGCTTGCGCGTGTGAGAGTGACTGATCCTGCGTCGGTGTGTGTGAAAACTGCTGCTCCTCCGCTATACAGCGAGAAAATGCGTTTGTATGCGTTTTTTATATATGGCAGCCCAAAAAATGTGTGCACGTAGAATTCTTGGATTTTCGAGACGTGATTTTTGTGCACCAAACACGTTCGCGCCGCCCGCTCTTACGCACAAACCGTGGCCAGACTATTGAATTTTGATTTTCCACAACTTTTGTTAGCTTTTCACGCCGCGCATTATGCAAAAAATGCTATTTTCTTCAGCTTTTCCCACAGCAGCCACACAACGTCCACACAAAAATTTAACTCGCGACGTGTGAGCGTGACGCATATAGCCAACCACTTAATGGGGGCAAAGCACCCTCGCCCGTGCGAGCGAGGGAGACGACCATAGGAGCCGCTTTAGAGGTGGTACTTTGTGTCGCTCGGATGGAAAAGTCTGGCAACTCACCAAGGCTGCCATGCCGCGCAATTCAAAGTGTATTCCCGAGTTTATCCAATCGAAACAAACGGTTCCCAATTTGTTGCAAAATTATATTAAGCTTTTGTTAAAAAATCCAAAGAGAATTAAGTTTTTCTAAACGCACTCAAATTTGTATGGGAATGTTATTTTTGGGTCGAATTCTCATGTAGAATGTTAAAATGTAGAGAGAGTTATTAACATAATTTGTATGTAGAGGTGGAGAAACAACGATATCATAGATGTTTTCGAAACATCGATGTTTGATAGGTGGGTAGCGAAAACCCGACAGTGTTGGAAAGCAACCGGCGTCCCTTGGCAATCGTTATCGTCAGCTGTTACGTAGCGTGTTTATTACGTCTGTCGCAGAAAAGTTTTCCTCTTTTTTCGCGGGCGAAAAGCAAAGTTTTCCCTGCCCAAAATGTCGGTGCCTTTCAGCGGCGCCCTCCGCAGGTCGGGCGGCATTGTCTCCGCCATTGGCAAGCAGCTGAAGAGCGTCAACTTGAAGGGCGTGAAGCGGATAACCGTGCAGTTCGATCCGTTTGCGGAAAATGTCAAGTCGACACGGTGAGTCGGAAAAGCGCTTTTCCTGGCCCGATATCGATAGCGGGGCATGCGCACTGCCCACCGCCTCCCCCTTAGAATTGGAAAATTTTCTCGGAACCAAAAGTGCGTAAGAGAAACGGAGGAAAAGGAAAGGCGAACAAAAACGAAAACAAAAGACAACTGAGGTGAAAAATCGAAAAGGTGCATGGATGTGATGTATGACACAAAGAATGTCCCTTTTCGGGATGGCAGGATGACGGAATGAGCGTGAATAAAGGCTAAAACACACTTACCGTACACCTTGCCGATAATGCCCACGGCGGACGTCATCTGGAGATCCGGGAACGTCAGCGGCAGCGTGTGCGGATGGAGCTGAGCTGGCCCCCCGGGAGCCAGCTCACGCTCCGTTGACATCTTGGTCGGTGTCGGCGTCAGTTTGAGGCGGCGGCACTTCTCCTGGAAAATAGGAGAAGAAAAATCAATATCGCAATCTAATCGCTTAATTTTCTCTTATTGCCCGCAGCGAGTTCCTCTTTCTGCTCTCCACACCGAAGGTGGCCCAAACAAATCCCAAGTGCGTGGTCAAGTCGGACATTGTGTGCGATCGGCAGCCGTCCTGCATTAAGTTTGCGTTGATCGACTCGGCGCAAGGTAAGGCATTAGGTTGCTCTTTTCAAAAAGAGAATTCCTACGAATCACTACAACTCTTTATCCTTAAACGTCTCCCCCACAGAACAAGCCAAAGTGAAGGAGATTCGCTTCAACAGCGACAACTTGAACACATTAGAGCTCCTGCAGCTGTGCAACAGACACGTCTCCAGCTTGGCACCCGTGGAGGAGATCACCAACAAGGTCCTGACCAAGGCGGAGAAACAGAAGCTGGGAGGCGGCGCCGGTGCTGGCAAGAAGGTAACCAAAAAGAAGTAGGAAGTCATGGTGAAGAAAAACAAAGGGACGCTGGCGGTGATCGAGCAGATCTACCAGGATATACCAGCCTTCTCCGACATCTTCACCGAGGAGACCTTCTACATGTTTGCCTTCTGTTTCGTGTGCGCCACCATCCTGATGGCGTTCATCCTCTCCCGGTTCATCACCATTAAGCCTGTCGACTTCTGAGTCAAACGTTTTGTTTTGTCAAATTCCTCCTTCGCACATTTGGACGTACGTTTGGAAATAAATAAGCTTTAACATGTAACACTCCGCACTGTATTCTCTTTTGGGGACGACTGTGGTGCGAAAGGGCACGGGTACCAACGATCGGTTCGGTTCGGTTCAGTTTAGTCCGTCAGCCTGAGCGTGTTTTTTTTTTCGTTTAAACCTGTTTTTGAGCCCAGGCAAACCGGAAAATCATCTGCTCCTGCTGCTGGCTGTGCTGCTGTTGCAAATATCAGCAGATGAGAGAGTCGCCTGCCGGGCAAAGCTTATAATCGCAATGGGGCGGGAGGAGCCGTTGATAATTGGACCAGAGGAAGTCAAGCAAATGTGCCAGAGATGCCATGCAAAGCGGACGTGGTTTGGGGTGGACCCAAAAATCGATATTGCATATTCATTGCTGAAAAAGGGATATATGCTCATTTCAAATAATAGTTTTTCCTACACTGTACATAGGATTGTAATTGTAACTTATTTGCATTCAGTTTTAATATATATCAAACAAAAACACATTTTCATCTCATTAAATGAGATAAAAGTAATGATGGAACCATTAACTTCAAAGTTTTCTGGTCAATTTTGTGCCCTACACGAAACTAGTTAGATTCTAAGCAGCCTATCGTGGCAGATTTTAATCCTAATTCTTTCAGAAACAAACTGGTGACTATTTCCCCAAGTATGGAAAAAGAGTAATGGCTTTCATTATCTATCATCCAGACCACTGATCTTTGTATTATTATTGTAGAAATATTATGTAGTATTTGTTAAATATTTAAATCATTTTTCTATATTTTTCCTTAAGGGGATTTCCTTTTAAACGATAATTAAGGGACAATTAGAAGACTATTGAAAATTAAGGAAATTAAGATGAAAGAAACGGAAACTCCCTTACAAAAACATTAAACAGATCTTAAAACTTTCCAGATAATACTCAAAAAAAAAACCCCTAATAGTTCGACAGTCAAAGGATCAACAGGCGGCGAGAAGGCGAGGAAAGCTTCTTGAAAATGCCAAGACAGCTGTTGATATCGAGTTAGATTTCTTCACTCCCAAGCTGGACATTTTATAAACACATGCAAACACTTTTAATAAGCGAGAAACCTGCACTCGTCACCCAAAACTTTGAGCTAAAGTTTATAAAATGGCGCGATGTTTGGCTTTCCACAGCCGAAAAATGCAGTGAAAGTTGTTCGTGTGCACCCTGTGGCTGTGATTAATCGAATTCAATTCGGAGTTGCCAAGTTCAATGTCGGGCCACAGGAGCTTTGCCCCCCTGCTCCGCCTCTCCCTCCGGCTGGTCAGCCATGTTGAAGGAGTCTCTGTCGCGTCGGAACTTTCGCCACCCACTCGGAAACTTTGTCGCCTGACGTAATGCGGGCGCGGGGCGAGACGGAACGGTGTTCTATTGGAAGCTAAGGATGTGAATGTGACCTTTCTACCAAAACATAAACACAGTGGCAGTATGGTTGTCCCGCTTGCACTCGCTGCGAGTCCGCTGCTCTTGAAATATCTTATAGCATATGCTCAGGCGCCATTTGTGTGTTTTGTTTTTCCTCCTTCCTTTCCCTTAGTCTTTTAAGTTTTCCTTTTTCTATTGCCATTTGTGTGGGTGTTTTGAGTTTTCATTTTGGATGCTCCTGCAGCTGTTCTGGAAGCCTCTTCTGCAGCCGGCAGAGGCGGAAACCCTTTATCAGCCCCCTCGCCTACTGTTTACTCACCTTATCGCAAAATTGCAGCTGACTTTACGGTTGCCTTTTTGCAGTTTTATCAGCTTTATCAGCGGCAAATCGAGCGTTTTTGTTTGCGAACTCCGATTATTTGAGTGGAACTCATTAAGGACACACGTTGGGCCTGGCGTCCTCACCGAATAGACGTTGCGGGTGCACTAGCTGCGGGATTTATGGTTAAAAGCGAGAAATATAAGTGCAGGAAATGGTTAAAACGCAGTTTCTTTCGTGTGCTGTTGTTGTTGGTGCTGCCAGATCGCCGCACTCACAGATACGAGACACGCACACAGCTGCAGCCGCCGTCGGCGCCGCGGTACGGCAACAAAATTTGCGAATTCCAAGAGCTTTTTGTTTATTTTGTTATTTGACAACACGCACACACACACCGTTCGGAGTGGAGCTCTTATTTTGTTTAATTTTATTTTTTGCAAGCTTCTACGCCGCCTTGCGGTTGTGTTGGTTCGTATTTGAGTGAGTCAAAGTCAAAGGTTGCGAGTGTGTGAGAGAGCGCTCTCTCTCAGTCCCAGGTGCTATCTCCCTCGCTCCTAGGAGCTAATTGTGGTTGTTGTTTTGCTGCTGCCGTGTTTTTTCTTGTTACTTTTGATTTTGTTTTTGCCGCGGCTTTTAACTTTTTTTATGGCAACAATTTGGACGGAAAAAGCTTTCCCCACCAAAAACGCGGAGCAGTCATTGGAAAAAACATACAGACGCCACAAAAACACACGCACACACATTAGCCAAAGCACCAGCACTCACTCACACACGCACGCCGAGATTGCTGCAAAATGAAAGCACCAACAACACAGATACAAAACATACACGCAAAAATTGCGAAAATAATATGCACAATTACGCAGAGTTTGGGATATTGATATATTTCGTGTGATATCGGTATCCGTATCCGCTGTCAGAGATCGCATGAGATCGTGTTGTTGAGAATCGAGAGCAACTATAAAAACTGCAAACGCGCGCGATTTGCACAAACACAACTTATAGGATGTCCAGTGCTGAACGTTTGGCTTGTTTCGGGCTAGATCTAGCGTATCTGAAAATGGAAAAGCTTATGAAATTCGCAACTAGCTTATATCATTAAAAGTCTTATTTTTATATTGAAGCAATTATTGCATTCGTGATAGATTTTTATGATTTAGATTATAAATATAAAATATTAATACAATTTACGGACTTATATGGTTTATTTACATCTACCTACTTTTACCTTACGAATCAATTGTCCTTAAAAATAGTTAAAAAATTATTTATAAAATTATAATTTGTTTTTATATATGGCAGAATAATAAATATTTATAATAATTTATAATAAAGCTTTAACTTTCTATAAATTCTTCAATTTTGTTAAATTTATTTAGTGTATCCGTGAGAAATTTGGCGATTTGGAAAGCGGCGGCGCCGAAAAGCACAAAGAGCAACAGTGCCAGCCAAAATTGTATGCGCGAAAATGGGGTGCGCGACCAGAAAGGCAAGCTTTTTGTTAGGGGGATGCGACGACACCCAAAATGATGACCTTGACGATTACTTTTACCGTTACTGCCCATAAATCAGCTAATTCGGCATTTGGTAGCTTACCAATATTTTGTTGTCATTAGAATAAGCAGGGGTGTTCATTGTTTGTAAAATCTAGTGACAAAAACTAAAAACAAATTGGAACAAATTCAACTGTTTGTTTCTTAGATTTAAAATTGTCAAGATAAGTGTTAAATACAAATCAAAATAAATTTGAATTCATCTTAAATTCCCCTTTACTTGCTAGTTAATTCTTATCAATAAAATAATACAAATTTATTGTAATGCATCTGTAACTTGCTAATTTATTCCAAAGCGAAAAATACTTAAAAACGTGAAAAAATATGCTGTCAACCAACGCATTTGTATTATTGTCGTTTACAGAAGCGAAAGCTATTTCTGTTTCTCCTCCTGCTTTTCAGCGGGATCGGTGTTCTCATCCCGAGCGACAGCGGGGGCCTCGGCTTCGCCCTTTTTCTCACTGGGCGGATCGCCGCTCATGGTGGCGCCGGCGGGCAGACTCTTCTCCAGGGCGCGGACAAATTCCTCCAGGTTGCCGGAATAGGCGGCGGCCACGGCATCATTGGAAAGTTCAAACTGCTTGACCACCGGGCCCAACTGGGCCGACTGCAGGGCATTGGAGAACTGAGCCAGGGCCTGCTGGAACTGCGGGGAGGTGATGTGGTCCTTGATCTGCTGCTTGCGATCCTCGTCCGCATCCTCCGACTCTGGCAGGTGCACGATCAGCGACTTGACGCGCTCCGGATCGGCGATGAGCTGATTGATGGCCTCGGCGCCGGAAAGCGCCGTCGATAGGTCAATGTTCAGAGATCGTCCTGCGCCATGTTCGGGGGAAAGATTGGATAAGTAGGCTTGGAATGGGTTGGCATAGGCTCCGGTCGATTCTGACGCCGTTGTGGTCGATGTGGTTGAGTTCTTACCGGAGGCATCCGCATCTAGGGACGATCCGGCACTGCCGGCGTCCTCGCCGGCCTGCGAGTTCACATTGGTGCTGCTGCGGCTGCTGCCCGACTTGGAGCCCTTGGACGGGGCAGACGGGGTGCGTGGCACAGTGACATTCTCGGGCGTCTGCAATGCCGAGGCACCGCCTCCGCCGCCACCCGAAGACGAGGTGTTGCGAGAGGATGGCGTACGGGAGCTGTGAATGAAGGCAGACGTTTAGAAGTTTAAATAAATAGTAATTAGGACCTAAAAACTCACTTCATTTGGCCCAGCAGCGAGCTGAGACCTCCCATTTGGCCCACTCCTCCAAACAGCTGCATCAGCTGCTGCTGCGACATGTTGTTGAGCATGTACTGCAGGTCGCCATCGTTGCTGCCGCCACCGCCGCGCTGATGGGCAGCCGGGGGATTGTTCAGCAGCTCGTTGATGCGGCGACAGTGCTCCTCATCCTTGTCGGTCTTCGGCTCCTGCAGCCAGAAGAACATGCGGCGCGTCGACGACTTGAACTTGAGCACATAGACGCGGCCGGTCTTGCACTGCTCGACGCGCTTGTACTCAAAGTCGTCGGGGAAGACGATCAGGTCGTCCTCCACCTTGCCGGAGGTGCGGTCCTTCCAGCAGAAATGCATCAGGCCGTCGTCGCTCTGGGTCATGTAGACCAGGCCCTTGCGGGTGTCCGGGTGCACCATCTTGCCAACCATGTTCATGCGACCTGCGCGGAACTCCACCAGGTTGCTGCTGTTGCTGGAGCTGCCCAGTCCACTTTGTCTGCCGAACATGATGCGAGCGCTTCTCGAGAGCTGCGGAATACAAGGTTGTGCGGTAATGACGCTGTTTCATTGTAAATGTCTGTGTGTTTCCGGTGCTCAAGGGTTAGCTGGGTAGCTATACCCCGCTGTCGCAATACTCACAGGATATATAATGCGTCGAATTTAAAGGATTTTTGAAAATATTCAACAAATCGGACTTCTTTGATGACCAGCAAGTTTTTGTGTTAGGGATGGACCAGTGCCTCTAATCGATATTTTTATCGGGTAGTATTTAGTATTTTTTAGTTTGCCCCGCAAGATCTGGTACTTTGAAATTCAGAGTGACCAAGGGGAAAATATCAAAAAATATCAAATGAAAATATTATCAACAACCCAATTCGAAGCCCAAAGATTTTCCGCCCGCCAAAACACGGTACCACCGCAAGATTTCTTCGAGCAACAATTTCTACGATTTTTTATTAAACAGCTGAAAGCCTCCGCGAACAGTTAATTTTAATTGCGACTTATAAAACTTGCACTTTAGCAGGGCTACAAAGTGTTACAGTGGTAAAATCAGTGATTAGTCTGCAATTTCTGCGACGCAGTTCCGAGTGGTAAGTGGAAAACACTTTCCAGTTGTACAATTTAATTCCGATTGCGCTAGAACGCAAATATACCTGCCCTGCATCAACGGCAAATAAATATTTAATTATGGTACTCGATCGGCTGCGAGTTGCGTCATGCCTTTGTCTCCTATTTGCTGTTTAATTGCACTCCAGACGACATCTTTCTAGTCGGTGCTTCTCGTCCATTCCGTCTATCCCATTCGCTTCCCTCTTGTGTTGCGCTTCTTTGTTTAGATGTTTACTGCCTGGTCCGCCTCTTCCCCTCTTCGCTGGCTGACCCATTTTCTAGTCTTTGTTTGCTTTATCTCACCTGTTAGGCCGCCGTCCCTCGTAGGTGAATCACCTTCGGTTTTCTAAACCCGTTTTTGCCCTCGAACTTGGCACAAATTACAAGCTGCAATAATAAATAGGCAGCAATTTTTATCAAATGCCTCTCACGTTTCTCAAAATGGTGGCAAAAAATCAACAACAAAGTAAGTCAGACCAAAATGGCAGACGGCGAGTTTTTTCGAAACTAACTAAAAAAACAACACGAAAGCAGTGCGAAAGTGGAATGGCCGATAAGATAAGGCACCGTTGATTCGAATTTGAAAACAACAAACTAAACAATATCGCAAAGCAACGGCCGATATAAGATTGTATATATGTATTATATATACGCCCCTAATTATTCAAGCTGTATAAAACAATTAAACAAAGATTCGGTTTCTGGATAAGAAATCTTTTTCCCCACTTTAAATTATTGGTGAATCATAAATACATATATATTTTTTTTCTAGAAATTTTATATTTATATTTAAACAATTAAAGTTTGATCAGATTTCACAATATATCTATATTTTTTTTCAATACAAATAAATATGTACTTGATGTTATTATTGTTTAGTTCAACATTTTTTAGAAAAACAATTTTTATTAACTCAAAATCTAAAAAACATCTAACATCTGAAATAAACAAAACAAAAAGGAGTATTTATGAAATCTCTAATATTCTTATTAAAATATAATTACATATTCTTGTTAAATTTATTTACAAATATTAGTTTTACCTAGAACAAAATACTTAAAATATTTTAGTTTTACTTTAACTGATTTTAAAGTCGTCAAAGTTAAAATTTGTGCAAAATACAGCCACTATTTAATAGGAAATTCCAAAAGTATTACTCAAAAAAGCTTAAAAAATATGACAATAGGTTCTAATTGGCCAAATTTATACTAATAAAAAATAATTATTAAAATTAACTCATGTAGAGCTTAGACTTGCTTGCCCCGCAAACCTTTTTCTCATTGTAGTTTAATACTTGTAAAATGCCAGAGATCAGGTTTACGACTGCTGGACTAACTTCACGTGACTCCCAGTTGCTCATCCTCTTGCTAATACTGTTGCTAATTTTTGTTGTGCTCTTTTTCAGATTCCTCACAATGCGCACAGCTGTGGTACTTCCCCTTCTGGCTCTGCTGGCAGTTGCCCAGGCCGTTTCCTTCGCCGACGTGGTCAAGGAGGAATGGCATACGTTCAAGGTAAGTTCTCCATTTTCTATGATCTATATTCGTCACCCCCCGGGAAATCAGAACCCCTATACGAACACAAGTGTTCTCTGGTAACAACAAGAGCTTAGTACTACCGATGATTATTCATTAAAATCGCATTATTTTTTGGGCCTTTGTCTTGCACAGAATTTTGCTTTTGTTTAGTTGAATCGCCGCGCATTGCATTCTTCCGTTTGTGACGCGATTCTTTGCGAGCTGCTGAGTCACGAATGCGAATGTGAATGCACCAAGCTGAGCGGGCTCATCAAAAAAAGAGTCCAGATAAGTCCAGAAGTCTAGCTTTCAGCAGTCACATGTCGCCGCCGACTCACATGACTTAGGCTCATCCGTAAACATCGGATGAATGGACAGGCTGACTGACTGTCAATCGGTCGCCCACTTTTGCTCCATCGCGGGTCAGTCCCACTGATAGCTGGTGTGGTCCACTGATAAGCAGCGGGACAATAGTACCATTTTGCACCACTTTTGCGGCAGGCCATGATGTTTCCTAATCGTCATCGTCATGTGGTTAGGCTGATGACTTGGTGCCTGCCCCGGTTCTGAATAATTGCATTTAGCATTCGATCCAATGGGTTTATGGGTTTATAGCTTGCCTATATTTGCAACGTCAACAGATTTACAATTGTTTTAGATGATTAAACTTGTCTATAGTTTAGTTTACTTGCTGTACTCTTATGTGACATCCTTATCGATCCGAGTGAAAGATCGCTCTTTTTTTATATTTGTTAAATATATTTTTTGTATAATGCCGTGTCAAGCGTCATTAGTTGCAAATGGGGGCGTATAATTATAAATGTGTTGTGCAGATCTCGTGTGATAACATACATATAATTTTCATAGAATTTTGTCTATAATTTGATTGTCATGTTGTCTGCTGAACACCCGCATTTTTGTTGATTTTGCATCTTGTATAAGATATGTGGGGGTTCCCCATTCCTTTATCCAGTTGATTTTTAGCTGAATAGGAGCTTATCTCAGAGTGATTCCATTTTGAATAAATATGCTGTGTGTGAATCATGGTTTCGGGAAAAACTTTTCTTATGTTTCTATTGAAATATAATCTTAGTAAGCCCAGTAATACACAAGAGATATGCTTTCCTATGAAACGATAATTATTAATTATCTTGGCTTTCACATTAAATATAAATGAGTGTATTTAGCTCGAGCATTGCATTTATTGTATTTATGGGTATAATTAAAAAAAAAATCCGATTTATTGATTTATATTAAAGCGCTTGCTAAGAAATGTTGTATTAATATTTTTAACGACATCCTTGGAAAGGAAAAGCTTTGAAAGGGGTTAAAATGCATAACAATTTTATAAAATGGTTTCCAGGCTTTAGGCCACCGACTTTTTCAAGTCAGTGTAAGTCCCAAAACCGCTCTTGTTGCAGCCACGGCCACACTGGCATAAAAGTGCTGCCCATTCAATGTTCAACTGATGAGCCGCGCAATTCAAATACGATTGCTAACGGCAGCGTTTCAAAAGACTGTTCTGGAGCAACGGCGCATAACTATAGTCCGTAATCTCTGTGCGCAGTCCAAAGTGGCAAATGCACAGCTGCAAAAGTCACCAAGTTTACTGTACTATGGTCACTGATAAGCTTCAATAAGTTTTAATGCGTTTCAGCAGTTTTATGGCATTCCGCGAACAAAGATTGCGAAAAAGAAGAGACAAAATCAGAGTCAAACTCAAATACGGGTGCCAGGGGGGTCGTCCAGAGCCGAGTGTTGTTTTGGAAATGACGCGTGACGTCGCCGCTTATCAAATTGGCATTTCAAATTCGCTGTCAGGCGTTTTTTATTTTGTTTCGAGAGCCGAAAAGCTTTCGGAGAGTAACCCGAGCGATGAGCAGCAAGTGCACACGGCGAAGAATGAATCGAACAAATAAATAGAATCGCGCTGCCGTAAATAAACAAGTGGGGAAAAATTTGGCTGACTTGCAAAAGCCGAAGAGGCACTGATACTTTGATGTTTGCTTTATTTTCGCCCCACTCTTTGTGAACCGGTTGGTATTTTTCGAATACATTGCCCGACATCCTTATAAATCATGTTGCTGTTTGGGAAACCGGTTGCTTTTTTGAACCGTGCCATTATATGCTCGCACTGCAGAATGAAATATGGAATAAGAAACGAAAAAGGAAGTGAGTTTGCGAGTGACGAAGTGGTAATATTTTGAGGGTTATAACTTATAAGATTAAAAAAATCATAAATTTATATTTGGGTTATTATTTAGATGAGAAATATCAAGGGATTTTCAAGCATCTTTGTTGTGACCAGCTATGAAATATAAAAGTTTGATCTGATATTGCGAAACATTCAAGAATAAATCTCATCTAAGCGAAATTTGGCGGACAAACGGACAAGGTTTACCTATAATACAAAATATATATATAAAAGCTATATAATTTATGCTAGTTTAATTAAAATGTGATGTAGTTCTTATAGAAAGTCAAAGTTTCTCTTTGATATTTTAGAAAATTGAAAAGAAAATCTGTTGATATCGAATTTAACGGACAACAGACATACAGAGAGGCCGAAAATGATGCACTTTATATACCCAAAGACTCCTTTTAACTGCCTAAAATGAGAGTAAGATTCGAGTACTCTCTGGTAAGGGCATAACAAGAAATGTGTGTGTGGAGTACAACGACGACGCTTCCTCCGAATAGTTTACGTTTGCCTACGTAGGTTGCCCGCGCTCGTTTTCGCTCGGCGATAGAGGAGTGCTGCTCTGTGTGTGTGTGTGTGGGAAGTCGGTCTGTGTGCGTGTGAGCACAACCACTGCCACCACCGGAGGCAGTCTCTGCTGTGAATTTGTGTTATTTCCCTCCCGACGCTCCAAGCAAACGGTCGAGTCTCACCAAGAACAAAAACAGCACCCCACGAGAGAGGAAAGAAATATAAGGAGACCCAGTCAGCCAGCACCGGCCCCCCGCCAACGAGAGAAGGAAAAGCACGCGCGTCATCGAAAATACAAAAAAACGTGCTATTAAACCAAATAAAAACCAGAGTAAATACCGTTTTTGGGAACTTACATAAAGCCATGGCCGATGCAAACACTCTAAACGTCTCCGTGGATGTGGTGTGGCCCACAATTATTGTCCTGGCCATGCTGGTAATCAATGGCTTCGTCTTTGCCTACATCATGCGAAAGCGCCGGGAGTTCAGCAAGCACCTGTCGGAGGAGCATCCGCACACATCCTACGCAGCCACCAGCAGCCAGGCGGTGGTCTCAGCACCGCTGGAGGAGCCCGAAGACGATTCCTGTGCCATCCAAATGGAGCGTCTGTAGTCGTAGCCGTTATAGCAGCTAACCAGCCAGCCGTAGGTCTCAGACAGATACTCACCATCCTCTCGTCCAGGCTCATCATCAATCAATTGCAACGAATTTTCCTAAAACCGCAGAAAGCTGAATAGTTCAAAGATAAAAGATGCTCTCTTTTGCCTGCGAAAAGTCTTGCAAATACTGTTTAGATAGATATAGAGATACAGAGCGTATACGTATCGCATCGAGTGCCTAGCAAGCACATGCATTTAATTACGGTTCTTAAGTTGTTAATTTTGCTACAAAGAGTATATATACAATAATAATAAAACGTGTGAATTTTATCATACCTTGTCGAAAAATCAAACTGGATTGTGTGTGTGTGTTAAGTGAGTGGTTCGTTTGTTCAAAGAAAATCAATAGGTCGTTGCTGCCGCTGCAGGCTTTCAAAAGGCTTCCTTCCATTCCACCCCCCAAGTGGGTGAACGGTCTTGGATATGGTGGATGCATGTCGTCTTAAATTCGAATCAATTATGTCAATTATACGAGTCAGCCGTGGACAACTCGGGGTCCCCATCCGGCCTATTTGGGGCGACAATTGGTTGCCCCGTCGGATTCGAGAGCTGGTGCGCTCTGTTATTCGTTCGGCTTTGATGTCCAAAATAATTACATATGCATGTTTTCACACACATGACGACGCCACTCTCAGAGTTATTCAGTTTATGGTGACGAGCTAGGAGTACCCTATAATGTTCTCTGGTTCTTTCAGTAACTGAGAAACCACAGAAACGATAAGGCTTGAACTGTAGGCAGTGAATAATATTTAAATTACCAATTCTTGAGAAAACATAATATATATTATGAGGTTGTGAATATAAAGAATGGAATTTTAATATGTTTATGGGGTAAACTACGAGTTCATTTAAAGAAACTGTATTAAGTAAGAGTTATTTTTAACTTAAAAAGTGGAATATCCTACTTGAAGAGTAGATCAACAAAATAGTTCTCCTTTGAACTTCCATTTAATCTAGTTTTTAACCAGACTGTATACCTTTATTATTTCATATTTAATTTATGAAATATTTAAGCATTTTAGCTTTTCTTTCATCAGTCTTCTAGATTTATATAAAATCAAGAAAATTCCTTAGAAAACAACAATTAACTCGTAAATAATACATTTACGATTGACCTGGACCCTTTCTTATGAATCATTTTCAAAAGAAACAGTTGTGCAATGTCAAAATCTCAAGATTATTTATTGACTTTCAATCAAAATCAACCCCACAGAAGTAGAAATTGTTTTTATTTACCCAAAAGTAATAGATATCAGCCCCGTCGACTGCTCGGGTAACAATACTCATTTATAGCTATCATTTGTTTAGTTCCCGTAGCTATTTCCGTGCTGTTCAAATATGCGGGTCGGCACGGACAAACAACCCCGAACTGAACCGGTGGGAGAGACTGGGACCAATGCAGCGAGACGAGATCAGGGCGCATTTCGTGCCGTACTACCTGCGGTGGAATTGTTGTTGTTTTTGTTTATTACCTGGAACATTAACACCATTGCCTAGGTCTGCGTTGAGCACTATTTTATGGTCATGCTGGGTTTATGGACGCGACTACTGTTCCATAACTCAGAGCATGAGCATGGCGCTCGTGCCAGGTTGACGTGTCCGTGATAAGGTTATCTTGAGATTAAGAACTCTTGGTCAGATCGTAAATCTGGTTTACGTAAACTTTTATTTCTTGCCTTGGGTTTAGTGATTTCCAAATCGAAATTGGAATTGCATTTAAATGTTGTTACCATTCCTGAACTTTGTATCTAATCGCAGCTGATAATTGATACGAGCCAACACGGTGATAAGAGCGACACTAAACGAGACTCTCTTTGCAGCTGGAGCACCGCAAGAACTACAACGATGATACCGAGGAGCGTTTCCGTTTCAAGATCTTTAACGAGAACAAGCACAAGATCGCCAAGCACAACCAGCAATGGGCCTCCGGCAAGGTGAGCTTCAAGCTGGCTGTGAACAAGTACGCCGATATGCTGCACCACGAGTTCCGTCAGGTGATGAACGGCTTCAACTACACCCTGCACAAGGAACTGCGGTAAGAAAAGAAATCCTACTCCACAGCAAGACTCTGAGTTTAATCCATGGTTTATTTTCCTCTTTTAGCGCCTCCGATGAGAGCTTTGCTGGCGTTACCTTCATCTCGCCGGCTCATGTCACCCTGCCCAAGGCTGTGGACTGGCGCACCAAGGGCGCTGTGACCGAGGTCAAGGATCAGGGACACTGCGGCAGCTGCTGGTCCTTCTCCAGCACCGGAGCTCTGGAGGGTCAGCATTACCGCAAGACCGGTGTCCTCGTCTCGCTTTCCGAACAGAATCTGGTCGACTGCTCCACCAAGTATGGCAACAATGGATGCAACGGTGGTCTCATGGACAACGCCTTCCGCTACATCAAGGACAACGGAGGCATCGACACCGAAAAGTCCTATCCCTATGAGGCCATCGATGATTCGTGCCACTTCAACAAGGCCACGGTTGGAGCCACCGATCGCGGATTTGTCGATGTGCCCCAGAAGAATGAGAAGAAGCTGGCCGAGGCTCTGGCTACCATTGGTCCCGTGTCCGTGGCCATTGATGCCTCCCACGAGTCCTTCCAGTTCTATTCGGAGGGCATCTACGACGAGCCTGCCTGCGATGATGAGAACCTCGATCACGGTGTCCTTGCCGTTGGCTTTGGCACCGATGAGTCCGGCGCCGACTACTGGCTGGTGAAGAACTCTTGGGGCACCACCTGGGGCGACAAGGGCTTCATCAAGATGGCGCGCAACAAGCAGAACCAGTGCGGCATTGCCACCGCCGCCAGCTATCCCCTGGTCTAAGGTCCAGAACTGATTTATTTACTAGCCACAGTCCCCTCATATTATAAAGAAAACGGAGAGAAAATGAAATACCCAACGCAAGCATCTCAAAAAATGAACTTTAATTAACTTCTAATCGTTCCCTTAGCCAAAACTTTATATTTTAATCTTTGATTTTGTATTCTCTCACCTTGTCTCCCATTACATTTCATACGTTCTGCCATCACATACAATCTAAGTGAACTCTTACTGTGTTGATGTTTGTAGAAAAATAAATATAAAAAAATATATATAAAATTTTAAAATATGTCTATAATTAACTGAAGCATTAGATGGAAATGGAAGTATGAAAAATAGTTTTTATTCGAATATTGCGCCAAAAGTGAAAGAATCCCATACAAAATGGTCACACATTAATCGATTATACAGGACTAGAGGCATTGGTGTTGCCAGATTTCGCGTTATTTACTCCAAATATCAGCTGTTTATAGATATGGTGCGACCGTTGCCTTTTATTGTTATTTTTCGGAAAAGTTAAGGATTTACCCAAACCAGATCTGGTCACACTATTAAAGTTGGGCAATAAGTTTCCGAAAATGCAAGAATAATACGAGTTTTTGCAACAAACTAATTAAGAATCCCTCCAAAGATGCTGTTGACACTTCGCGTGCAGGGAACCCGGCTCTGCCCGCGTCCAGCGAGCGCCACCCGAAGCCTAGCCAGCAGTGTGGCGGCAGAGAAGTCTTCGCCACCCCCAACCCAACCCCAGCTGGAGGTCAACGGGAGCACGTACGCCACCGACAGCTGGACGAACGTAACGCCCAAGATCCTGTCCTACCTGGGGGCCAACAAGCACCTGCAGACGGACCACCCGCTGTCCATCATCCGCCAGCGGATTGTTAATTACTTTTACGCCGCCTACCGGAATCAGCGCGGGAATCCCCTGTTCTCTGTGTACGACAAACTGAACCCGGTGGTCACCGTGCAGCAGAACTTTGACAATCTGCTGATACCCGGGGACCATGTGAGTCGCCAGAAGTCAGACTGCTACTATGTCAATCAGCAGCACTTGCTGCGCGCCCACACCACCGCCCATCAGGTGGAGTTGATCTCCGGCGGGCTGGACAACTTCCTGGTGGTCGGAGAGGTGTACAGGCGCGACGAGATCGACAGCACCCACTACCCGGTGTTCCATCAGGCGGATGCCGTTCGTCTAGTCACCAAAGACAAGCTTTTCGAGCGGAATCCCGGCCTGGAGCTGTTCGAGGAGACGTGGTCGGGCCAGCTGGCCGACCCGAAGCGCATTCTGCCCTCCTCGAAGTTCATGGACCAGACCAAGCAGCCCTGCCACACGCTGGAGGCTGTCAAGCTGATGGAGCACGAGATGAAGCATGTGCTTGTGGGCCTGACCAAGGATCTCTTCGGGCCGCGCATCAAGTACCGCTGGGTGGACACCTACTTTCCCTTTACGCAGCCCTCGTGGGAGCTGGAAATCTACTTCAAGGACAACTGGCTGGAGGTCCTGGGCTGTGGTATTATGCGGCACGAGATCCTGCAGCGTGCCGGCGTTCATCAGTCAATGGGCTACGCCTTTGGAGTCGGCCTGGAGCGTCTGGCCATGGTGCTTTTCGACATACCGGATATCCGGCTCTTCTGGTCGAACGACAGCGGTTTCCTGTCGCAGTTCAGCGAGAAGGATCTGCTGAATCTGCCCAAGTACAAACCCATCTCGCACTACCCGCAGTGCACGAACGACCTGTCCTTCTGGCTGCCGGAGGATGTGCAGGTGGACGCCGGCTTCTCGCCCAACGACTTTTACGATCTGGTCCGTTCGGTGGCCGGTGATATGGTGGAGCAGGTGGGCATCCTCGTGCGGCCTCCTCTCTTCTTTCAGTTGTTAATATTTATTTCCATTTGCAGATCAGCCTGGTGGACAGGTTCAAGCACCCGAAGACGGGCAAGTGGAGTGTGTGCTTCCGCATCGTTTACCGGCACATGGAGCGCACCCTCACCCAGGCGGAGGTCAACGAGGTGCACAAGCTGATCGCCAGCGCCAGTGTGGATAGTTTCAATGTGCAAATACGTTAGTTAGTCCTAGTTGCTAGTTTCTAGTTCCGTTTTCAATTTAAACCAAAAACAAATAGTAAAACGTGGCCATTAAAGTCAGGAGTTTATATAGTTTTAAAGCACTTAACATTCTGTTCGATCCATTCGTTGGCATTAACGAGTAGACTGGGATTATCGACAAACTCCTTCTGCGGTTGGCACTCTGTTTTGGAGCCCTTTCGCACAAAACCCGCCTCTCCCTCATTGAGTATACCCACAGAGGCCATTTCGTTCATGTTAACCGACTTGTTCTTACGGAAATTCTGAATGCTCAGGTGATCTAGCAGCCTGTCCATATCCTTGGCCTGGGGCGGGCACTCCAGGAAGCTGGCAATGCTATGAATAGTACCTGGAAGATCCACCAGCATGTCCTCGTAGCGCAGGAATAGCACATTGTCCAGACGGGCGTGCTCGCGAGCTTCCCTCACATGGCTGTAGTAGGGTAGCCAGGGATCTATAAGGATACAGAGAGAGAGTTCACAGAGACAGTGTCAGACATAACCCAAAGATCACCTACTTAGTCCTCGCTGAAAGTAGCGCCAATACCGCTCAAAGTCTCCCACATAGCCCTGGGTGCGGAAGAGCCTGTTCAAATGGTAGTAGGACACAGCCACATCCTTGGGATCGCGCATCACATAAATGACCTTGCACTTCTTCTCCATGACACTGGGCGGCATTAGGGAAAAGGGAAAGTGCGTTTTGATGAAGCGTCGTTGGTTTTGCGGCACCTCGCTCAAAGCCTCGTAGCCCGGCCGAGAGATCTTCTCAATGAACTCCGAGGCACTAGAGGACTCCTTGTTTTTGACCAGTAACTCCTCCTTGACTTGGGGATGCATGAATATGGGAAACCTTAAAAGGGAGGATAAGTAATCATTTTACCTTGGATCTTGGCCATGTCAACTCACTCGAAAAATGGAAAACGTTCAGTGAGCGGCCTTCGCTGGGCCTGCTCAAAATCCAGACCATTGCACAGGAGCCATATGAGCTCCTGTGTCCACGTGGTGCCCGATCTGGGCACGGTGGCTATCCACACATCATCCGGCCGTGCCTCAAAGTTGTAATACCTTTCCGCCTCTTCCTTGTACTTGTGGGGAAAGAAGTATCCCTCGGAGCCGACCTGCACGAAGCCTGTACGCTCTCCTAAGAGTTTTCGAGGGGAGAGATTGAGTTCAGACTAGGAAACGGAATACAGTTAATGCTGTGACAAACCATGAAAGTACTCCATCAATTCCGCATTGGTGGACTCCTCGACATCGCGAATTTCGTGGGGAAACTTTAGAGCAGAGTTTTCCATTGCACGCGCTACCAGTTGCCAGAGTTGACTGCGGACCAGAGAGCGTTCGTTCCGTTGAGAAAGCTTGACCCCGCTTTTGGGCCGCAGAGAAAGTGGCGGCCGCTGCTCAGCTTAGCTCAGCGAAATTTAAATAACGTCTTGATGATACTTGTTGTTTTATTGCTTTTAGTGCGAAGTACTACTTGCTGGACAAGCACAAGCTGCGGCTAAAGTTGCATTGCGTTGGGCTTAGTGCAAGGTACGTATACATACGTATTGTGTGTGCACACACATGGGTGTGTCCCAAAAACCAGACTTTACTTTTGGTATAGAGATGGAGAAGGGACTGGTTGGTCAGATGCCAGGCCAAGATTGCCACAGGTTTCAGTTCTATTAGATTTGATTTAAATGAAAAGAAGAAAGGAAGCCGGTTTGTAAGAGGCTGATAAACATTTTCCCAATACACTTTAATTCCCAAAGAAAAAGATAATTTTACTCTTCCTTTTTTAAGTTCTAAAATTTAACATTAATACACATTACAGTCCACAAAAAATTTTAAATATTGTCTTACAAGTCTCGAATCGAACTTGGGTTTACTCTTTCCCCTCAACGCCATCGAACAGACTCAGTAGCTCCTGCTCCTTGCGTTTAATGCGCTCCTGGATATTGGCCACCGGCTCCGACTTGGGCACCTCGCGGCTGAAGAACTCGTCCATTGATTTGAAGACATTCTGGTACTGGTTGTCGTAGGTGGCATACGAGATCGGCGGCAACTTCTTCGGTGCTCGCTTTGTGACGGCATTCCTATCGGAGAACTCCCTCAGCTCGTCCAGATGCAGCTCCTCGTCCTGTTCGTGGATAGCGAACCGACGCGCCGCTATGCGGTCATTCCGAGCCTTTTGTTCGCGTCGCTCCCGATCGATCTGCTGGACCAGCTGCGTCGACGGACTCACCATCTTAACGTAGCCAAGCAGCAAGCGATGGTCAAGGATCTCAGCCTCGTTGGTCTGGATGCCCGTCTCCAGTAGCTCATGTGCCTTGGCCTCTTCCTCCTTGGCCCTGGCCTCCTCCGCCAGCAGCATCTCGAATTCTTCCTGAGCCGTGCGTTCTGAAACACCTGTCGATGGCATCTCCTTGCGCTGATTGGAGGAGACCTTGCCACCGGCCGGCTGCCTATTTGGCCAGAGACGCGCCCGTGCCGCCTGTTTGGCTGCCTGGGTCATCACCCGCTGCTTGGTTGTTTTCTTAACCTCAGCCTCGGTGCTCGTCGATGGGAAAGTGGATGCTTGACTCTTCCCCTGGGCAGCTTGATCCCGCTGCTGCTTGGCCCTCAGGGACGACGTTATGGTGGAGTGAACCAACTGTGCGGGGGGAGTGTTCTTGACCTGGCGCCGACCTGGCTGCTTTGAAGCCGCACCGGTGCCGCCTCCATCGCCCGCTCCGCCGTGAACTGCCTTGCGTGTTCCCGCGGACTGGGTCGATAGAGGATCCGTCACCAACTTGGCCCGGACTGTCACCCCGGAGATGGTGTTGCCTCGACCTCGAGGAGTTGCAAGCGTTGCAGCACTCCAGCCGCCGGTTTTTCCGGAGGAAGTCATTATCCGGCTTGGTTAAGAGGCACTTATCGAACCGAAATCTTGTGGGTCTGAAAATTCGGGGGATTATTTGTTACTGGGAGGATCTACTATAATTTTCACAATGTTTTCGAACAGGATTGTTTTATTTCAAACTGTTTGGAGGCAATGACAAAAAATATATGAGATAATCCGTTGAATTTGTTCACCCCACATACTGGGATCACTTTAAGACCTAATAATTTGGTTAGTGGCTAAGCCCGTATTTCACAACCTTGACAATCCAGTCCGCATAGTAGGTTACTCGGGTGTAGACCGCCGGACTCCTACACACCCGTCTTCCGTAGCTGACGAGGCCGAACTGGGTATATCTCATCGAGCCATTTATGTTCACGAGATGGCCCAGCGGACTGCCAGAGTCACCCAAGCAGGTGTCGCCTGTGGGATGGCCGGCACAGATCTGGCCCGCTTTGACATGCATGCCCAAGTGTTCATAGCAACTCGCGGGGGATATATCTTCCAACTCGAGCGTTTGCAGCTTATCGGCTACCCATAGTTCTCTCGTTTTGCCCCATCCCGTGACCGTGTAGGACGTCACGAACGGTGCCCGCGAGGCATCCGTGAAAATGCAAATGGGTCTGATATTAGCTGTTGGCAAAATACTCGTAAGGGATACATTGGAAGGACCAGGGAAGAGCTTAACGTTAACCCACCGTTGAACTGCACCTCAGGATCAAGTTTCAAAATCCCGATGTCATGCTCATACGTATGCTTGCTGAAGAGACGATTCCTAATGGCCAAGGTTACGCTGTAAGCTATAGAGCTCTTGGCCCTGGATTCCGTATAGTACTCCCCCAGACGCACAGATCTACGGCCATAGGAGTTATCCCGTGAAGAGAGGAAAGGTCCAAAGTGTACTTACAAAGTCTGCCCATTGACAATGCAATGAGCAGCGGTCAGGGCAAATCCTGTTGAGTTAGGCTGCATTCAAAATCACTTTAAAATGTTTTAAGTAGAGTTATTTCTTACGTTTGTGAATGAGAGATCCACCGCATAGGAAATCATTTTCATTTAGATAAAGGTAGGCCATCCAAGGATTCTCTCCGTGTTTGGCATTAGTGCCGCCAAATATTAGGTCCTTGATGCCTGTGATACCGCAGTTGGGCTCCAGGAGCTGAGCCACCGTCTTCTGGGGATTGAGCAGTCCCACAAAACACACAAAAGTTAAAATTAATAGACAGCTCATCTTGGCTCGCCGGCAGATATGGATGTACTGATACCACCAGCTTCCAAAAGCACACCTTATATTGGACACCGATGAGGTTATCGCCTTTATATACACAAATTATAATATTTATATATTGGATTCTTGGAATAGGGGGCCGATTATAATGATCCATAAAATAAGCATGATAACAGCCCCATAACAAAAATCGAAAATACGCAATAGAGAGTCTCTTTGAGGGGGTCATCCCTTGTAAGGGCCTGTTTTTTAAAGGTTTTTAAGGATTTTTTATAGTTGAGAAAGTTCTGAAAACACAAGTACATATACAGGTGATAATGTGGAATATTTATTGAAATCAAATTGTCTTTTTCAAGTACTAAATACAGTCAAGGTTTAACATAGAGGCTGTCAATTTAAACATGTCTTTTTTTCACTTACATATTTGTTCACTTAATAATAAGTAATGGTACATAGATATGGAACAGAACAGTCACAGAACTTCAATGGTGCGGAATACACATATATTAATTGGCTTGGAACTTAGTTTAAAGATCGTTTAACCATGGAAATAACTTGACAGCTAATAAACACCCAAAGTAAAAAACTAATCGCACTCATATCTCTGGTTTACATTACAGACGTGGGCCCACCCATAATGGACGGCCATCGTGCGTATTATAAACGGATAACGATGCAGGCAGTTGCAACCGAAAAGTGTTCACTTTGAGGGCTCCATGTCTATGCTCGAATCAAAAACATTCGCATGTGATGGCGCCAAGACGGGAAGGACAGAACAGGACGGTGGGCTGGCTCCTCCTTCCGCCTGTCTCTAGCCTTCTCGGGTGGGCGCACGTCAAGTGCGAATCTATTTGGTAAGTTGTTTTGCTAATTGGCGCATGGATGATCGCAGATCGCACAAATGCCAATAGCAAAGTCAAAAAGAGGACCAAACTATCGCTTGTTAGGCCAAGCAACAGCATAATCCTCATAGATTGGAGATAGCTACTCTCCTAAGAAGCTACACTTTTATGAAATTATACACTTCGACTTCTTTTCCGTTCTGGGCGGCGGCGACGGCGACGGGGTTCGCTGCCAATCCATCTGAGTCCAGCCGCTGTGCGGCTCGTAGAAGGGCGGCGGGCGCCGGTACTCATCGGACATGGGACGCATATTCTCGAATCGGTGATTTCCTCTTGGAATATAACTGTAAGTTGTCTTTGGCGGCGACATTTGCGGAGCACTGGGCTGGTACGGCACTTCGATGCCACAAGGCACACCATTAATGTAGCGTTGCCCGCTCCTAGATGGCGATATTTCTGGTATAGACATGGGTTTAGAGGCCTTCCGTTCCGATGGTTTTGACTCACTTCCAAGTGACGGGATGGCCTGTAATGGTTTGGAGGCTTTCTCTACCGTTGGTTTTTGCTCGCCCTTATCTGAGGGAAGCCTAAAGGGCGTATTGACCGGCAGATTCAAGGGCTTTGTATGCTTTAATGGCGCCGTTGAAGTTGAAGCCTTGGCCTGGCCCTGCTTTTCCAATTTTAAGTTCTTCAGTTGAGCCGTAACCGCACGAGTTGCATCGCAGTTTTGGTTTACGTAGCGTGTTCCCTGGCCGGGAACCTTTGGCAACTCGTCAAAGATCTTGTCTAGCTCGGTCTTTTGGGAAGGCTTTGCCTCGGTGCCGAGTTTAAGCAACTGCTCCTTGTTGTAGAACAGCCTAACTGCCTGAGCCGGGTTCTTCGAATTGGAAGCAGCTAAGAGGTAAGAAAAGAAAAGGAATTAGCATTGTGGGAAGCGGCGCCAGAGAAACAAGAAATCGTGGAAAGTACAAAGATTGACGATTTATTATGCAAATGGGTCTAGGGATTGATCAACATTGATTTGTATTCAAATCTTATTATCCTTGTTCACGATTTCTGTTTCCCTGGAAATATTGGTTTTGGAATTTGGGATTATTACTTCGCTTTAGGGTCTGCCCCAGGCCCGGCTGTGGTGTAGTAGCCTGCTGTTGGTGCTCAACAGCAGCAGCCCCAGCAGCTCCGCTACGTGCGCCTCCGGGTGTGGCGTTCTGCTTATTCTGGAAGTTAACTTCTTCGCGAAAGTACGGCGTTCCCACCAGAGTCTTGCGATCACGACACATTTCAATAATACGCCGGAAGTCGTTATTCTGGCTGAGCGTTCGCGGATTACCGATCAGAATAAGCAGGGACATCGGACGCGATAACAGGACGTTCAGGCGCTTTGGGGGGGCAAAAAAGAATGCAATTAAAACATATAAATTAATACGAGAATTATAAACTATTTAAAGTAAAACAATTTAAAAGAAAACACAAAAACAGATAAGATATTCTTTAATCTCAAGACACTTACCCGTTGGTTGTTCAGAAAACCCAGCTTGGGAGTAAAGGATCGCACAAAGGACACTATGATCACCTGCTTCTCTTTGCCCTGGAACAGTTCCACAGACCCGCAATCGATCTGCGACCAGTTGCGCATGTTCAACTGCTCTTGAATGCGTTGATACTGGCTCTTATAGGGCGATATGACTCCTATATCCGACTGCGACACCTTCTCTCCGTTCAAGCCAAAATACATGAGATCCTTGACATAGTCCATGACGGCATCGATTTCCTTGTTGTTGCACAAACTGCAAAATAGTATATTTTTTTGTTATTTTAATGGCATTGTAATAGGAATCATGGCTACTACCTTACGGAGCTCTTGGTGTTCATCACAGTGCCAAATACTGAATGAAACATGATTGGAAAATCGGCATTGGGGGTGTGGAACCAAGTCTTGAAACGGCAAACAGCATCTGTACTCGAAATAAACGACGTTATTCGGAATTCAGCAATGGTCTGCTAGCTCTACTCACCCATTGGAGCCTGGGCCTTTAGCTTTCCATTGTAGTAGAGCTCGTTGTACAGCGAAACGATCTCAGGATGGGATCGGAAGTTGCGAATCAGGCGCGTTTGAATGGCCTTGTTGTAGTTACCATCCTTGTCTACCTGGTAGCACTTTCTCTCCACCAGCCGCTCGAATAAGGACACATCCAGACCCCATTCACTGGCCCGCTGCGATTGCAGGACTGGTCCCAGTTGCTTGTGGTCCCCGGATAGGATCAGATTCGACGATGGCGAAATGGTGCAGGTGATGCCCATCAGTGCCTCTGCCTCTGTCGAGGCGGCTGCCTCGTCCAGAAACACGTGCGAGAAGATGTTGTCGCGGGCGAATCCACCCGTTGACAACTTTCCGGCCAAACTGAGAGTGCAGACAATAATGCGATACTGATGCAGGGCCTGCACGGCCGGATAAAAGTGCACGGCATACATGTTGGAGTACTCCAGCAGCAGGTCATCAATGTTGTCTATGCGCCGATCGCAGCTGGCGGCAAAGATGCGGGCCAAGGGACGCGGTTGACTCTCCGGAGCCTTGGCAATCGCCTGGAGCAGGCGCAAAGCAACCTCGTCACAGGCCGTATTCGAGCCAGCCAGCACCAGAATGTTCGTCTCCGGACGGTTCACGTACAGCTGGTAGATGGCCTCGCATATGGTTGCGGTCTTGCCGGTTCCCGGCGGTCCGAATATGATGTACGGAGCGGGGAGCTTCTTGGTTAAAGCTATCTGCTTCACAGCGTCCAACTGCTCCGGATTGCTGGCAATCCTTCCGTTGTTCAGCTTCAAGGCCTCCCGTGGCACCGACTCCCACAGAATGTCGCCGGGAAAGAGAATCCTTTGCACATCCTCGGCGCGAGTCAAGGCCAACTGCTGGAGCGCTCGATACTGGTAGCGCATCACTGCCCTCAGCGGACGGAAGATCAGCGTGTATGTGGTGTTATCCGCCAGCTGACGTTCACAAGTGATGTTTACACGCTGCGTCGAGACGCCCAGGATGCGCGCAAAGTAGACGCGCGGCGGTTTGTCCAACGATCCAAACCGTTCGTCCACCTTTCGGCCCCACTGAACGATCGAGTCGAAGTCCTTGAGGGCCAGCTCCAGCACCTGGTTGTTGCTCTCCAGCATCTGGCGCACACCCGCCTCAGGACAACCACGCTCGTTGATAATCAGCACATCGTCGCCCGGCGAGACAATATCCTCGACGCTCATACTGTTCGCGCTCAGCTGCAACTTCACCGAGAGCTCCCGGCCGAACTGGTGCAGCTCCATCTTGGACTGCTTGAGAGCCAGGTAGTGCTGCAACCGTTCGATGTCCTCCACTTGGAGCAATGTGCGCAACGTACCGCTGATGTTCTCTTGGGTAAGATCATTGCCCCGCTCGCAAAAGTTGCGGTAGTGCTTGTCAAAGTCGGCCAGCCGCACCTGGGCATCCTCGTGCTTAAGGGCACTCACCACCTCGGTGGGCGGATTTGCCGGAGCCAGACGCTGGCTCTTGAAGGTCTCATTGCTGGACAGCCGGTACGGATTTATGTTGAAGCTGGCCTTGGGCAGCGCCTCCGTTCGCATGAAGTGGTGCTGCTCCACATACCTAAGTCCGTTGCAGGTAAATCCAATCACGATGGGCATTTCCCGGAGGATCATGAAGACATGCGAGTCCACAAAGAAGACCAATTCTCCGCTCTCCGACACCTCCAACGGCATACGGGCATTGTTCACGTAGTAGAACTGCCGCGACTGCACAATAATAAACTTGTTTACCACCAAATCCTTAAATTCAGTTTTTAAGGTGAAGCCAAAGTAGTGGCTGTCCACGCAGGTCTGATACGAAACCGTCAGCTTGGGGGAAGAGCTGCAAGGAACACCGATTTAATAAACACTTGTGATTTAACTTCCCCATTAAAACTTACAGCTTCTCCATCTTTTTGAGGGACTTGAAATCGGACTCATCGCCATGATATTCCACATGCTCCTCGTACTTCTCGATAGTCTCAAAGTTCACCTGGCAGATGTAGCAGCCCATGGAATCCAGTTCAAAGTCCTTGGGCGGCATCTGTACCTGGGTCTTTTGGTACTTTAATATGGTAGCCGCGGCCTGCGAATCAAGTTTGTACTCTGCAAACGAATCGCTCATATAGTTGTGAACATCTTAATGGCGGAAGATTGATCCTACCTTCGGTTATGGGCCTGCCATTAACCTCCACCGGAGCTCCTCCGGTAATAGCGGCCAATGATGTGGCACTGGAGTCCCGCTGACGGTGCTTTTCGTCCATCAAGTTGTACTTCTCCTTGCGAAATTCCATCAAGGCAAAGTTCTTGATGCGATAATTGTTGTTGCCACGCGGCGTATTGATCAGAAAGTTGGTCCGATGCAGCAGAGATCCGATCTATGGCGAAAACAAAAAAAGGCAGGCGATGTGCATTATTTCATTATTTATTTACATTGACCGCCCAAGAGGGATTATAGATCGTTGTAACCTTATCGCCGGGCTTCAAGTGCGATATCTGTGTGGTCAACAATCTGCAGCAGCGTTACATGAACCTGATAAAGGCACTGGTTTTTTTATTTGTGCAAAAAGGGGAATCACATCATCACTTGAGATGTATGTTTTGCTTAAAAAATCAATCCAAACATTGACATTTCCATACAAATGTATCATTTGCTTTAAAACCCAATAAAAATTGTTCAAAATTTACTTATGGATATGTAAAGTTAGGATTGTTTTTTTTCCAGGAAATGATTCTCAAAATAAAACCTCCAAGCCCTTGCTTATCAGCTTTCTGTCTTGCAAATTAAGTCACTTCTTATATTCCCATTTGTGTTTATATCTGAAGTGCAATGAATGAATGTAAATGAATATAATTTTACAACTTTACCAAGCAAACATATGCATGATTAATAACCAGTAGTTAATCGTTAATTAAATGAAAGATAAACCTAACAGACTTAATTGCACCTGGGATTCCCGTAAAACAAAATTCTTTAGCCTTAACCCTATGCAGTCACAATTTAGTTATCTGCAATTCATTTATAAAACCTTATCAAATGTTGGGAGTAGAAAGCTATCCGTAATACTTGTAGATTACACAGTTATGACTTCCGCTTGACTATATAATATATATTTCTTAGTTTTTAAAACCAAGATAAAGTAAGTATATCAACATTGTTCTTTCCTAATCATACATATGTTTGGCTAACTGAAGAGATGGATTTATTTCTAGGTATAATGAGGGGTTTAACCCAAATATGGATTCGTATAAGCCGGAGATGAAATCCGGCGGGGCAAACCCGCAAACAAAACACAAATGAGTCATATGCCTGAGCTGGATTAGTAAATGTCTAGCGCTATTTGACAGTGTTTGTGAGCGTCGTAGGGTTGATAATGCGAATCGAATTGTTTGGAGCCCCTCAAACTGAAAACAAAGGAAATTCGTAATGCAACATATGTACACAATTCTTATCGCTGTGGGGTAGGCGAATTTGTGTGGGTGTGACTTTAGTCTAGATTTTATGACCAGAAAAAACAGTTGAAAATTATAAAAAGTATATATGTACGTACATATATATATATTTTAAACGCATTACCAACAGAAGGTGCTTGAAAGTATACGTTTAAAATAAATTGAACCAGATTTTAAAGGGCTATATATTTTAATAGGTTCATTAGGCTAAATATGAACAGAAATCTTTAAACATTGTTAATGCCTCTTTTTGTAGTTTTAGATTTAATAACATTTCTAGGGATTATTTAATAAAACCAACTTGCATTAAAATATTTGCATATAAAACATCTTTAAAAATGTTAATTAGTTTTACTTCATACTTTTACGGACCTTTGTCCATTTGTTTTCGCTCAGTGTATGTCTACTTACATTCCAGGCTCCCTGGACAGATAGCTTCAACCGCACCTCGCCGCTCTTGGAATGCGATGCAATATGTGCGTCGAACATTTGACGCATTTTGATCTTGTCCACGTACCACTCCGATCGGGCAGTGATCACCTGCCGATCGGCCATTTCCAGCAGAAACGTTCCAATAAACTCGCGCTCTGTCGGATGCATTAAATGGGATCGATGTAAAACCTGCCACCTTATGCACTTAGAATTTGGCTTACCCCATGCCACTGGCGGCTTGCGAGCCATTCCATTGGGATAGGGGCCGGGTGTTGTTTTCGTTCCAGCTCCATTACTGGAAGGCGGCGTTAACGGCGGCGTCAATACTCCATCAGGCGGACTAATATTGTTGTTATTTTTTTGTGCGGCTGCTGCTGCCGCCGCCTTCTTCTTTTGACTTTTGTTCTTTGTCATGTTCTCCAGATCGTAGTTGTTTTTACGTTTTTTTCGTGCTTACGTTGCCTAAATAGCTTATGCTAAAGTGTAAGCAATTACAAGTTAGATATTTAACGCGATCACAAAGCGCACAGCACAGCACACACACACACACGAACGGTTATATAGACTATATAGTTTCTCAGAAGTGCAGCTGATCGAAGTGCACGCCGCGACGTTCCAGTAGCAAATAAAGCGAACGATCCGTTAGCGGTTTCTATATAGCCGTGCAAGTGTGTGTAGGCGCGGGTTTGGATGTGTGCAGCGGCAGCGGGCCTTTCGCAGTAACGGAGATTGCTGGAACGGCTTTCCTGGCTTCCAGCGAACTTCAGAAGGTGGAACATTGGAATGGTAAAGGGGCAAGAGCTTCCGTTGCAGCAGGCGTACTTACGGATCACTGCGAATTTGAAATGTATATTTGTTTTTAAGGTTTTTTTTGCCTTTGCGGCCCCTCAACAATGCTTGACCTTTAAAAGTGTACTTTTATTTCTATATGTATGCTTTTGTATATTTTTGTATTCGAATTTTCGTGGGGTATACTTGGTATAAAATTGAACTGTAACGAACGTTTGACTTGAAATTCGTGGAAAGTCCCGAAGTTGAAGTTCGGTTTGGTGTGACCGATCTGTGTTTAGGTGAAGATCGGTCGATCGCGGGCCTTACGCCTGCCGGGTATTTTTCGCAACAACAATTGTGGTCATACTTTTGCCGCTTTAAAATTTAAAAAAGACACTACAATATTTTGTAAACTGCCCTGTAATTACAAAATTAAATAAAAAATTATTTAATTAAGGAAGAAATAAAGTTTATTTTTGATATTGAAATGACATGGTTACCATTAATAAAAATAAAAGTGATTCAAGTGTACAAATAAAATAAATAACAATTTCTTTTCTGATCGTGTTTTGGAAATGGGTTCAAAGTTGCTTAGAAAAAACGTTATAAACATTTCTTAATCGATTCGCTTTTTAACTTATTCTTGTAAACTTAGGACTACGTTAAGAATCTACGCTTACTACTACTTCTTGGCCAGTTTTAGCTTCTCGGAGCCGAAGATCACTCCAGTGTCGCCCAGTTTGCGCTTCATTGCAAACGGATTGACCGAATTCAGGGGAGTTCTCTGCTCTGCACTCTTACCCAAGGGAATCTCGGGCTCCGATTCCCCGAATATGTTCTCCTGGGTATCCAGCGGAGACTGTGTGATCTCTGGAGTCGAGGGACGCGATGCCGCTTTGAACATATTCGGCGAGTTGGTGAATCGCTTCAGGGTTCCCCGCTTAGCCGAGCTCAGCTCGATTGCCTTGGGCTTGGGCCCACTCTGGCTACCCGCTGTCGGCGTCATGGGCAGGACAATTGTGGCAGCAATGCCGCTGGCCCCTAGAAGCGTCTGCTGTTTGCGTGCCTCCTGGACGGCCTCCAGTTGCGGCAGCAACTCGCACAGGCGATCCGACAAATTGATGCGACCGCGCTTGGTGGCATACTTCACGGCCAGTTGGAGCAGCTCCGTGCAGGCTATCGATTCGATCAGTTCCCTGGCCCGCGTCTCGCACTCGCTGCTGCAGGCCAAGGCGAACAGCTTGATGGCCGTCTCCTTCTGCATCTTCTCCGCACCGTCGACCTGCATCAGACTCGAACGCAGCAGGGCATCCTCCAGCTCAGATTTCTCTACCTCGATGTCGCACAGCGGGATCTGCATGCGCAGCTCCTGCAGCATGGGCCGCGGATTGGTCATCGGGTAGGAGGTGCCGCGGCACAGCACCGCCTGCACGATCTGTCGACGCTCGGAAACGGCGACCACGAAGAAATTGTGCGACACACTGGTGCTGTGCTTTATGGTGTCACAGATGGGGAACCAGGCGTTGCTGCTCCGGCGGTACAGCTGCATTAGTCCCATGTTGTCCGCGATGCTCGGTGATCCGGTGTCGCTGTAGCCCAGCCAAGAAAGCTGCCGGCCCGGAGTCAGCGGCACTGGCAGATACTCCTGGCGCAGACTCAGGCCATTGATGTTAACCAGCATGGCCGAGAGGTGCTGCTGCGTCTGGCTGGGCGCTGAACTGTGGTAGACCACCATTAGGCTGTGCTCGTGCCCGGCGAGAGCTACCACAGGTCCCGGAATGGTCAGCACCTCGCGCTGTGTTCCCATGACACTGAAGATGCGCAGAAAACTGGAGCTGGTGGCAACAGCGATCAAATGACTGGTGGCCACCAGTGCCTCCACGCTCTCGCAGTCCGGCAGACTGAGCGACCACTCCTTGTTTCCAGCGGCGGCCAGGGCAATCACCACCAGCTTGCTAGACTCGTTGGAGGCCAGGGCCAAGGCTCCACTGCTCAGACTGGCCAAATTATGATGATTATAGTTACTGATGTGCAGGGCATGGTGGATGCTGGCATCGTGGAACTCCACGTCGATGGCCCCGTCTCCCGAGGGCTCCACATGGGCAGTAACAATGCCCACGTCGTTCCAGGCCATGTAGCGATGCTCCAGGTCGCTGGGAGTGGCACTGGGCTGAAAGGCCGTCTGCTGCTTAAAGAGCTTGATTTGCGGAGCAGCTGCAACAGGAGCAGTTCTGCTGCTACTGGCCAGGGACTGGTTGGAGGCATCGTCTTGGTCCGCAGGGTCTGCGAACTTCATCACTTTGCGTTTTAGTTGCTCCAGGCTAACACCATCGCCGTCATCCACAGGGGCTTCCACATCCCCGTCGCCCTCAAACTCATAGTCGTCGAGCAGCTCAGCCTGATCATCCACCAGGCCCTCCTCAACGCCTCCTTCGGCTGCATCGGTGAAGAACACAGTTCCCAACTGGCCAGTGGCATCGCAGAAGGCCACCTCCTCTTCGCCGGATCGGTTCCAAGCCAGACAAGTGATGGAATTGCAGTCGTTTGGCGGCATCTCCACCGAGACTGATCGTCGCTTCTTAACATCGAAGATGCTAATCTCACCCTTGGTCGTTCCGGCCGCCAACCTCTCGCCGTTCGGGGAGAATTGGCAGCAGCTGTAGTTGCTGGACACTGCATCGTCGCGCAGTGTAAAAGCCACCTCCCAGTTGGCCGTGTTGAGCACCACAATCTGGTTGTCCACGGCGTAGGCGAGGAGTTCTCCGCTCTGCGGCTCAAAGGTGGGAGTGCCATAGTGACTGGCGCTCTCGAAGCTGTTCACTTTGGGCAAACCAGAGATGCTCTTTAGCTCCTTGCCCTCCTCGAAGTTCCACACCTTGAGGTTGCCATCGCCCGCCACGGATGCCAGGAGTTTCCGTTCGGCAAACATGTCCAGGGCCAACACTGGACCCGTGTGTCCCTCCAGAACGGTCTCATTGCCGGCGGTGTCTCCCTTCAGCACCTTAATGGTGGTATCCTCGCTGCCAGCAGCGGTGTAACCACCCTGCACCTTGAGACAGGTAGCTGGGGCCGTGAATCGCATGAGAATGCCGTCGCTGTCCATGTCCGGGAACGTGTAAGCATGGACCGTGTTGCGATCCGTAGAGGCCAGCAGGCGGGTGCCCGTGTGGGCGAGGCACATGACGAACTCGCCCAGGCAGCTGGAGCGCGGATCGTCGTCGCTGATGCAGGTCCAGTGCCTGATGTCGCCATCGGTGCCCCACGTGATGATGAACTCGCCGCGCGGCGTGTACAAGAGTCCTGTGTAGCCATTGGTGTGCGCGTAGCGCAGGGCACTGCGCGAGAAACTCATCTTTGTGGAACAATTAATGGAACCTTAAATGTTAATTCGCTGATCTGGACAACTTTTGGCGCTAAAATGGGCGCCTGACAGCCAACAGTGTTGGCTAAGACGAGAAAGTCTTGTGTGTTTTCTAACACATTCAAATCAGCTGTTGGTCAGCTGGTGCCTAAAATACCCTTAAATGGCCGTGAATACTTCGATTTTGTTAAGAAGTTTGTACGCTTAGTTGTTTTTCTTAATTAAAATTAATTCATTTAAATATTTAAGACTATAGTAAAATTTGTATCATTCTAAATCTAGTTATATTCATACTTTTGCATTTTATTCTCTCTTTCCTTGCACCATATTACGCAAACTAAAAGTTAGTGTATCTCCCACTTCGCCTACCAAACAAAAAAATCTCTTCCCCTTGCCGGTGGGTGGCTTGTTACAACATTGCTTTAATCTCTCGCTAGTATAATGTTAAGGAAATTAACTAAATTATCCACTTTAAAAGTGAGGAATGAGCTGCGTCCTCTTGCCTCGCTGGCACAAAGCTCGCAAAATATATTCGACCGAAATGCAAAGCGTTTGCAAAAGGAAAGAGCCGCTCTCAGGTGAGTTTTTCCTCCTAAAACCAACAAAAAGCCATAACAAATTTATACAATTAACAGCGAAGATGTAGGACTCTATGATTACCTCAAGGAGGAGGTGGGCTTCCGCCTGGCGGATCGAGTATTTGACATTAAGCGCGAGTTCAAGGCGGCGGCGGATATTGGATGCAGTCGTGGCTACCTCTCCAAACACATTCTGGCGGAGAGCGTGGAGCATTTGACGCTGACGGACACCAGTGCCGCCATGCTGGAGCAGGCACAGGGCACTCCAGGCCTCAAAATGCTCAAGCTGGTCAAGGATGAGGAGGATTTGGACGTGGGTAAATATCATATTTAGTCTGCTTCACGATTATAACCAAGTAATCGCTACAGTTTGAGGAGAACTCACTGGATCTGGTCATCTCCAGCCTGAGTCTGCACTGGGTGAATGACTTGCCCGGCTGCTTTGCCAAGATCAAGCGCAGTCTGAAGCCGGATGGCGTCTTCATAGCCTCCATGTTCGGCGGGGACACACTGTACGAGCTGCGCTCCTCCCTCCAACTGGCTGAGCTGGAGCGTAAGGGAGGCATTTCCCCGCACATATCACCCTTTACCCAGATCCGGGACATTGGCTCCCTGCTGAATCGAGCCGGCTTCACCATGCTCACCATAGACACAGATGAGCTGGTCATCGGTTACCCCAGCATGTTTGAGCTGATGTGGGATCTGAAGGGAATGGCGGAGAACAATGCGGCGTTCAATCGGCCGGCACATCTCAGTCGGGAGACAATGCTGGCGGCCAGTGCCATCTACCAGGAGATGTATGCCAAGGCCGGCGAGAAGGGTATACCGGCTACGTTTCAAATTATTTACTTTGTGGGCTGGAAGCCGGGTCCCAATCAACCTCAGCCCCTGGAAAGGGGTACGGCGGAGGTGTCGCTCAAGGATCTGGGGACAATAATCGAAAAGGGCGGCAAGCTCGACACCAAGGCGGGGGATTAATGTTCGATTTTTTGTTAGTTTTTATTTCTTGAAACGCAGAGTTGAACATAAATATAAAACTTAAATAAACCTAATTCCGTGTGGCTGAGAAACTTAGGCTAATGATTCGTAATGTTTCGTGAAGAGATTAATCATGAAATTAATGATAAATACTCAATTGTCAGTGTAATTTTTTTGGTTGGCATAACTATACATGTAAATATAAATATCTAGCGTAATCATTCGATTTCTATAGCTATGTGTAGCTTTCAAGTAATTTTTGGTTGCCATCCTTCCGCCTTTACATACTATTCGCGTTTCATTTCATGGACGTAACTTTTTAACGTTGCTTTGTATTTTCATTCGGTACGTATATATATACAAGTACAATTTACAACAATTTTTATCCTCTATAATATTATATAATATATATATGCTTAGGTTTAATTCAATATGCAATGCAATTAAATAGATTTCTAACCGCTTTCTTTTAGTTTTGTATTAAATACGATTTGCTCTTGCTTCCATATATATATTGTTCCTCTAGCATTTTGCTGCGTATGTAATTCTCGATTGCTTGGTTTCTGTTTATCAATTGGTTTTAAACTCGTAACTGTTGTAAATTTAATTTGGCGCATCTATCCCAGCAACTGGTTCCCCCACTCTGCAGGCCCGGCGGCGGCGGCGTATGTATGTATATACAAATAGGTTTCATTTTGGACTTTCTCCTGGGTTACTGGAGGCCTGCTAGTGCTCCTAGTTCTAGTTCTAGTTTCTGCGGTGGCAGGGCAAGAAGACTTAAGGCAAGGCAAAGGCAAACGGCTGCTGCTAGCACCAGGAACTAGGTGATCCCACTCTGGTTTGCCGCCGCCGTCGTTGCCTTTTGCTTTGCCAGTCATCCAAGCGCCAGCGGCGATCTCGGCGGAACTGGTGGCGGCGTGGGTGTGGCTCTAGGCGAAGATGTGGGGCTAGCTCTGGATGCTCCTCCACCTCCACCTCCTCCGCTACCGGTTGTGGAAAGTGTGTGGCGGATATCTGCAGCTGCCTGCGCCGTGGAAGACGACGCAGGCGGCAGCCGTCAGGTGCCAAGAAGCAACTCACGCTGCGGTGTGTTGTTCTGCAGCATATTGGCGGTTTTTAAGTGAACACTACAAGAAAAAATGATATAGTTTGTTTATGAGTTTTGGTATTGTATCAACTACTCACTTATTGTCCTCCAGCGACATGGTCTCCGACGAGCCGTGCGAGGCAACTGAAGTACCTGCAAGCGAACTTCGTATTGAGTGCGAGTCCTCGGGAACGGTAAGCGTAACTAATAATTTGCGTTTGCATATACATATATGTTTTTGAGAGATTTTTGAGCGATTTTCAATTTGTTTAGCGAACGCGTCGTGATCGTCAGTACCAATCCCAGTTCGTTGTCGTTGCCAATGTGCGTTGGAAAAGAGTTGTTGGTTGTTGGAATAAATTGCATTTAGTTTATTTTTGGTTTGTGATTGTGTAAAAATTTTGGTTAGCAGTGTTAGTGTTGCTGTGTTTGTTTTTTTGTTGTTGTTTGTGAGGTGCAAATCGAGTGGAATTTGAGCTAGAGAGAGCCTGGAAAGATCTCTCTGGCAGTGCTATACTAACGAAATTTTGACTAAAAAAGAATATATATTATAAAATGGAAAATAAATTCCTATTTTCTACTCGGAATATAGACAAATATTCAGTCGAAGGTTATTTATATTGAAAACCCGTAAAATTTAAAACATTTAATATAAATTGCAAATTATTTTTGTAAGCAGCGAAGCGCGTGGTTCTGCTTGTAATAAAATATATCATAAACATTCTAGTTGGCTCATTCCATTTTCAGTACAAAATCATATTTATTTGTGTGTTACTTTTGCTAAGTATATATTATATATATTTATAATCATATAAATTATTGGCTAATCAAGGTTTACAAACTACCATTTCAATTTGGCTTTAATATAAACTAAAGTTGAGTTTCTTTTCTTTGTTTTTTAAAGCAACAATAAAGTAAATGCAAGTAGCTTAAAGTACACAAGTATTACGGGGTAGTAAGTAGGTAATAAAGTGTGGAAAGTTAAGCGGTTACAATAAATTATTAATCGTTGTACGGAATCGTTGGAGTCTTAGGAGTTATCAGGTTTTCTTTTGGAATACAAACTCTCTATCGGTTAGGTAATATCAGAGAGTAAGAGTAACAGGACAAGAATAATGTTGGAAAACAAGATCTAGATACAAAAACATCGATAAATGCTAGCAAATAACAATTTTCAATTTCCTGTCGATTTGAGAAAAATACAAAAATTAAAGCTAAGTACGTGGAGATAATACACTAGCGAATGTTCGAGGGTTCCTGGGGAAAGGACAATCGTTATTGGCATATGCGTTTTATAAACCAAAAGGGAGAAAAACATTAACTACATAAACAAAGATTACGAATCAACTAAAATTAGAGGCGCGTATTCTCCACGCTCAGCGCATCATCGTCGTCGTCGTCCTTGTTTGTTATGTGCGTGCCGCCACCTCCATTTTGGATGATGTAAACCCTTTGGCTGTTGGAGGTCTTCGACGAGTGCATGTACACCTGCTGGCGCTGGAGCACCTCCAGAGCCTGATCCAGATCGAGGCGATTGCGACTATCGCTATCGCTGCTGAAGCTATGCCGCATGTGGTGCCCATTGGGCAGACCGGCTGCTGCGGCTGGATGCGTTGGCTGCTGCTGCTGCTGGGCAAGATAACTGAGATTGTGGCTACTCTGGCTGCGAGCGGGGTCTTGGGCACTCTCGGGAGTGGTCACCACAAATCCGTTGCTATACAGCGAGTAGCTACTGTTCGCCGGCGAGGTGGCTAAGCTAGTGATACTCTGAAAGGTTTTCATTGAGTATCCGTCACCTACAGAACAACAGAAGCGATTGCGGATTAGGATCATATCTGATATCGGTTTTATTTTATTTTTGCAGCTCCGATTTGCCGGGGAAGACGCAGACGCAGAGAAGCGATGGGAAACGGATGTATATATATATGTACACGGAGCGGACAATGTTAGACAGTAATGGTTACAAGATGGAGAGCGTCCGGTTGATTACACATGACATGAACGTCTAGGGGCGTATTTAATAAGCGTATATATGATCTGGTTGTGGTTGTGGTTTCGCTTGGTTATTGGCTTGGCTTGGGCCCTTAAAAACTATTACTTTACACAGTTAGACAGTTAGAATTAGTGCCCATTTACAGTCCATTACTTGGTATATTTCATCCAGAACCTCTAATATCCACACTCTTGCCGTTCCCAAATACAGATGAAAGTGAGATGCTCTCAACCCACCCCCGCCTCCAACGTGCAAAAGGTCAATATATTAGCATTTTATCCAATTATTAACGCCTGGTTCTGCCAGTCGAGATGATGACGCACACTTGGACTGGCGATGACTCGCTGAAAGTGGCTACGATCTTAGCGTAATTTCAAATGAAAGAAAACACTAGACATTGCTACTCAAATTATACAAATAAACATATGCCATATCTCATATTCTAGAACTAAATAGGACTTTGTACATGGGAAATTACGAAATTATAAACTAAGGCAACGACGACAACAACACCAATTCAAGTTCGTTTTGGGGAACTGCTCGTGTTTACACGCAAAATTGTGATAAACTTGCACCACACAATACAAAAGTAAATAGAAATTAAGAAATATTGCAGAGATTACAGATTAGAAGAGAGTTACAGTCGGGTTAGAAGTGGGTTTGTTTGGAAGCAAGCATTAGTATTAGTAGATCAAGTGAGTGTAAGGATAAGTGTGTGTGGTCAATGACTCACCCGTGGCGCACTCTGAAGTCTCGTAGGACACCGTCGATTGTACCTCAATCGCGTTCTGTTCTTGCCTGCAAAACAAAGTCAAAATTAGCCAACAATAAGCCAGTTATCTTCAACTAAAATTCTTACCTTGATATCACATCTGTTATGACTTGCTTCTCGTTGTCTGTATAATCGTTGCGTCTGCGGCCAATCTTCTTCTCCATATCCGCCTCGACAAAGTCGCCCAGCTTGCGGGAGGGGAACTCGTTTGACTTGGCTGGCGGCAGCGCGTCCAACTTCAGGTCCTTCAGCTTCTTCATTACACGCTCCAAGGCCTGAATGGCATCGTCGTCGTTGTAGCCAAAATTCTTGTGCAGCTTCACCTGCAAGTACTCAATGATGGCGTCCATGTCCTTCAGGCGGATCAGTTCATCCTTGTGCAGATAGAGAATGGTAATGGCCATGGACAGTATGACGCGATCGCCGTCCAGCATGAAAATATCCCAGACGCGCAGGCTCAAACTGAACGGGACGCGCTCCACAAAGACGACAAAGAACCACTTGATGGCGTAGAGCAGGGCGTCAACGTTGTGTTTGGTAAAGTGCTTGTGTAACTTGCGCATTATCTTGGACATGATGCGGTCGTGGTGGGCAATAAAGCGCGTCAGCTTGGGAAATCCCTCGATGAACAGGCCATGCATGCCGTACTTGGGATCTGTGATCAGGGTGTTCAGGGCCCAGAAGGCCTCCTCCTCCTCGACCATGTAGAGCAGCAGAACGCCGGCCACACAAGCCATACCCTGGCAGTAGCCCAGCTCCGAGTTGTAGATACTGTAGGCATTGAGCACATTGAAGAGAGACACCTGCTTGGTGCAGTAGCGCTCCCGGTAGGCAAGATTGTCGCGAAACTGTCGGTTTACATCCGCATCGATCTGGCGCGCCTCCGTTGAATACTTTCTCGCCAGCTGCAGCATGCGGGCATAGACGCCAGCATTGCTGGCGATCGAGTGCTCGACATTGAGCAGACGTTTCCACGCTTGCCAGCGCACGCGATCCGGTATGCCCTTGTAGACACGCTTGTGCAGTTTGTCCGCGGGCGGTGGCCAGTGGCCGAGCATCTTCAGCCACTTCTTGTCGCGTTCCGCCTCGATGTTGTTACGGTGGAGCTCCTGGGCGTTGCGCGTTGTCGGCAGGCGAGAGTCGTGCATGAATCCATATCTGCGAAAAAGCGGGTATCGTAAAGAGGAACTACAATCAACTGAGGGAGGCCACCTACTTGTCGGTTATGTGATAGATCTCGAATGTGGGATTCTCCCAGGAGTCCACCACGTTGCTGGGATCCAGGCCCAGTTCGTAGCGCCTGAAGATCTCCTCGCGCTCGTCCTCGGCCCGCTTGACAAGCGCCTCCTGCTGTTCCCCTTCGTCCGTCATTATAGGAACAACGGATTAGCTGCAGCTGGTGGAGAATGAGGAGGGGCAGCAGTCAGAGGGGGAGCAATCGGAGGAGGTGGTAGCCAGCGCTGGGGTTTCCACGCTCTCAGTTGAGGAGCGGCTGCTGGTGCTGCTGCTGCTTCTTCGCTGGCTGGGCGATAGCGCGAAACTTTGATAAAGACAAAAGCACAGCGGACATTATTATTAACAATTGTAATCTATAATTTATGCAAACAGTCATCGCACACGCTTACACACTCACTCACACACACGCACACGCATGGCAACGGGCTATTGTCGCATGATATTTAAATGCAGCGACAGAATCGATTTCACTAACTAAAACTACAATAAGAAAAGACAACGAACGAATGAGCGTGGCAGAAATGACGTGATTTTCCACAATATTCAAATAACAGCGCATCAAAACATGACAGCGCAGGCAACCGACAAGAAACACGCCCCCTTAAATCCCAGCGAAAGCGGTCTAGATAAATTTAATATATGAAAGCAAGTCCCTGCCCGCCACTATTAGTCAGTTATTTTAATGCACTTTATGTTTTATCGCTCACACACTTCCTGTTTTCGCTGCGATTTGTTGTATTTTTGTCAACACACAGACATGCACGCACGCACACACACACGCACAGCCAACGAAGAGAGTGCTCGTTCTCTGGCTGCTTTCACCGAAAACAAATTGTTCGATCGCTGCGATCCGATTGCCGCTGGTTTACCATTTAATTTTGTATATATATTCCTATTATCCGCACCGATCCTGTGTGTTTTTTTACTTATTTTTTCACTATTTTAACGCGGCTGCATGTTTCCGATTGTTACACGCGATAGACCAGCGAAAACATCTATCGATGGAGTTGCCAGACTGTGGAGTTAACTAGAGATGGGCACTGGATAATATCGATACTATCGATCGATTATCGAGCCTGATAAACACAAAAACGCAATTTCCTAATGTCAATAAATCCATTTCTTTCTAGTTCTAGAATCCCCCTGTAGCGCTGGAAATAATTTAAAAAACCCTCTTGAAGTACTGAATTGCAAAAAATTCAAATCGAACTGAAAACATCGGTCTGGTGAATAAAAATATATCGATAGCTCGACGCAACATCGAAGTCTTCGCAGCTCTAGTACATATATAGTTTTAATTGTGCTCGAAAAAACGGAGTTAAAGTGAATGCCAGCGTCCAGAAAAAGTACTCGAAAGCATCCAGACCCAAGCTAGGCACCTTGGGCCACCGAGAAACGCGGGACAAGCTATGCCAATGCAACAACAATAATAATAAAACGGGTACGAAGCGAGGGCAGTTCGAAGGAAGTGCGTAGCGCAGCGTAGAATTTCGACCAAAAACCAAAAAAGAGGAAAAGAGACGCTCAATAGAGCGCACATATACATGGCGATATTTACGATATATATTCGCGATTGGGAAAACTAACGAATGCCCTATGTTGTTGTGTATTTTTCGCAGCTTTTCGTAGACGCTGCTGCCGAAAATCAGTTCTGTCCATTGCCATAGACTTGCGGTAAATCGAGCCCCCGAGCCCCAACGCCACTGGGAAGATGGTGTCCACCCGCCAAATGTGCGGCAGTGCCGCCAACGGAGGGGCTTCAACCTCAGGATCGGGTTCGGGATCTGCAGAGTCGCAGGAGGTGGTACCCACTGGTGTCCCTCTCTTGCCAGTCGCCCTCCAGGAGCCCGAGTCCACGGCAGCTCGTACGTCCGTCCTGCGTCGCGCGGCCAGTTACCAGAGCAATCCCGGCCAGTCGCCGGCCAGCCTGGCCTTCTCCGCCAGCGTGGTGACGCGCCACCACTCATACAACATCCAGATGCAGCGGGGCGGTCAGCTTGTGGGGATGGGGCCTTCGGTCTCCAGCGCTCCAGTGCAGGTCCCGCCTGTTGGGCTGTTGGACTTGCCCAACGAGCTGATTGAGAAGATTCTCGGCTACGTGGACTACAAGAAAATCTCAAATCTCAGAATGGTAAGTGCAACCTGTGCCCCCTAAGGGCCCCCTGCCCCCTCTCTCTCCCTCTCCCACCAAGCGTTGGTGGCTATTAAATCAATAAAAAGCAATTTCCCAAGTGCAGGCGTGTGGGACGGGCGCAGAGTTGGTTATCCAACGAACCCGGCAACTACCTGCACTCGTAGTCTGCCTGGCCTGTGCCATAGGTCTGTTGGTATTATTTTCGCGCCGACATCATCGGCCTGGCCCATGCGTTCCCTCGGTGATGTTCTATCCCTCTCTTGGCAGGAGGCAATTAAAACTTTGTCACGAGGGCACAGCACATGCACTTGTGATTGTTTATATTTAGCGGTGCAATATGCTGCTGATCTTGATTTCCGCGGGGGGTGAATCACAGTCGTAAATGTATAGATATCGTAGGTCCATTTTTAATGATTTAACGAGTAAGGGGAGGTAATCTTTTATGTTAACTTTGTAAGGCAAATTGTAAGGTTTTAATACAACAGCAAAGACTTTAAACTGATAATCAAAAACATTGGGACTTTATGAAATGGCACTTACTATAATTAATTACATATATAAATGTTTTTAATAGGATAAAAGATATAGAGAGTGATGATTTTTGCGGCTACAAGAGGAACCTTGATTTTTTGACAATCAAAACCTTTTGGCTTAAAAGTAGGCTTTCTCTGACTAAACACATATTCGTTATGGTTTCTAAATGTTTTTTATTAGGGATTAGAGGAAGTCAACCAAAAACACTAAGAAAATTCAAGCATGCCAACATAGCGGAGATAGTAGACGTGAAATAGAGTTGAATTTAATATAAATATATATTTTTTTATTCCTTTTTTTTTTTTTTTTTTACAAATTTAATGAATATCTTTGAAAATAATAGAAAAAATCAGAAATTGAATTGACTTTTATATAAAATATAAAAAAATAAAGAAAATCTAATTATTTTTTTAAGTCTTACTTAAAAAATTCCAATAAATTTATTAATTTAATAATAAAGTATGATGTGTGTGCATAGCCATAGTTTTTAGGAAACTATTTTTGGTTCAAAACCTTGAGGAAGGTGTCTACACCTCGGCGTGTCTTTGTGTTTTTGGGTTTTGATGGCATTTTTGCCTGCACCATGCTTCTCCCTTCTCCCTGGCCAGCCACTGGTGTGTGTATGTATGCAGCGGGGTTATTTGTCGTAGGTAGCGGAGACAAATGTAATCTGATATAATTTAATAACAGGCAGAACCACTGCCTCGTGGATGGATGGAGGATGTATGTACATATGTATGCGGGCCGAACCTGAAAAATCTCGCTCCAAAATTGTATCAGCACTTTACCAAAACTCTCGAATTTTGTATGCAGGTGTGCCACCGCATGAACGACATTTGTATGGCCATGCTGAACGCCGCCTTCTCCAGGCAGATTAATACCACGTTCAGCCGCTTCCAGGCCATCAAGGCAAGCATGCCGCGCCGGGAGTCGGCACGACGCAGTCATCCGCTGGCCTGCCAGTGCGACATTATCGAGACGTGCTACATGCGTCTCTCACTGCTGCAGATGTCCATGGGCAAGCACATGGAGCGGGGCCACTGCTGCTTCTTTCCTGGATCCGTAAGTCAAGCTCCTAAACTGATTCGTTTCTAAATGCTAATACGGATTATTTTCACAGATATTGGACGAGGTAAACGGAATTTTGAACTATATAAATTTTACGCCTCAGCTGCAGCGACCTTATCGGGTGACCGATGAGCTCTTCGATCTCTCCACCATGGCCATGGAGTACTTTAAGGACCGCATCGAGCCAACACTTCCCGGTCTGGCTTACTTTAACAAGGACTTCTATACGCTGCCCACCACCACCAAGCGACGTAAGCCTATCATTTCCGGCTGTAACAGTCAGTTTCATCGGCACTTTTCCCTCCACACAGCCACGCTTGCCATCAGTTCAGATCTCGAGGACAGTTCCAGCAACTCGCCGCCACAGAACCACATGGTGCTCCGCAAGGGCATCCGCAAGATCAAGCAGGGCATGAAGATCTACAATAATCAGCTATCGGTGCTGCGCACCGAGCTGCGCACCTGCAAGCGCAAGGCCGCCGAGCAGGGCAAGCAGCTGGCCGAGCAACAGAATCTTCTGGCGGAGCAGCAGAAGCAGACGCTGGAGTATGCCAATCGGTTGGACGAGAATGACAAGAAGAACGAGGAGATAACTCGCAAGTTCTCCACCCTCTTGCAGGTATGTAAATTTAGATGGATTTTATCCAAGAACAGGCATTGATTTTCTTTTGACTTGGACTTGTGCAGGAGCTCAACAAGTGCAAAACCGAGCTGCAGTTTTGGCGCTCCAAGAGTCCGGCCATTCCGGCCATGTGCAGTTCGTGCAATCAAAAGGTGACGCCTGTGGTGCCGCCAGAGGATTTCCAAGTGCTCGTCAACCAGGGTGTTGACCCGGAGCACATCATCATTAGCAATGAGGACGCTGATGCCGAGGAGAGCGACGTGAGCGTGGGCGAGCTGAAGGAGTTCGCCTCTCCGGACGAGTCCACCACAGCCAAGCTGCTGGCCGTTAGCACAGCAGCCAAGAATCTGAAGCGCAAGCTTCCATCGGAGACCCAGTCGTCCAATGCCATTGCGTCCACATCGAAGCAAGTGGAGGCCGTCCAGTCCCAGCCGCAGCCGACGGCTGCAATAAATGGAGGAGGAGGAGGAGCAGTAAAGGCCGCCGCCACCGCAGGATACTCGCCGAAGCTCTTCTATGGCAACCATCAACGCAGCGGCGTGATAGTAAGCCTCGTCTCCATGAAGCCAACGGCAGCTCCGTCGGAGGCACCTGGATCGGAGGCAGCTCTCGAGGAGCCGGAGGAGGCGAAGAAAGCACGTAGAGTACAAAAGGCCAACAGATATGTAAATACGTCGTCTGGCAAACGCAGTAAGCATTAGGACATATATACACTTTACATATTTTTTACCACTTATTTACATAAACAAAAAAACAACAAATAAAGAAGGCGTTCATGCCCCATGCTCTCATCTGGCTGGGTCAGGCGTCATGTAGTGTTAACAAAAGAATCAAATATATACACATATATCTATTAACGTCAAAATGCATTAGGCATTGCGAATATTATCATTACAATTATTATTATCAAGTACAACAACAAGTGTGTCTGTATGTTCTTCGGTTTTAACGACCCCCTCCCCCACATTAACAACAACAACTCAAGTTAACCAACAACAACAGCAACACAGAACACCATACGACACACTCGTCGAATCCAGTAGTTATTGGCAGAGCAAACAAAACAGATAATAATAATTTAAAAGCAAATTAATTTTAACTAAGAACCACAAGAAAAGCAAAACAAAAACGGCAAAGAAATATTTTAAATAAAACTTTAAAAGCATTTGAAATCAAAAGGGATTCCCCCGATGGTTTTTTTTTTGTACAAAAAGAAATACATTTATTTACAAAGTAACAAGGTCAACGGAAAGACAAGTCTAAATTACAGCTTTTGGGAGCGATCCCCGCCAGCCAGTGGCTTGTTCCGTTCATCCCACAGGGTGACGCCGTCGCAGGCACAGATTCGCTTGAAGTTTTCTAGTATGCCCGCCGAACGGGCAATTATCCCACAAGCAATCCTGCAGAGAAACAACTTAAATCGTGAAAATATGCTATCAAAACAAAGGATAGACAACGAACCTGTCTCCCGAGTTGCCATCGATGAGACTCTGTTGGTTGCCACCGTTTCCCAGGTCATCGGCACTGGCTGTTATAACAATGGCCCTGCCAATGATGTCCCACACCTCCAGGATGGGATCAACAAAACGGAATGTGGCCCTGCCGCTCTCATCGGCCCGAATGTTGCCCAGATCGCCGGCATGCCGTTCCGCTGCCTCTGCTGTTTGACTTCCGTGCGGCGACTGGCGGGGATTGTAGTGTGAGCCAACGGAGGCGCAACCTGCGGACACATCGCCGCTCTCGTGAATATGGAAACCGTGCAGACCGGGCGTCAGGCCATCCACCACGCCATCTACCACCACTCCGGGCTCCCGAGCCGTAATTGTTGTGAAGCGCACTACGCCCTGGACAGGCGTTCGGTCCACTACACTGCCCGTGGTGTTGATGAGAGCCACGGCCGACTGGCCACCAAATCCCGATAGCACCGCCTTGCGTCCGGTGGCCTCTATCTTGTCATGCACCTCTGACCAAGGTCGTTGGGTCTGGACAATCACTCGGCCCTCCTTGGTGTCGATTTCCACCTGGCCCACTCCATCCAGCGCCGTCCGGAGGACGCTGGCGTACGCCTCGTCGTCCTTGCGCATCTGAACTGCGAATTCGATCTAAACTTTAACATGAGAGCATGCTTCTTGGTCGCCAATTTACCTTGATGGAGCTCATTTTGATGTTAAAAATGCCGAATAAGAATGATAAACAAACTTTGGCCCTTTGGATCTTTTATCGAGCAATCGATTATTCTTTTTTGACATCTGTAAACAGGCATCTGGTCACACCTCAATCGATAGATAAAAATGAATTGGAGCTGCCAGATTTCCTGTACTTTTGGCGCCCGACTCAAAATTCAAACTGCAAATTAGTGAACCTGCTAATAACTGTAATTTCTGTGCTAATTTGTTGGACATAAACCTCCATTCAGCTCAAATTACGCCTTATCATTTTTTCTCAACTTTTGTTTTTATTGCCCGCCAGCGGTTTTGATGAATGGCCATAAAGTATATTTTTAAGCAAAATGCTGCTAATTTTTGCAAATTAACGGCGCTAATTGAAGCGTCCTAAGCGACAGATGGGTATGTCTGCTCGAAGTAAAAGAAAAACTTAAAAAAAAAACCGATAAAAACGTGCAACAAAATTGAAGCGTTTCCATGCGCCGCAAATTCATTGCAGCAAATTGCGTCTTTGACTTTCATTGTGCAAAATAAATTAATTTCACTTGGACATCGTTATTGATGGCAATTTAAAAACAATTGAGAAATATTTAATTCGGCCGCCATATAGCGATCAATTGAAGAAATGTAAAAGGAAGCATCACGACAGGGGAATAACAGTAAAAATGCCAATTCCCAAAATGTTCAGCACTTTGCGCATGGCTTTTATCAATTAAGACTCAATTAGCACAAAGCAAGCATTTTGGAATTAAAGGAAATCGGTGGACGGCAATTAGCCGAAATTAGTATTACAGTTATAAGGTCCACCCTAGCAATGTAGATCTCCCACACAACATAAACAGGTGCAGCTCTCTTCTCTTCTTTCTGTCTGCTCTTTAGGCAACGGAACAACAGCTGTTCTTGTTGATAAATATCATTCTTTGTTGCTTTTATCCATAGCTTACAAGTGCAAGTCAGGTCCCAAAAAGGTGGGTTGCCATGGACCCCACTCGAGTGGGAGCGAGATGGGGCTATCAAAGGTCGCCCAGAAAGTGCGTGCCATAGCAAAATTGCTATTTTGCTTTTTGCCTTTGTTTTTATTGCATTCCATACACGCACGCACACAACTGCACGACTGGTGGGGGGCAGCAAAGAGCGCCGTTGGAGCCCGCGAGAGCCAGAGAGGAAAAGAGATAGTAAGAGCGAACGGAGAGAGATGGGAGAGCGAAAGAGAGTATGGCTACTAGTCGTATACTTATTATTAATATTAGCGTGAGACACCAAAAATCACTACTAGTACTTTTGAAACCACTGGCGTTAAAGCACATGTGCGGAGTGAAAACTAATCTCAATCTCAACAAAGATACAGCAACAACTACAGCTACAACAACAGCATCAGCAAAAGCAGCAACTACAAAAATATTAACACGTTGACGCTTTTTGTGTTTATCGCGAGCGGAAAAGCTTAATTAGCGAGCGCCAAACTCTTTTTGGCTGGCCGAAATCTTATTTTCTTTGAGAGTGCGTGTGGGTGCCAAAAAAATTAAGTACGTCATCGACGCGCGCAGCGAAAAACGGTCCAAAAACTGATACACACACAAAGGCGAGCAGCAACCTAGAATTGAATTCAATTGCAGGAGCAACAAAAGCAACACGCCCAATCAACGCAAATCAAGGAAAAGTTCTACACACAAACTCGAATTAATTAAATTGTTTTTGTATCTGAGATACTACTTCTTCGTCTTCTTCTTCGCAATCTTCTCCTCGCCTGACCATTCGCCGCGAAGCGCTGACAAAGACAAAAAGAACGTGCAAAACAGCTGAGCTGAGACCGAGAGTAACGGAACGTAGCGTCGACGTCGGCAGCGAGCAACAAAGCAACAAGTGCAGTATCAGCAGCAGCAACAACAACACAAAGCCCTTTCAATTGAGAGCCTAGGCGAGTGTGTGCGTTCACATTGTTGTTGCCACAATCAATTAGAGTGATAGCAGGCGGCAGAGCAGCAGCAGCATCCGCATCAATTCCGCTGGCAGCAGCAGCAGCAGCAGCACCATCTTCGCATCGCATCTTCGGGCTGGCTTAATTCCGAAAGTGTATCTGTGAGCGTAGTTGCTCCCGTTCCGCCTCCGTAATCGCAAGTGGCTTGTTGTTATTGTCGCACTCGGTCGATCTCTCCGTGTGTCTGTCTGTGTGGGCAGCCAGCGCCAGCGCCGTCGGCTCTTGATTGGGCTTGTTTGATTCCGAAACTGTATCCCGTAGTTTCCCGCTAACGGCGAAAATTCACACAACTCATTGATATTTTAACCTCGTGTCCGCGTTGGCTGCCGCTCGACCAAGGTTCTGCCGCACAAAATGCTCGTCTCCTTGGGCTCTCCGAAGCCTGGCTTCGTCGGACTAAAAGTGCTCCTCTAGCACACTGCGAGCAGTCCGCCGTACATAATACACAAAAGTCTAACTATACGCGAAAGGCAGAACCAAAAGCCCTAACTATTTATAACCCACTGAATTGGCAGCAAAAAAAAAGTTATCACCACTTCACCAACCGAATCGTAATCGCTATCGTTATCGCGAGACAACAAAATACAAAAAAAAAAAAAGTTTAAAGATAATATACAGTGTGCAAGTCAAGCCGAAGCAAACAAAAACTCCTATTCTCTTGCTAATGAAATCCGAGCGCGTTTTTGTGAATAATTAGCCCCCAAAAAAACCCGTTTAGCCGCCGCAGAAATTAGGCCCCCCATAAAAGTGACGACGACGATCCAAGAAACTGGCATCCATCTCGCTGCCGCTGATATATAACACCCCAATATACACACAGCCTTAAAGCGCAAAAACGTAAAACCGCGATAACACCCATACACTTGCCGCCGAGCAGAGCGAAAAATCCGATCAGCGAATAATATATCAACTTCACAGTAACGTCGGAAAGTCAGTGCAAGTCAGAGCTAAATCGTCGAGCGCCCCGAATAGTTGTGTCCAACAAAACGTTCCCAAGTTCCCCCAAAAATCAACCAAGTCGTGAAAAGATAATCAGTTATCAGTGATCAACATCGTTCTCCAGAAGTGTACAACTGCGAAATAATGTCAGCCCTCTGACAGTGTCCCAAAAAAAATAAAGCCACACAAAAGTTACATAACGCATAACGTGGAAAATCCTATTTTCGGAAGCGAAATATAAGCAAGAGAGACCCAGCGAAACCCTCCAAGTGACTTGTTAATTGGAATGTCGCCTATCTGACAGTGACTAAATCAACACGAAAAAAAACACCCCAAAAATAACTCAAAAACACTATTTGAAAATAAAAAGAATAAATTGGAGCGTCACTACAGCGTTACAACAGCGAAAGAAATAATATCAGCCAACAAGGAGTGCAGCCTGTGTTATCAGTGAAGCATACGTACATACATACTGATATATTCGATTCAAGCGTAAACAACTGCTGTATAATGTTCACCGCCATCTGACAGTGGTCCAAAAACCAGCAAACAGAGCTAATAAATAGAGCGTCGAGGGATCGCCGCTGCTATAGACAACAAGTCCCACACGTGCCAGTGAGACCTGTACCGTACCACCTCCCCATTTGAACTGCACGAAGTAAAGTCAATTTAGCGATAAATGGAGAAATCTGAAATACGACTGCAGCGCATGTCAAATGAATATCAGTCGCAATCGAGCTATATGTATCTCCGGACCAAGATGCTGTTAAAAATCGAAAATACCCTACTTCGAAGCCATCGTCAGCGCGAGACCACCGGTATCAAGAAACTATACAATTCGTTTTTCGTATTGTTTTAATTTGCCCCGCCCGGCCCCCGATCCCCCTCCGAAGGCCCCAAGAACACATTACGCACAACGCAACAATTCCAATTCCACTCAATTGTGAGCCAAGCTAGAGAAAAAGTTACAAAAAGCAAGTTATACATGTTTTACCTATATTAAATATATGAATAAACTAGAGATATTATTTGGTTGTTAGTAGAACTCAACGTCAAGTGCATATTGTTAGCCCCTCGTATATCCAAGTGCTGTGCGACGAACGATTAGTAAAGTGTGTCATATGAGCATTTTGAACAAGCCAAAATGTTAACCTAAGCAAAAAGCCCTATTTAAGTCTCCGAGTCGATTAATAACTGTTTCTACTTCGAATATTACTATTACAATCAATCACAATCACCTTTGTTGCATTTCGCGTTGCACCAAAAAAAAAAAAAAAACTTGAGCAAAATTGCTGCTGGCGAAAGTCCGGTCGGAACGGTACAAACTGTGGTCGCGAAATATATATCGTATTATCTATTGGTTGGAAAACGACAAAGGATTTAATACTCTAAAAATAACAAGGAATAAGGGAAAAGAACGCGATTACAACGCCTTTAATTCACGTACCGAATGGCGCTTTCGTTTCTATCGCAAAACTCCGGTCTGTTGGATTTACAAAGCATATTTGATCCACAATATTCTCATCATCAACAACAACAACAAATACCACAACATTTGAGCCACCACCCCCAACATCACATTCAACAAAATCAACAACAAAATCAACACCAACAACAAGCGGAACAAATTCTACAACATCAACAACCACGCAACATATCAACAAAGTTCGATTTGAACATTTTCAACGAATTCGACCAAATGGAATTCAACAACAATTTAAATCGCAATCAATATCAAAACAACAACAATAATATCAACAACAATCAGAATCATAACTCCAACACCAACAACACTAACAACAGTGTAAGTGAAAATCTAAATCAGGTGAGTTCAAAGGTCACGAACGACAGAGGGTTCATAGAGCTTGACATGCGATAGAATACATTGAGAGAATATATAAAAGGGGTCGAAATTTGTCTGTTAAACAGTTAACAAAAAAGTGGAGTAGTTTAAATTAAATTATAAAAATTATATGAAGGGGTTATAAGGGGACTGTGATATTTGGCACCTGGGAACTATACTCTTTCCAAGTTCCCACCGATTAGTAACTCTAAAAAAATGCAGACTAATTATAGTAGCAACATATTTACACAACTGTTTTCAAATCCATCGGCAGCAGATTGATTTTTAATGGAATGTCCGACATTAGCGAGAGTCCTACTTACTAGTTAGTGAATCAAGAAAACTTTTCAAGATCCCCTGCTCATTCGGCTCTGTTTGCCTTGAGGCAAATATAAATATATAGTTCAATTGCTAATTATACTATACAGCGCGGGGTGTATCATATAACATAGTTGTGGTGGACAGATAGAGGGAAAACAACAGAACAGCGCTTAATAAATAGTTGCAAGCGAATGTTACGTCACCAGTGCCGACTCACTCACTCGCACTCATACCCCAATCCTGGGGGTATCCAAGAGCAGATACTTTTGTTTACCTTGTTTATTTTTGGAATGTCTCATAAATATAGCCGCATGTTGTTCTGGGTCTTCTTTGCCCAGCTCTCCAAGCCGTGTCTTTTTCCATTTTGTTTACATCGCTGTGTGTTCGAACTTATCTCTCTCTCTGCTAATGAAACCAAGCCAAGTCAGAGTCCTCATCGGCAAATAAACATCCACAGAATGCAATGAATCGATGGGTGGTTTCTCCCCCACTCTCTCAGACTCTCTTTTCGGGAAAGAGAGTGTGGGATTGGGAGAGTAAAGCCGAGATTGTAGGCGACCTTATCAGCAAGGTTCGGACCCACATATAGTATTTCAGCTGGACTGTACAGATAACGGTGAGAGGGCATAGCCTCGTTGGCGGCTAGACACGCTTTGTTGGTACTTTTGATTCGGTTCCAGAATTGATTACGCCGTCGAAATTCAGTTTTCGAACTAAAAGCCTCTCCGTTCGGTTTCGGTTTTCCAGATCCAGAACCGCCACTTCATCAGCGGCTACCACCATCAGCATATTGGTTCGGATTATGAGCAAGTGATCAACTTTGTTGACTCGCCGCCAAACTCTGAGGAATCGTGGACAGGTAAGGCAGCGCCAATCAGTTCAATCATCAGCTCAGCTCAGCTCACCTCATCTCAATCACCAACCTTCCTACATCGCCATCATTGAAGAGACCACCTCTTTAATCGAACAAATCACCATTGTCGTAGACGCCCAATCGAAGGATTCGCCGGGACCGCAGATCATCGACGTGCAAACCATTTACCTAAATAGCGGCTCACGCAAAAGACGAATGGATTGGGATTCCCTGGACATTGGCCAAAGTGAGAATTCACCAACAGCATCGCAGAGCGGCGAGCTGCCCACCAAAGTGGCCCATCAGGAGAAGGATAAACACAAGCGCGAGAAGAACTCGGGTAAGGATCAAGATTTTAATTCATATTTCATTAATAATGATAGACAATTAAAATGGTTAAAAGAATCTTGAATGAACGTATAAACGTATCTTATGATCAAGTATTCAATAGAGCAGCCTCTTATCTTAGGCTTTAGAATTTCAGGTTTCCATATTCATTCTTAGACTTTCAATAAAGCCCAGAAGCTTGTTCTAAAGTAAAAGCAGGTTAGCAAATGCTTTAATAATTAGCCCATCAATTAGTTATATTAAAATATAAATTAAAAGTCTGAAATTGTCACACTTTCCAGCTAAGAAGTTTGAATATTAAAAGTTATTCATAAAAGATTGAATTAAACCCAGAAAGATGGCTACAAAAGTGCGATTATGATGATAGCTGTTTTGTTAATTGCTGATTTGCATAAAATGTGTGTTGAGTTGACCCAAAATCAATGAAAGCGTCTGAAAAGAATGAAAGAAATTGCGATTTGACTTGGGACTTCTTCCTGGCGAATCAGAAACCCGTTCCCGTTCCTGGTCCCTCCACGTTTGTTGGCTAAATTAGAAGCCGTCGTAATTGAGAAACCCGTTTCCGAGTTGCGCCTCTTTGATTGTACAATGCGACAGCTTCGGCATGGGCTATATGGATATGGATATATACACTTGTATGTAGATTGGTGTGCCTAGACAGATGTACCCGATCTAACGACTAATTCGATCTTCGTAAGACAAACGTGAGTCTTTCTGCCTGTGCTGCCCTCGCGGGTGCTAAGTGGTGTATAAACACGGGAATATGATCGCTAATTAGTCAGTATCTATCAGACATGAAGTTGTACGTCATACATAGGCGTGAGTTGGCAATTAAAGGCCAAAAACCTTACAAAGGGTACGGCGACTTTGAGATGTTTGAAATATGTAGGGTTTGGCGCAGGTGGAGTTGCACTATGAAAGACATTCGGTCCTTAAATAGTTTCATAAACTGATTAACATCCAAAGACCGTCCGAACGATGTCTCTTAATTTCGAAGTTTGGATGTCTTAATGAAATTAACAGCCCCGGCGATGGTTAAAGCTTGGCATAAAACAGTAATCAACTTAACACCTTTGCTCGTGTTAATCAATAGAGCTTTAATAATAGAATGCCTCTGCTGGGCAATAAAGGGGGGAATAAATCTTTTCTGGGTACTTTTCCGATGGCCAATGAGAGCGAACAAGCCCCTAACCGAAAACCCTTTGAGCTCTATAAGATCTGTGCTCGAGATTGCAGCTCCGCTACCAACTCAAATCACGCAGAGCCCCCGAACTAATTACCCCGAAACGAGTGACCGCGACATGACACTGGTACTGGGACACTGATATACTTTGGAACAAACAGTGACAGACTTGTGGCCATATAATTTCGACTCCAATCTAGAGCGCAGCCAGCCAGCCCCTCTCGCTGATGGCTTATCTTCGTTGGCCAGGCGGGCCTTTCCGTAGATAAGACTGAATGGCCCGCGTTTTTGGCATACAACAATCCGCTATTAGGTGTACTTTTTCCATTGAGATTCTTAGATCATCCAAACAAACGACCAGCCTTGCCTTTGTCCCGGCTTTTTCCCACATTTATTTTATATAATCGAAGGCGGCAATAAGATGATATTGAAGTCATTTCCCCTGCCATTTGGTCAGATATCATCTATTCTAAAATTCTATTAAATGAGCGCCCCCTGTACACATTTACAGATACTTTTAATCAAACAATTAGCTGTGACACTATCGCAAATGTGAAATGTGTGAGCAGTGCAAACATGATGTGCGTCATTCGGTTGTGGATAACTTTGAATCAATTGTGATCGAGATATGTATTGTCCACTGGAAGTCAGACACACACATATAGATCTAGAGATATCTGAGACAGATTAAATCAATTAACCAAGCATCACAAACAGTTTTTTTCATTAGAGAACATATTACTTTTTTTTGAAGCATTTTGGAAAAAACAATTGAAAGTAATGGCGTGACTATTTTAGGCTTACTTTTGGGGTATTATACATATATTGGCGTTGGCAACAATATGATTTGTTTTTGCAAACTCTAGAGAGAGGCGTTGAACCATTGTTGAAAGAATCGGGAGCACAAAAAGCCACTCATAAACAGGCACTACCCATAAACGAAATAGCTTCTGCTACTATACAAAAATATAGTTACGTGTTTATCAATTAATTATAAATTGGCCTTACAAAATGTCGCATGCTATAAATTCTTCTTTTGGCCAAGACCCACAAGTTTGACGTCAAAACAGTTTGAGGTCGTCCATGGCTCTTGAGAGCGTAGTCGTCACTTGATGATAACAGTTCGACAAGAAATCTAAGAGAAATGACAAACGTGCCAGATATGGATTGAAATATATAGCTTTTACTTTATATGCTTTGCTTTTTGCAGGTCGCAGCAGCTGGAGCGATGATATTGGCTTCGATCTGAATGCCGAGTTCAACAGCAACTCGTACTTGAACAAGTAAGCATTGCCACGGAAAGCCCCTTAATTGAATTTCAGCTAATTTACACACCTCGTCTCCCCTTATCCCTCTCGTAGTGAGAACTTCCTGTCGTTCTCGCCCTCGCTGACCACCCTAAAGCAGGAGCCGCAGACGGATCAGGTCAAGCCCAGTCCCAAGATATCATTGGACAATGCCGCTGGTTCTCCCTCGGTGGCCATTGCCAAGCTGGATGAGTCCCAGAACTCTCCGCAACAGCCAAATCCTGGCCAGGAATTAACCCCTGGCTCTGGTTCGGCCAACGGCAATGGCAAGCACGATGTGAATTCGGGTCTTATCTGTGGCTGTGGTTCACCACAGGGCTCTCCAAGCAGTGAGTATGATGTGAACGAAAAGGGCGCCAAGCAGCAGCAGCTCAGCGTTTTGGATCCGGCCAAGATTGAGCTTGTTTCGGCCAATGGAGCTACCCACTCCGAGGATCATAAGTAAGTATCAAAGAAAGTCTAGGTTTTGTTCTCTGAAGCTCATAGTGATTATACTTTCTGCCCTTCCAGATTTCAGTATATCTTGGCTGCGGCCACTTCGATTGCCACCAAGAACAACGAGGAGACCCTGACGTATCTCAACCAGGGCCAGAGCTACGAAATCAAGCTAAAGAAGATCGGCGACCTATCCCTCTACCGGGATAAGATATTGAAGGTGAGTCTCGAGTCTCGAGTCCCGAGTTCCCAAGTCCAAAGTCTCTGCCCATGTCCACGGCCTCCAATTGAGTCCCAGAGTCATGTGATGGCGGTGAATTATTCAACTGTCGAGTGAGCGACTTGCCTCTTGACCAACTGTGTGTGTATATCTGTATCTCTGTAGCTGTTGTATCTGTATCTGGGGCTCAATTGATTTTAATAAGCCCCAATTAAGCCGCTCGACTTGAGAGATGCCACTGACTACTAGGCAATGGCCTGTGTGTGCATGTGAAATCTGCGTGTGCAAAAACTTTCCGAGTGAAGTCATAGCCACCATTCACTCATCCTCGTCCCTCCCTCTGGCTTCTTCTCTCCTCTTTGCAGAGCGTGATCAAGATCTGCTTCCATGAGCGCCGCCTCCAGTTCATGGAGCGCGAACAGATGCAACAATGGCAGCAATCCCGCCCAGGCGAACGCATCATTGAGGTGGACGTACCGCTATCGTACGGCCTGTGCCACGTGTCCCAACCGCTCAGCTCCAACTCGCTGAACACCGTCGAGATCTTCTGGGACCCGCTGAAGGAGGTCGGCGTCTACATCAAGGTCAACTGCATTTCAACCGAATTTACCCCAAAGAAGCACGGCGGCGAGAAGGGAGTGCCCTTCCGACTGCAGATTGAAACCTATATAGAAAACACAAACAGCACCAATACTGGCGTTTCTGCTGCCGGTTCCGGTCTAGGATCTGCTGGCAGCAGCAGCAGCAACAACAGCGCCAGCAACGGCGGCAGTGGTAACAACACCAACGGCACAACCAGTGGCTCGACAGCTCCAGCATCACCGGAACGTTCGCCCAATGCTGGCGGACAGGCCAAGCAGGCGGTCCATGCCGCTGCATGCCAGATCAAGGTGAGTAAGCGGGAGATGTATTGCGGGGAGCCTCCTTGAAGTCTCTTAATAAATTCTTAACAAGAAAATAAGGGCTCAATACCTATTTAGTATCTTATTTCCTTTAAACTTGCTTGTAATTAAATATTATATACATTTTTCCAGGTTTTTAAGCTAAAGGGCGCTGATCGCAAGCACAAGCAGGATCGAGAGAAGATCCAGAAGCGTCCGCAATCGGAGCAGGAAAAGTTCCAGCCCAGCTACGAGTGTACCATCATGAATGACATATCCCTGGATCTGGTGATGCCTGCCACTACCACTGGCTGCTACAGTCCCGAATAGTGAGTATTAGTACACTTTTTCCAAAGAGATTTTCCCTTGCGAGAAGTAGGGATAGATACAGGTCGAGAGTGGGGTCCTCTCCCGCAGTTGGCATATGTGCTCCAGAATTAAACAACAATTTATTTCGCTGTGCGGCCCCGCAATCTTTCAATTGAGCCGGCAAATTTTTCCACAAGTCTTATTTATGTGACAGCTACGGTCCAGGCTTTTTGATTTACGAACCCAGCTACGAGCACAACTGCAGTCCCCAGCTATTTACATAACATCCAGTTAAGATCAAGTGCATATTACGTATAACGTAGATATACTTGTTCCTTATCTCACAATAGGTTTGTACAGTGCGTTTCAAAGCCCTACGAGAGGGTCTAAGTTGGGGTTGTATATCGGAATGATAGATCTACAACGATATCTAAATAAATCTATAAATAAAGTATCAAATAATGAACTTTAATATTCATATATCACGTCTAAGAATATGTTTGTTTTCTGCTTTGGAACTCTTCGCTTGTCCGGAAGCTTTAATGTGAACCAAACAGATAAAATCAAAGATGTTTATTTGCGGTTTTCGATTATAAACAAACACTCCATCTCAATAAACAATCGATCATCAAAATGAGAACGTTTCAGAAGAGTTGGTAACAAATACAAGCAAACCGAATGCCACCTTAACCAAATTTGGCAAAATGCCCTCTGCCATTAATGTATGTACCTTACAATTGCGATACGCACTTTCCCAGTGGAATTTTCCTCCCGTAACAAGCGGCGAGAGGAAATTATTTTGTTTGTGTCATTTACATTTGAATGATCAGCAAAATCATATCGAATCGAGAGCGTGTAGCATAGAGATTGATCTGGGAGAGACCAAGAGCGGTAGCGAGCGCCGCAGAGATCTCCGGAGCGGGAGAGAAATCCACCAACTAAAGGATCTTTTGCAGAGTTAAGAGAAAGATCACCAAAGAGATCACAGCTTTCTGCTTTGGGTCATTTGTTGTTTTTGCCAGTCTGCTCCAAGCTATTTTTAGTTTAAAGTTGCTTTTAACCGGTTTTCTGGTTTTCATTTCTGCTCAAATGAATTTGTTTTGTTTGCAGAGAAACAGAGAGAGGGCACTTTTGTAGATAATAATTGCAAATAATATGATGGGGTCGTTTTTTGTGTATTGTTAGGATTACGATTGATTATATTGATCGGAAAATACATCCTAAAGAATGCATTGACTTAAGTATTTAGCCTTTGCACAAATAGCAGGAAATGGCTACGGACGAAAGTCGGGAAAGGTTTTCCCCAGGCATAATAAAACACATACTGATATTCCAAACGGGTTTGCGCCTGGCCAATCGACCGCAACAGGCCGTATCGGGTATCGGCCTGAATTGTAGTCGTAAACAAACCAGATTCCAGTAATGGAAAATCTGAAAAGTTGAAAGATGCCCAAGTGCCGCGCATTCGTGAACATGCGCTTGCATTTGAAGGATCGTCGCTCCTGCCAACGTCAGATACTCAACGAGCTACACTGGATTTGTAGGACAAAACTCCCTATTTACAACCTGAATCCTTTATTAACTATGGTTATTTTTTATACTACTCCCTTTGCAGTATGAAACTCTGGCCCAATTCGCCCGTACATATACCCAAGTACGATGGGATACTTCCGTTTGCCCCAAGTGCAGCTTCGCCGGCCACCAGCAGCAGCAGCCCCATTGCCATCAACTCGGTGACATCGACCAACTCACCGACTCTGAAGCTAATGGACGCCACCAATATGGTATCGCCGCAGCATGTGCCCGCCGACATGGACGATTATGTAGGTTCCCACCACGAGAGTAACAACTACTAACTTACCTAATCGACCCTTTGTTGTCCATTCTCCCAATCAGAACCAGAACATCATGCCGGAATCGACGCCCGCACAAGTGACGCAGTGGCTGACCAATCACCGCCTCACGGCCTATCTCTCAACTTTCGCACACTTCTCGGGAGCGGATATTATGCGGTATGTACATAAAGTTATTTGCATTATAAAGTTTACTTTAAAAAATGAGATTTAGGAAGATTTTCATATAGATTTTTGAATTTTAAATATTTTAATTTAATTGATTTGCTTAACTTTATTTTCTTTAAGATTTATATTTTAAGCTTTAAGAGTATTGATATATTTATTACTTACTGTTTCCGTAGGTGTTACTTTATCAGTTAGATTAGTTAGATCTTAACTTCTTGGTGACCCATTTTCATGGCAACCAATTTCGTTGAAATTCTCTTTCCAATAATTTAGTTTAATCAAACAAGTTTAGTTGATAAACAATAATTGATAGTTCCAGTGATAATAGTTACAACACAATACCTTATGTAATAACTTAATGGTTAGTTGATCTACTTCTTAGACAATTTTTCAATAAAGAAACGAAAAACTTTGGAGAATTAGGCAAGTGTACTTGAGTTGCGCTTTGATTACCTTTTCAATACAATGTTTCAATCAGTTTATTACCATTTTGTATAATCTTATTGACAGACATCTGAAAGATAGCGACCGCGTCTATTGGATAACTAGATTCGACAATCAAGTACAATACAGCTAACTTGTTTTGATTAATATATTACCCGATAAGATAGATAGTAACTTGATGTATCTGGTTATTGGGAGAAAATGTCGATGTATCAATAATGTATCAATATTTGATCCAAAGTTTGATAAATAATGCGATATTTAAGCGTTGCGATATACATATGCGCGATAAATCGATATTCTGATGAATATGTCGGAATTTGTCAAAGAAGAAGGTATTAAATATTTCGCTTTAAAGATGAATTAAACAAAACGAAATAAATTGGATACAAATTCATATAGTTTTCGATTGCATCCACATTTTAAACTTTAAATTTCTTTATATCAAACATTATGATATTTTCTTCTCAATATATTATATCAAACTTTTACTTTCAATATATATATCTACGCTATAGTGTTTCTACCTTTGTATAATATATATTCTATAATTAAACTGTTTCGAAGCGCATTTTTATTTTGGTCGCTGATTTATTTATTATTGATTTCTAATAGTTCTCTGCTCTCTTGATTTATTTATAGCATGTCCAAGGAGGATTTGATACAAATCTGCGGCCTGGCCGATGGCATTCGCATGTTCAACATTTTGCGCGCCAAGTAAGTTTATATTCAAGATCCTTTTTAAACCTTTATCTATATCTTTAAATCCTTTTTTTTTTGTAGAACCATTGCCCCTAGGCTTACGTTGTACGCCAGCTTGGATGGCTGCAGCTACAATGCCATCTACTTGCTTTCGAACACGGCCAAGGAGCTGCAGCAGAAGCTGTTCAAGATGCCTGGTTTCTACGAGTTTATGGCCAAGGCCAGTGCCCAGGAGAACGGAGGAGGAGGTAGTGCTGCCGCTGCAGCTGCGGCTGCCCTGTACAACAACTGGAGCATGCACTCCAAGTACTCGGGCAGCGGCTCGAACATCTTCAACGATGCCAACAAGAGCTGCGTGTACATCTCGGGGCCGTCGGGCATTTTGGTCAGCGTCACCGACGAGGTCCTCAACAACGAGATCAAGGATGGCAGCCTCTACGCCATGGAGGTGCAGGCCGGCAAGGTGATCCTCAAGCTGATCAACAAGCAGGACAACAATTGAGCCTTTTAAATTGATATCCCCGTAGAGTCCACCATCTCCGAGCAAAAATCAAGTATAGTTTTTAGCATTTACACGCAGTGTGAAAGATAGTTTTCTAAATATGCTTCAATGTGTACAAGATATTTCGCGCAGCAATTTTGAACAAGTAAAAAGAAAGCAAGCAACCCGAAACCCGAAATCCCAATCCCCAACGCAAATCTTCGTTAAAGAACTAGTGCAAAATATTTAAGTTTTCGTTTTTCAGTCCACACTTTTAGGTTTTTATTATACTTTACTTTATTTTACATTGTATTTTATACCACCTACGATATACGACTACATATGCACAATTAATTCTCCGATGCGATTGCATTTCGATTCGTTCTTTTATCTACTTTTAATTTTCTTTTTCTATTTCTATGGCGTATGCTTACCACATATATAACACTTATATATCAGTTATTTGAAGTAGAAAGAAAAAACACAAAAAAAAAAGAAACATAATTTTACTATAATGATTATTGTTATTATAATTATCTTCAAGTACAGTACCACGAATACAAGAATTGAGCAATTGTTTCGAAGCAGAGTTCAACTAGCAACCAAACAACAACTTTTGTATGTGATAGAAGCAATAAAGTGTTATCCACAAGTGGACTGTCAAAAAAACCATTTGAAAGAGTCTTTATTTTGGTGGATTTAAAAGGTAAAGTAAGTATTTAAAGATCAAAAATATTAAAGAAATTGTTAAAAACCCTTAAAGGCTACATTAAATAGAGTCTGATCAAAGATCAAGCTAACTACAAGATGGGTAACGACATACGATTTTTTTTGTTGAAATTAATTAGGTCAGACTACTGAGTTTTTTTTTATTTTAAAATTATAAAATATTATTCGGGGACTCCCTAAAAATGTTAGTATAATGTAAGCCTTCATTCCCATTCGTTTCTCTATTAGAAATATTTTCAAAATTTAAAAGTTAACCAAAAATGGATGGTTTCCACATCATCCTGCTTCTTTTTTGCACTTTCGGTAAGCTTTATTAAATTTTAATTCAACAAATTTGTAATCGAGTTGCCCGATCTTAGGAACAGTTTGGCAAGTGCAGGGCGATTGTCGCATAGCTCAGTATATGGTGGAGCAAACAAATCGCATATTCACCTATTGCGATGCCAGTGGCTCCATACAATTGCAGCGCAGGGAAACCGTACCAACCGGAGTCACTCTAAAGATGTATTGCAATCCCTCGGATATGGTGGAGACTCAGTGTCTGGACAATGGACAGTTCTCCAATCCGTTGCCCATGCGATGTGGCAATCCGATGCAGCCAATGTTGATGCTGATTCGGGATAATGATTGTCCAGGAAGCTTGTATTCCGTGGGTTATACGATTCAGGGACGCAACTTGGAGCTGTATCGCACCTGTTTCGATGCACGACTTGGAAGGGTTTTGTACTCGCAAAGCGATGTCTATTACAAGACTTTCTGTAAGTTAGCCTTGAGGTTTATAAGGATTATCTCTTATTTATCTTTAATTATTCCTAAAACCCCCAACAGTCCCCAGAAGACCATTTGTGGAATTTGTGGCTGATCAAATGTTCAGTCCCCTGGAGGCTTCAGCCTACTTAAAGTCCAACATATACTTTGCCTTCAAGTCCATCTATGGCGATGGCCAGACCTATTTGCCAAATGTTGTGGCTTTGATAATCAACCGAGGTCATTTGGTGGCTTCGGCGGACTTTCTGTTCGTAGATCAAATGGGCAGCACCTTTCGCTATTTGAATGTGGTGCCACAATTCAAGTCGATTAACGATGGCAACTGGGAGAAAATCGAACGCTGGGTTCGCAGTCAGGTGCCGCCATCGAGCTATTTCCGTGTCAAGTCCGGGGGTATTGGCATCCTGGCATTACGCGATGTCCATGGTGCCTATCAGGCGGCCTTCCTGGCCGGCTCCAAGATCCCAGTGCCGGAGTGGACATACAAGGTGGTGCGTGATGACAATGGCAATGGACTTTACGTCTTCCTTACCTACAATAATAATTTCGAAAATGAAAGGCCACAATGCCTGGATGTGTGCAAACAAGTAAACTGCCCCTTGAGTCTCCCGAATAACCCATACGATGGATTTACCTTCTGCTGCGATCCCAAGCAGTTTCCATTCTGAATAATGATGCCACCCCCTTTATGCATATTTTAGAAAGGACTCTTTGCCCAACTGGCCTGCGTAATAATCGCCGTTTGAATAATTTAATATTTTTATTTAACGGACGCACTTAAGCTGAAAATGTGAAAATTCGTTGTCTAAGAGGGCATACACTGTAGGAAAAAAGGTTTTATTAAATGAGAATGGATGCCAAAAGGTGTTTTATTAGCTGGAAATGAAATTAGCAATAAAAGGAAGAATGAGCTTGAATTTATGATATTTATATTTGATATTTATGTTAAGTTCCATTACATTTTATCACACTTTTCTTACTTTGATTATTTTAATTTGAAATTTCTCTAAAACCTTTCAATTATTTCCCAGTGAAATGCACGCCAGAACAATTAGCTAACCGATTAGGACGCTCCTAATGACATTTTAAATGCTTCTAAAAGAGCCATAAAAAGGCTTCTCTCAAATCAGAAAACCTTAAACTCAATTGAAATGGCAAAACAAGTGGAAATCTTTTACAGGGGCCAGAAGGCCTTCCTGAACATCTTCTCGCTGTGGCCGCAGAAGGAACGCTGGTGGAGAATCTTCCACCAGGTCAACTATGTGCACGTTATGGGCTTCTGGGTGCTGCTGTTCGACTTCATCCTAGTCCTTCACGTGGTTGGCAACCTGCGCGACATGAACGAAGTGGTCAAGGCCATCTTTGTGCTGGCCACCAGTGCGGGGCACACCACCAAGCTGATCAGCGTTAAAGTCAACAATGTGGCTCTGGAGGAGCTCTTCAAGCGGTTGGATGATGAGGATTTCCAACCGAGGGATCCAAAAGAAGAGATGATCTTCAAGGCCGCCTGTGAAACGACTCGCAAGCAGCGAAACTACTATGGATCCTTGTCCTTCAATGCCTTGACCATGCTCCTTGTGATGCAATTGTTGTTGGATTGGACAGAACTTCCGCTGAGCACATTCAATCCCTTTAGTGACCATCCTGGCTCTGCGGGCTACTGGTGTCTCTACTGCTACCAGTGCCTGGCTCTGTCCATCTGCTGCGTTACGAACATTGCCTTTGATTCCCTGTGCTCCTCCTTGTTCATCTTTATCAAAGGTCAGCTGGACATTTTGGCAGTTCGTTTGAATAATATTGGAAACGATCTGGGTAGAGGTGAAAAAACCGTGGAGAAGCAGCTGAAGCAGTGCATCCGTTATCACTCGACCATTGTGGAGTTGACCGAAACCGTTGAGCTTTTGCTTTGCAAACCGATTTCGGTTCAAATCTTCTGTTCTGTGCTGGTTCTTACAGCCAACTTTTATGCCATAGCCTTGGTGAGTCCTTAAAAGCCTAATTTAATATTAAAAAACAATACCCGTACATCCTCTTTCCTGTAGCTCTCCGAAGATAAGACCGCCTTATTTAAAATGATGCCCTATCAGGCTTGCATGCTAATGCAGATTTTCATCTTGTGCTACTTTGCGGGGTGAGTAGGGGAGTTATTTAATCTAAATTTAAAAAGTGTAATAATGATCCCCTTAGCGAAGTCACTAATCGCAGCATGGAGCTACCCCACGAGCTGTACAAGACCAGTTGGATGGACTGGAACCGCCCTAACCGACGAATCCTGTTGATGTTCATGCAACGTTTGCACTCAAGTCTGCGTATAAGGACCTTAAATCCCAGTCTTGGCTTTGACCTGCATTTATTCGCCTCGGTAGGTGAAGTCCTTAACTTTTCTTTTCAGTGTTGCCAATTTCCATAATGAGCCTCATTAGTTGGTGGAAATGTGTGGAAATTCGCGGGCTATATAAGGCTCTGGTCGTGGGTAGTTTCGGTCAAAGTCAAAGTCAGTGAAATCGCCAACATGGATCAGCATCTAAGGACAACGGAGCACTTTTACAAGTATCAAATGTGGTACTTTCAGATCCTGGGAGTTTGGAAACTTCCCAATGGGGCCACTAGACAGGAGCGTAATTTCCAAGTCATACGATTTGGCTTCATCCTGGTTTGCCTCTGCATCATGCTGCTGCTGTTTGCCCTGAAGCTTTTGAGCATTATTTCCGATGTGCGGGAGATCCTTAAGGTGTTCTTTATGTTCGCCACCGAAATGTCCTGCATGACCAAGCTTATGCACTTGAAGATGAATTTGCCACCAAAACCGAGCAGGAGAGAGAAATTATGGAATCGGCCAGAGTGGTGGTGGTTCTCATGAGGAACTTCTACGGCATCTCATCCTTGTTTACGGCTTCATTGATCCTTCTGGTTCCATGCTTTGCAAGCTATGAGGAGCTTCCGCTGAGCATGTACGAGGTGTGCAACATCCAGGGAAGGATTTGCTACGGGCTGCAGTATCTCTTCCAATCGATCTGCCTGCTGCCCACTTGTGTCCTGAACATTACCTATGATTCGGTGGCTTTTTCTTTGCTTACCTTTCTAAAGCTGCAGCTCCAGATGCTGGAATTGCGACTGGAGAAGTTGGGTTCAGCTGCTAACTCCGAGGAGAACGCGAGGATCTCTAAAGAGCTGCGCGAATGTGCTGACTATTACAACAGCATCGTGGAGTACAAAAAGTTGGTAGAGCTCTTCATCCAAGTGCCAGGTTCCGTACAGCTCATGTGCTCTATTCTCGTCCTGGTCTCGAATCTTTTTGGCCTCTCCACCATGTCCGTGGCCAACGGTGAAGCCATTCAAATGGCCAAAATATGTATTTATCAACTGGTGATGCTGTGGCAGATTTTTATCATTTGTTTTGCCTCCAACGAGGTGACTTTGCACAGTTCCAAACTCTGCAACGCCATCTACAGGTCCCAGTGGACGGGATGGAACCGAGAGAACCGCCGGATGATCCTGCTCATGATGCAACGCTTCAATTCACCGCTGCAATTGCGCACCTTTAATCCCACCTTCACCTTCAGCCTGGAGGCCTTTGGCTCTGTAGGGTTTTAATATATATTTTCATTATTTATTTATATTTATATTTGGTAATATATTTTATGTAATTTGTTTCGTTTCAGATTGTCAACTGTTCATACAGCTATTTTGCCTTGCTAAAGCGAGTCAATAGTTAGGATTCTCGGAATATTAATGGAAAATATTACAGAAAAAATATTGCACTAATGGAATGAATACTGATTGAAATACTACAAGGATAAGAGGATTCAAGGAGTGTTGGCGCATGCTGAATTTACAAGCATATATATCTTTAAAGCACTTTGTTAACTAGTGTTAATGTAGATGATTTACTGAGCACTTTGTCTGTGGAACTACATTTTTAATTGCTTGCAAAGAAAATAGCTCTTAATAAAGCTTAATTTAATGTGCGATTTAAAACAAATTTTACGTTATTTATTTTATCTATTAAAGTGAAATAATATGATTTTCTGTTACTGGTAATTTGTAATGTGTGTGGGAAAAGTTTTGGAATTACTTTACTATATAAATCTTAAAAGGTTTTCTTGTTTCATTGAGGTTTCTGATACTTGGTAATTCTTACTAATTTCTATAGAAATATATTTAATAATTGAGCAATCATTTTCTTTGCTAATATTTAAATATCCAAGAATATTAAAAATAACGTTTTTTTGTTAAGTGTTGTAAAATACCAGATTTTTGGTATAAGCAAAAGGTATGTGCCCTGAAATATACCGAAAAACAGAAAATACCCTAACGCCACAATTGTGCTGACGGACAAAGATTAAGATGTCGGAAAACCAGAAAAACACAAATAGCTGCCTGCATTGTACTGTTTTCAATACGAAATACCAGTACCAGGAGATCTTCGATGAGTTTGGCAGGGAGCTGGGCCTCCAAACGCTGCTGGCCAAGCATTTCCAGCTGGATGTGGCGCCCGATCCGCTCCAGCGTCAGCTCCTGTGCGAGGTGTGCGTCAACACACTCATCCGGCTGTTTGATATCGATGAACTGCACCGGCAACAGGATGCGGCGAGGGCTAGGCTCAAGGATCCCAGTCCTGTTGTCATCCTGGATTCAGTCGAGCCTGAAGTTAAGCCTGCGCAGGCTGCTGCCGCTCCCAAGAAGGAAAAGGCTGCTCCTCCTCCTCCCTTAAGGGAACCAAGTGCACGGATCAGTAAGAGAGTTCAGCCACCTCCGGTAGTGCCTGTTCCATCTAAATCGTCGGAAAGAGCCAAGGAGACGGTGAAACCCGAAAAGGAAGCATCGCCCGCCAAGCCAAAGGATGCAGATCAGGAGCATATTAGTGTACTGATACAAAACCTCCTCGATGAAGACGAGGCCATTAGCGAGGAAGTGGCAGACGAAGTTGAGTCATTTTGTGAGGAAGTAGAAGCAATTGAAGCTGCTCCCATTCCAGAGGAGCCGCAAGCCCAAAGGAAAATTGTCTTGTTGAACAAGAAAGCTGCGCGGCAACCTAGTCTAGATGAAGACATTTACATATACGAGCATGAGGGTAGGTTTTACACTGAAAAAGTTTCAAGAATATTCTTAATCCAACATTTTATTATAGATATCCTGGAGCCAGCTGTAAAGAAGGTAAAGGTCGAAGTCAAGGCTCGATCTTCAGCTAAGGAACAAGTTCAAGCGGAGGAGAGCCAAAGCGAGGGCGAAACCGAGGAGAGTCATGTGGTGCTCTTTGACTTTGTTATGATCAAAGAAAGTATGTAAAGAATCACCTTAAACTAAACTATTATTTATTGCAACTCTTTTTTTTTTTGTAGAGGATGACATTGCTGACATTGCCGAGTACTTGTCCACGGTGGTAAAGACCAGCTTTGAAAAGCTAACCTTTGAATGGACCACGGCTTGCAAACACTGTTCCCAGAAGTTTCCTAACTTTGAGAGCCTTTTGAGTCACACACTAAAGTCGCATAAATCTCGAGGCAATGTCTACAAGTGTCCCATTGATGGCTGCAGCAAGGAGTTGAAGGGCAGCAAATTTCTGGCCATGCATTTGGTTGTCTTACATGCACCCGTAGCTGAGTGAGTGCCTACAATCATAGGGAATTTGTTTTTATAATTACTAAAAATGATTTCTTTTGTCTAGAATACCCATTTATGGCAGTTGTCCGGAGTGCAAAATGACTTTTTCAAACATTTTGCATTACAACAAACACTCTTGTGCTCATATGATTAAAAAGAAGCGCGGTGTTCGCTTATTTTGTGAAATGTGTGCTCAGGAATTTCCCTCCTGGAAGCGGTAGGTTTCCCTCTTAATCTTGACTACTTGAAATATTATAGATAAAGTTTATTTTTCTTTCAGTTTTAACTTTCACAATCAATTCCATTTGGAGAAGCATAGGCCTCGTGCCTGCTTTGTCTGTGATTATGCCAGCACCAACATTGATGAGCTGTTTCAGCACTTGAACTACTCCCATGAGCCTGTGGGCACTTTATTTTGCGACCTGTAAGTGCTTTTATACCTTCAAAATAATCCAAATTGATTTATTTAATATTTATTTTAAAATTTTTATAGTTGCGATCGCACTTTTCGGGATCCTGGGGTGTTCATGGAGCACAATAAGTCGCATGCTAATGTGAGCAGCACTACTTATTCCTGCGGCGAATGCCTGGCAGTATTTGAGTCACGAAGTCGCCTAAATGGACACATGGTAGGACTATATAGAAACCATATAACTTAACTAGAACTGTATCTCATGGAAACTTTTAAATTTTCAGCGCTCTATGCATGGCAGCATAATTAGCTGCGAGCTCTGTTCCCGCGAGTTTGGTAGCGAGGCCACCTACAGCATTCACATGAAGAAGCATCTGATTATCGAGAGAGATCTGCACGTTTGCCACAATTGCGGCCTGCTAAACGATAGCCAAGAAAAAATGGCTGAACATGCAGAAACCAAGAATTCGCCCTGTTTTAAGGCCAAGATATACACGGAGATGCTACGCGATGCCTATGTCTGTGAATACTGTTCCTCGTACTTTAAGCAAAAGTCCGATTTGCAGGCACATCGCCAGTCGGGAATCCATAAGAATGGGTTGTTTTGGTGCCAGCCGTGTGGCAAGGATTTTCCCCACATGAAACTGTACCGCCATCACCTGCGCAACTATCAGAAATTGCGATCGGATTCAACGCATCGTAAGCTAGAAATTTGTGTCTTCTACATGTGCGATCAGCAGGACTGCACGGAGGCCTATGTGAACTGGAACTCGTTGTACACGCACAAGCGACGCACTCATGAATCGTCGGACAAGCAGACGGAGAAGGCCTCAAAGTCTGCTAAGGATTGGATTTGCCAGTTTTGCTTAAAGGAGTGCCGCTCAAAGATGTCCTTGTCTGTTCATGTGGCTAGGAGTCATAATAATGGTGTGTTTAACGGCCTTACTTTCCTACCTTTCTCTTTCAAGTTAATTCGTTTTCTTTTTATCTCCCAGACAACGTCTCCTGTTCCTTGTGCAATGCCTCTTATAAAAGCCAGGATGCTTTGGACAAGCACCATGCCTACTGGCATGAGCCCATCGAGTGTCCGCAGTGCTTTAAGATTGTCAAAAATCGTCGAAATTACGACACTCATGTTAATGTTGTGCATTCAAACAAGAAACGCTATGCCTGCGGTGTTTGCGAAAAGGGTTTCTATCATAAAAGCGAAATGGAGGCTCATCAAAAGGTAAATATAAATGACTTTATTCAAGTATTATTATCGTCTTTAGCCTCAAAAATCTATATAGTATAGATTTATAGATATTTTCCTTTATATAATATAGAGATTTTCTGACATTCCTAACCATTCTTACACATTTTCATGCTCTTCCAGCTCCATGGCCAGTTGTACAGCTGCGAGCAATGCAGTTTTACCACAAGGAACAAGAAGTCCTTGTCGGTTCATGTCCTGGGTCAGCACTACAAGCGTTTTGCCTTTGAGTGCAAAGTGTGCAACAAGAGATTCGGACGTCGTCAGGGCCTGACTACGCACATTCAGCGGGCTCATGGCTCCAAGTACGTGTGCCGTGACTACTTCGAGGAAGGCTGCGGGCGCACCTTTGTCAGCAGTTCCCAGCTGAATGTTCATGTGCGGAAAGTGCACGAAGGCAGTATTTTTCTACAGGAGGAGGAGGAGGAAGAAGAGGATAGCGATGGGCCATCCACATCCAAGAAGCCCTGCTATAACATCGATGATGATAGCAATATTGAGTTTGTAGAAATTGGAGACGGCGAGGATGAGGAGGAGTTGGTGGAGGAAGAGGAGGAAGAATTTATTGAGGATCCCAATTTGAATACTAAACATTAAGGTAAAGCCTTTCTTTGCTAAAGCAGATTTATTTGATTTGAATTTCCATTTTTGTGTTTTGTTTTTTTTTGCTACTCCATAATTTGAACACAAATGATGTCCGAAAATGACATTAATATGCATTCCATAGTACATATAATACTATATTCTAATGATAATAATAATAGCTACGTTTTAGGCTAAACTTCAATTGCAATTAACTAGCCAGAGTCTGGCGGAAGCAAATTTGATTTATTAAGCGTTGTGGTTTGGTCATTTAACTGCTGAAGATTGTGTGCGGAGCTTACCTGTAAATGAAATGATTAGATTTATAATTAAAATATAATATAAGCTTGGACTTACTGGGCTAATTGGTGTTATAACAATGGCTGTGCGCGTGGCACACTGCAGCAGGGCTGTGTCCTCAGTGGACTCATCACAGTCACCATCGGCATCCGCATCCACGTCCACATCCACACCAATATCACTGTCGATCTCCCAGGAGGGGAAATGTTCCATTTCGCCTTCACAGTTCAGATCCTCCTCCTCGAAGTCCTCGTACTCATCGATTAGTATAACTAAATGAAAGATTATTTTAACGTTTTTGTTAATCTATTTGTTAAGTGAAACACAAGTTTTTATGTTCGACAACAAATGACACTCACATAATGTCTGATGAATGTGTTAAAAAATTTATGTTCTAGAATCCCAATGAAGCCAAAAGAGTTATTCAATGTTTTTTAATCATTCAATCTTAACAGAAAAAATAAATCTAAATAAAAAATCAGGAAAAACAGGTACACATGCTTTTTATTAAAATCAAGAAAATCAAATAAAGTTAATAAGTAAATGATGAGGTGTTAGTTTTCGATTGAAAGTATAATCAAATTAAATTACTTGAACTATCTGGCGGCGTAGGCTTTGCACTGCTGTCTAGGGACTCGGCTCCCTCATCGGGTATGTTGATGCGTTGCTCCTGCTTGCTATACGGCTCCGATGTGGATCTTTGTAGGCTTTTTAATAGGGAATATATATTGTTTATATTGTATATATTTAATTACAAGCTGTAGTCACCTTAACGTAACACGTTTTTTGGTTCTATTCTCTAATTCAGTCATAAAAACATCATTGTGCTGCTGCTTGTCAGACCCCAGCTGATATGAGTTAAGCACGGAAGACTGTGAATTGTAATTATATAACTTAAACATATATTTTTATAAAATATTTAAATATTTGTAATTAATTACCTTTGTATTGGTCGCTGTATGCTGCATGTGCGGCGGCATTGGGGTTTGTGTGGCAATCGCATCGGTTGTCGTTGTGGCCGTTTGTGTGGCTGTCAAGGATCGCAGCTCGGTGCCATCGGTCACCGAGGTGGGATTCAGCAGCGGAGTGCTAATGGCTGCTGTGGTCACCTGCTCCGGATGCACACTAAGGGCCGCAGTGCGTTTCCACACATCGATCATGGCCAGGTTGTGGGCATGATGCAGGGGCTTGTGGTTAGGACTAATGGAATGTATTTTGGGCTTGGCTGGCAGCGGAAGAGCCAGGAATCTATCACGATCCTCCATGTACGCCTTGATTAGCACGTCCAGTTTCTCTTCGATATCAGCGACCTATATTAAGGATATAATGAAGATATATATATTTTGAAATTTGATTTTTTTAACAAAGATCTCACCTGCCGCTCGACTTTAACCACGCGGGAGGCTAAGCTTATTTTAGATGCATACACATCCTTAGCCTTGGACCCTTGTTTGCCTAGGATTTGATCCAGGCTGTAGATAAATTAATTTAAAATAGTATAACATTTTATTTTATTTATTTTTAGATTTTATTTTGTTAAAGTTCTTACCGCAAATGTAGCATTTTAACGCGACCTAACAAGTCAACGTGTCCTGAAATATAATGGTATTTTATATATTAATAAAAATTAAATATAAAAAGGATAACAATTATTTATGATTTTTTGACAATTTATTTTTATTTATTAATTAATTAATTAATTTTATTAAATGAACTTTAAATATAATTTATGACTCGAACTCACCGGCCGCATATTGCTCCATGACATCCTTGACGTCGTAGGGCTTCAAGGCCTCCTTGAATTTCCTTCGCGCCACAAAGTACTTGAGCTGCAAAAGCAGAACAATTTCCAAGATTTTCAATTTTAAATCCCAAATAATTTAAGAGAATTCCCAAAAGCAAAACCCAGACTCACCTTACGTATAAATCTAATGGCCGTCTTGTGCCGATTGGTTAGCTGCGTGCAGCGCGGCTCCTCATCCTCATCTGCGGGCAATTTGTGAATCAGAGAGATTGACTTGTGCGTTAGGTTTTGGTTGCTAGCTTCGCTTGTTGGTTATTTTTTGGTTTGGTTTTTATTTTTTGGTTTGGATATGGTTAATCAAGTCAACGTCAACGCAAATATACAACAACACATACAAAATTACCGTTACACACACATATGGAACAATTAGTAAATACACATGGATTATCATTAATATGTCAACGAGAGATATATAGACGTAGATATATAGTTATAGATGTAGATATAGATATATAGATAGAGAGAGCCTTAGTTAGTTAGTTGGGTAAATGCAAGGCCAAAGGATCATAATCACCATCCTTCAGCCTGGAGTTACTGAAGCAAGCGTTGTGGCGTGAGGTGTCGCTGTGTGATGGATGGATGGATGGGATCCGGATGAGGATGCGGATATGGATAGTCAGGTGGAGATTCAAGTGGCACCGATTACCTACTACGACTACAAATCAAGCTTCTGCTGGGAAGAGAGGGACACTCTACTACTTATGGGAAGAGGAATTGTGGAGGTCTTCATGCATTTAACCTAGCACAGGCGTTGGACTGGGCGCTACTCCTGGCGATACTCTCCACACACGCACTTGCCGCTTCGGTGGGCTGCGAGAATCCAGTTTCCAGGAAGTGCGTTGCCGCCGCAAAGAAGCGGTTTCGCGCGTGGCCCGGACTGCTGCCCGGACTCGCCTTGGTGACGGGCAGCGGCAGGGTGTTGCTTCGCTGGCACGTATCCTGCTGACCTTGGGCTGCATCCTCCAAGTCCTGATCGTTGGCCGGGGCCACTCTTGGCGAACGCAGCGAAAACGTAGAGCCCAAGAAATTGCCGGCAAGGAAACCGTAGAGCACCACCGGTATGGTCAGGTGCCGGTTGCTAGGCTTGGCCTGCTCCTCGGCTCCTTGATCCCCGGATCCAGCCGGTTCCTCCACCTCTATGACACAGTCCTTCGAGGGCTGATCGTCTGGAAACTGGGCCAAGGAGCCGGCACTGGCGCTGAGCTGGCTGCTAATATTGGCCAGTGTTGACGGCTGCTGCTGGCTGGCTGAGTGTGTTAAGTCAAGACAAGTGTCTGGATTATAGGGGGAAGGAGCCCGGGGGCGGGATCTCGAGGGGGGAGGAGTCGTGTTAGGCAACCAACCAACAAACAACATCAATTCAAAGTTCAATCAATCTTATCTCTGGGATGCATTGGATTCACAACATTGACACAACCACAACACTCAAATACAATATAGTGTGAGATATAGTAATCTGATATTGGATATTCGTATTGTAGGACCTGGGGGAGAGGACCTTGTAGACTTACCGTCTGAATTTTTAATATTTTTTAAGCAAGTGGTTTCAGCAACTGAATCTTCGCTGAAACTTGGATTCATGGATTTGCCGTTTTGTACTACCTCTGTAAAATTTTCAAATCGAAAACAATTAAACTCGAAAATCGAACTCCACCCTGTGGAGCTGCGTTTTGGTAACTGTAACTGGAATCGGATTGGTTGCCAATGTGTATATATAAATATATATCTGCGATTCGAGAGACACGGTACACGGTACACTCTATACTCTATGGGTCGTACAATATTGGAACATTCAACACGGTTGCGAAAATAAATATATAGAAAAACAAGAAAGGAAGCTAACTTCGGCACGCCGAAGTTTGTATACCCTTGCAGATTGGTTTTCATATTTATATTATAAATTATAATGCCGAAAACAGACACTAAACAGAGTTTCATAACATTTTACCTATACTTATTATGTTTACAGTTTGACAGTTACAATTATACATTCCCAGCTTTACATTTTCTCTACATCTACGGATCGCTTCTATGGCAGCTATATGATATAATTGTCCGATTTTCATAATATTGTTACCAAAATTTTGAAATAATACTAAAAGCTCATGTCTCAAAGTAGATGAAAATACGTTGAAAAACAACGAAGTTATAATTTTTTCTATTACTTTCCCTATCGTTCCTATGACAGCTATAAGATATAGTCGTCCGATTTTCATAAAATTTATACCAAAATTCTGAAATAATACCAGAAGCTTATATCTAAAATTAGATTCAAATATGATGAAAAACAACGAAGTTATATTTTTTTTTTCGATTAATTTCCCGATCGATCCTATGACAGCTATAAGATATAGTAGTCCGATTTTCATAAAATTTTTACCAAAATTCTGGAATAATATAAAATGACCATATCTTAAAAATGATGTAATAATTTAGAAAAACAGCCAAGTTATAATTTTTTTTCTAAAAATTTATCGAACATTTGTATGGCAGCTATATGATATAGTCGTCCGATCCGGCCCGTTCCGACATATATAGCAGTGAGAGTATATAGAAGACTATATACAAAGTTTCATTCAGATAGCTTTAAAACTGAGGGACTAGTTTGCGTAGAAACGGACAGACGGACAGACGGACAGACGGACGGACAGACGGACAGACGGACATGGCTAGATCGACTCGGCTGTTGATGTTGATTAAGAATATATATACTTTATAGGGTCGGATACGTCTCCTTCACTGCGTTGCAATCTTCTGACTGAAATTATAATACCCTGCAAGGGTATAAAAAACCAAGATAATGCGCCACAAGTGAGAAATCAAAACATCCAACTTCTAAGTACAACGAATAATTTTTGCTTTATTTTTTTAAGGGTTAAAAGTTATTTAAATATTGCTTTAGTTAATGCATTGTTTGTTGGTAAATTTAAGTAAGTCTTTGAGTTTTATTCGAATGTTTTTGATGGGGTTTATGTTGGGGTTTTAGAAGAAATGAAGGTATTAAAACCCTAAACTGTGAATTTGTGGTTATTCTTTTGAATTGTATTATAAAGTTTATTGATTTTTTTAAAGCTTTTAATTATTAGTTTTTTTTTTAGTTATTTTAGGTAAGCTTTTTTATTTCCTTTAAGTTTCAGAAGATATCAACAATAATTGTTGAATTATTCAATATTTTATGGTTCAAGCTACTAAATCTGCAGTTAATTAATTCGTAAAGTCTCCTGATGTTCAAAGACATTTATAGAGCCGCAATGTTTCAATTAATATCACATCAATGCCGACTAGAATTGTTTATTGTTTGATTAATGGCTAGTTTAATGACAATTTGTTTAAGTGGAATTTATTGCAGAACGTTGCATGCATAACAAAATAAAGCGAATAAAAACATATACTATATTCCCTAGAAATAAAATTTGGTAAATGACTTTCAATTTAATTTAATTTCCTTTTAATTTAGCTTGTCATCTCTTGTGTAGGGGGAGTGTGATTTCACTTGTTTTGGGGGAAAATTGGTGGAACTGCGTAAATAGCCAAAGAAATCTTGATTTTTTTTTGTTATTATTTGCTCAGCAATAATAAAGTTGGAAAGAACAACATGCTGGGGTCGAACAGTGCGTTTCGTTACAGTAGGTCAGAGTATATATTTTGAATTTTCTCAGGGATTATTGATGTAAAAGTATTTGTAAAACTCTTTCTTAAACGAAAATCTTTTAAAAACAATCACTTTTTTAAAGTTTAATTTTTTATATTCGCATTTTTGGGAGATTTCAAGTACCAGGATTTTTTAATAATTTATTTTATTAATATTCTAGAAATAATTTGAAAATATAATATTTTTTAAAATATTTTATGAGGAACCATTAATTTCCAAATACTTTCAAAAATTTCCTAGAAACCATCTAAAGTGTTAGGACAACTTTGAAGAGTTTTAAAATCTCTTGAGATTTCTGTAGACCAATTTAAATCTCTGACTTACTGCCACGAAACGCACCTTAAAATATCCTCTTCAGATCTGTGAGAGTTTTGTGTTTCGTGTGTGTGCGGACTGTGTGCAAACAGAAATTCGCAATGGAATGGAAATGGGGAAACATAAACGGAAATAGGAAAGAGGCCCCCAGGATGGCCCCAGCAACTTACCCAGATTCTCCACGGACGCATTGATGTCCCGTATGGTGCGGGTGTATCTCGTGGAGGCCCGCGAGGAGCCCGGCGGCTTGGATATACCGCTGCCATCTCCGCCGCCCGGAGTCTGGATCGTCTGGCTCTTGTGCCGCCGGATGGTGGGCAGCCGGGCCACGAAGGATGTGTTGTGCTTGAAGCTGGACGACGCCCGTCTAGAGGGGAAATAACTCTGTGTTAGCCCACGGATATTTGCACATTTCAAATAGTTGGATTTTTGAGGGGAGGGTAAAGATAGAAACGGTTATCTGGCAAAAGTAGGTAACAAGATACGGACTGTGTTTCATAGTTAAAGTGTGCGTGTAGCCGTGTGTGTGTGTTTGGTGTAGTTGCGCATACATACATACAAATAGAGGTGAGGAGTAAAAAACATTTAAAAAATTGGTGCTGAGGTAGAAAAAATTATTATTTGGACATTTACAAGTCATAAATGAGGTGGTTTGCAGGGTCGATCAGAAGCCGACTGCCTGGACTGTCCCGACACTCAAAGAAGAGCTTGAAGTAGCTTTTATCTTAGATAGCTTTTTGTATATTTAATTAGTACTATCTTGAACTATAACTAGGCATTATCTGTTTGTTAGTGCTATCTGTGATACACTTGCCCTAGACTTTATCTGTGTCACTTAAGTATCTTGAGGTGCTCTTCACAATCTCACTGACCTTAAGAGACTTATTGTCTCTCTTTGGGAAATAAAAACATTAAATATTTGTTTTTTAGAAAAAGAAATTAAGCCTATATTTATGAATAATATATTTCAATTATTTCTGCAAATGTTTTCTAAACATAAAATATCACTTATTCTGGCAACAGATATTTTTCTCTTAAGGGTAAACCACAAGTCACTTTTTTGGTGCCTACTTTTAGGCTCATTTTAAAAGGATTTTGAATTCCCTTTAGGTTTAAGAGCCTATTTGTAATACATTTTTAAATTAATTTTGAATATTAAAAACCCTTAATTAATAGGAAACTCTTAAGTATTCAGAAAACTATATTAACTTCTTAAAACACCCCTCAACCTTATGATATTTCATCACTTTAAGAAGAATTCCCCCGGACATTCAGACAATTAAACTCTATAATTACAAATTTAGATCATTAAAAGATCGGCTATTCCAATTTTGAGCATCGGGATTTCAAAGAACTAGGCATCGAGGTGCTGGGGGGGCAATTATCATATATAAGGCCGGGCGTAAAAAGGGGTGAGTGGGTGGTGGTGGGATATACAAGGTGTCTTCGTTTGGCTTGGTTTAACGGGGTAACGGGAGCGAGATAGAAACAGAGAGATAAACAGAGATAGAGAGATAGAGAATCGAATAAAAAGCTTTAGACTCATTTGGCTTCATTGAACTCACGTGTTAATTATAGATTACACACACATTTATATGCATTTTTATGAAGTTGGGGTTTTTGTTGGGCGCGCGGGCAGCAGAACACACACAAAATGAGAATCAATTCGTATTTCATATTGATTAATCGTATGTACTTCGGTCATTGAGGAGAATTTCACAAAAAATTTAGCAAAGAAATTCTTTCGAATGCGGCGGAAGACAGAGATGGAAAGATCGAGGCGAGAGAGAGAGACAGAGCGAGGCGACAGAGAGAGATAGATAGATTGAGAGACTGGTGCTGATGGTAAAAAAAGCTGCGAATTAACTTTGATTCGATTTTTAAATGTGGGCGCCATATGTCTACGAATGTGGGTGCTTTTAGGGGGCTGAGAGGAGCACCCCCCATATTTATAGAGAATGATTGGCATATTGCTTTGAGTCTTGCTTGGCTTTAGTTTAATTGCTTTTTGTTATGGTTGGTTATTCAAGGTTTACCTATATTCAGTTATGTTTTTTAATAATCGCTCCCAGTTTTCAGAACTGAAAATGTTTACAAAAATTATATTATCTATGGGAAAAAAGTAAATGATATAGAACTTAAGTGGTTAATCGGGGTGGTAAAAAGAGAGACAGACAGAGAGAGATAGAGTTGGGGGGGTGGATTCGATTTGATTTGATTTGATTTGGTTGATCGGGCTACACTCTATGTAGATATATTCTATAGTATATCTCTAGTTCTACCTACGCTGAGTGTATCGATTGATCAGTAGTGTTCTTGTTCTGTACATAGTAAAGTGTATTTTCGAGTTTCCAATCTTTTGCGCCGTTCTATGCGCTTCTCAAAATTTCTAGCTGGTCAGCTCATTAACACACTATATTTTACAGTTTATTTTTGATTTTTTCTTTGGTTATACACACCAATGCAGCTAGTGTTTGTGTGTGTGCGAGTGTTTGTGACTGTGTAAGTGTAATATCGTTTCTGTACAATAGTTGGTGGCACTTCTTTTCTGCAAAACACACCCCCAAGAGAGACTTAAGTATCATACAGATGCCCCGCCCACAAAATGGATCGAAATTGTAGCCATCGAGGATAATACTTACGAAGCCGGCGGACTGGGCAGTGCCACCTGGTGGATCTTCCATGTGGCCACCGACACGGAATGCTCGTCGGCCGCATAGCATCGCCACACGGCCTGGATGAGAGTGGCTGCCGGCTGCCGACGCCGGATCATGTGCTTCTGGCGCTGCTGCTGTTGGACCTTCAGGGCAAAGCCACTGCCCAGGATGCCCTGAAAAAAATATTTAAAAAATATATAGTATAAAGTAAGATAATTATAAATATATTTGAATAGCTAATACCTTTAATATTTTTTTATATATATGGTATATATATAATTAACTTACCGCTGGCAGTGCAAAGAAGGAGATTCCCAAAAGAGCACAACAGGAGGCAATTAGCTTGCCCTGCCAGGTAATGGGCACCATGTCTCCATACCCAACGGTGCACAGGGTAATCTAAAATCAGGAAAAGTTCAATAATATTTGCTTAATTTTGATAATTATTTATTAAAGTATTTATGACTTACCACACCCCACCAGAGGGCCTGGGCGAAATTGCTAAACTTATCATTGACGTCCTTCTCCCACATGTAGACTAGGAATGATGCAAAGATTAGACCTAAGAATCCTATATACATGGTTGTGATCAGCTCCTAGAAAAATAAAGATAAACAATTTTGTACAGCAAGTTAATTACAAAATATAATAATATCCTCTTAAAACTCGTAGTAATTCAAAATCTTATTCAACTCACCTGTCTGTGTGCGTATACAACCGAGCCGAGCAGCTTCCAGGTGCCGCCCCGTCGATCCATGCGCACCATCCGAAGGATCTGAAAGAACCGGAGGCCACGCAGGGCACTCGTGGCGAACACCTGGCCGGAGGTGCCCATGCCTAATACTACAATTGAGGCTAAAATGGTGATAATATCTGAAACAGCTTCCCTGATTAGCGCACAATCACCTTGATTTATCAGTTTAAGAATATTACCTATAATACAGAATGGTCGCTTCACGAACTTCAGCCGCCCCAGGCAGCCTTGGTAACGCGAACGGCAGCCCGACGACCACAAACGAGCTCCGAACTCCATGGTGAACCAGATGACCACCAGAATCTCCATGCGGAACAGGATATATACAGCGTCGTCCTCGTACTCCTTGATGGTGGAAAACACGCTTAGGGCCAGGCATGTAAACACCATCAGGAATCTGTAGAAAATATTTGAAAAATATATAAAAATTCTTTATAGAACTCTTATTTCTAATAAAATTTAAATTTCTTATAAATACTGAGATCTTAGCTTGTAAAATTAAAATCTAAAGCTTAGCCATGGCTTTAATATAACTACTTTAATGTTTATTATAATTTTAAATATTTTATTTTTCTAAATTTAAATTGTACTTACACCATCACATGGTAGAAAATGGCATGCAGGCCGCGTGGCCTCTCCAGGAAGTTGTAGAGGCGACTCTGGAGGCGCCGGTAGCGAACATCGCGGCGGGTGCCGCGATTATAGTTCAGCGGCTTCCCTAGGAGTGACATTCGCGGTTGCAGGATACGTTCCGAGTTCAGCCTGCCCGGTCTACATTTCCTGTAATCCACACATAAGAGAGAGAATGAGCCATTAGTATCTACACTCCTTCTCAGTACGAGTTAAGTAAGAGTACCCCTTGTACCCCCTGATGTCGTAGAAGGCATATATATCGTTGTCCGGATCCATTCTGATCTCATTCCAGCCCGGTAAACTTTCGGAAAAATCTCAGTTAAAATGTACTGACACACTTGGGACACGTCTGGTTCGAACGGCGCTTGAACCGCAACTCGATCGACGTCTAAACGTTGCCCGGTTAAAAAACCTTCCCTAACAACTCGACTTTCAAAAACCCCATGTGTAAATTTTATTAATTATCTACATAAACACTTTTTTTTATTTTTTCTTCGTTCCACACACCTTGCAATTTTACGACAAGCCATCGTTGTCTGGTAGACCTCTATTTGATTTTATTTTGATACCGCCCCTCAATATGTGTGTGGGTCCAAAGCGAGTATACATATATTGCACCTCGTCATCAACAACAAAAGTGCCATAAAAATTCGCGTATTTTAGCGACGTTTTCGTTTTGGCCGCTGTGGGCGGGTCAGGCTCTTTAGTCACGATCTCCCGACTTTGTCTTTGCCCAACGTGTCGTATAGCGATCGTACGTCATTAACATTAGGCACTTTGCACTTGCCGTACCCCACAAAATCACAAAATGGCCAGAAAAAAATGGGTGAGTGAGGGAGTGCTGGAAAATTACCAGTCGTCGATTGGCAATGGAAGCAGGGTTCTACACAGTTCAGGTTTAAATTGCTAAATTACAATTTTCATGCCTTGAAAAATATACGTTTCTAAATAAGAATTCTTCCAGGGGAACAAGTAGAGTTTGACCATAATATTCAGAAGAGAAGGTGAAACCCGAGAAGCCCTTTAATACAATATGTAGTTTGTTTATGGAGCTTCAAAAATTTATATTTTATATTTATTGAAATATCTATATTTATATTTTTTATATATGAAAAATAAAGTAAAGTATATTATTCATTATCTAGGGTGCTTCAGATATCACAAAAGTTTTTAAACCTTTTGAAAATGTGTCTAAAAGTATGCAATACAATTTTATGGAATCGAATTCGATGTGGATTTTTCTAATATGTTGTAAAATAATTTAAGACACCTTTATAAGAATAATAAAACCCCTAGATATTTCTATTAATTTTATAGTAATTTATTTTTGAAATATCTTATAGTTTTCTTAGTTTTCCTCAGAAATATGTTAAATCGTTGTACATGTTTCATTTCATACCGAAATTGTTTCATTTGTGACACCTTTTTAAACCATTTGATAGATTTTATATTAAGTGTATAAGCTTTTTGTTTTTCAATTTTTAAATCCTTATATATTTTCTATCTGATTCTCGGCGTAATTTCTAATTACAGACAATTAATAAGTGCATATTTTAATATAAATTAATATTTATAAATCCAGTTTGATCACATTTTTAGGTGGATTAAAAACACTCAACTTATACTAATTTGCAATTGCTTTGTTTAACATTTTAATGTATTTTGATCTGATAAAAACAAAACAAAGACTTACAAAGTATTATTATATATTTATGCAATAATTTTAATGACTAAGCTTAACAAAAAACAAAGAAATGTCCAATAAGGAAAGAGTTACGGGCTCATCTCTGATTTATTTTATAAATGAATCCCAATTATATATGAATCAGCTAAAATAACAACGATAGGCGATGGTCAATTATCGTGATTTCACTGGCTACGCTCCAAAGGGAAACACAAAGATATATATTTGTCTATATGCTAAGTGGACAAATAGCCATCATAAGCAGTTATTACTCTGCTAATTTTATGTGGGAAGCGGGAGAGCCAGTTCTCAGATTATATTTATTTTTTGCTCCCCAACGAACGAACAACTTTTCAAAGCTTTTCAGGCAAAGTAATTGAAGTGTCGAAGTCGGTTATCGACATAGACATCGAGATAGTCGTCAGACCGACAGCCAGTCAGTTCTCTTGGAAAGCTTTCCGTGGATCCAGAGAGTGCCTGTGCCCGTGCCCGTGCCCGTGCCTGTGCTGGATTGTTATGGTTTCGCCAGTTCGAGTCCCATGAGTCATGCCATATCTTATCTTCCAGCAGAGATCCCCCTGGCTTCCTGACCCCACTGAAAAGTGCTGCCCATCATGTGCCATTAAATCACTTAACGAGATCGGTAAATTTTAAAATTTTTTAATGCATTCTCGCAGGTTTTTTGTGAGTGTTTTTTTTTTCTTTTTGAGTAAGTGTATGTGTGGCTTAGGTTAGGCAGTAATTAAAATATATGCATGTACGATGTGGGTGCGCAATGCTCGCTTGGCCGTCTCAGAACATATTTACACAGTAGTAGTTCGCAGGGCAAAACGGAAACGCATTAACAGTAGAAATAAATGTACGTTAAGTATAAATGTTTCGTGTACAAGATCACAAGTTGTAGCACCGCCCAAAGCGGGGTATATGGTTTACCCATTCAGAAGATGTCAAGGAGGCTACTCCCCCCCCGTTCATTTCTTGGCATCGATGATGATCTCGTCGCCGGACTGCAGGTTGTAGCTGTAGAGCTGCTTGTTGGGGAATCGCATCTCCTCGGGGCCGAACTCCTTGTAGTCCTGGTCCAGGTAGAACAGACGCATCTTGTTGGGCGCCAGACCCACCAGCTTCTCCAGCTTGGCCTTCAGGTCGTTGACGGTCAGGTAAATGTCCACAAAGCGGCTCTCACTCACATCGTTGTAGGTGAAGACGACCTTGACACGCTTGTCTGGCTTCAGGCTGACGTTCACCAGGGGATCCAGCTTGCCGTGGACCTGGAGCAGCTCCTCGTAGCGCTCGGGTCGCTCCTCCTCGGGCTTGTCCATATAATACCTCACAAAGGCCCGCTCGGCATCTATCCGCTCGTCGGTGCTGATCTTGCCGCCGCCATTTAACATCTCCACATTGGGCAGCCTGGCGATGAGTAGCTGCCTCCGCTCGTGCTCCGTGCACTCCAGACTCTCCCAGAGGGGCCAGTGTTTAACACGGAGATTGCGCAGTTGCCCGAATTTGGCCAGCTGGTCGATGGCACTCCAGCTGTTGAGCTGCGCCGAGCTGAGATTGAGCAGCCTCAGGCTGGGGAAGTATCTGTGTGTGTCCTCCTTGCACTCCTCGGCCTGCAAGGATCGAATGGGACAGTCGGCCAGGACCAAAGCCTCCAGGTTGGGAAACAACCGGCCCAGGCGGCAGATCTCCTGCCAGTGCTCGACGGGATTGCCTGTGAAATGCAGTGTTTTGAGGGCTGGATGGGCTTTGGTGATTCTCCGTTCCGTTTCCTCCGGCGTCTCTGTGGCCTGCAGCCGCTGCTCCGCCTCCTCGGCATCGATTAGCACCTGCTTGTAGTTGTTCAGGCTGAGATGCAGTTCCTGGAGCACGGGCAGGTTCTGAAGCAGCGCATCCACGCACGCCCAGTCCAGGTAAGTGCCATTCAGCACCAGACTCTTGAGGTTCACCGTGGGAGCGGTGGAGGGCAAGGCACTGATGGGGCTGGCCAGCTGGTTCTTGCTCAGATTGAGGAACTCGATGCGCGGCATGTGCTCCAGTATGCTGAACACCTCCGCCCAGTCGCTGAGCTTGTTCTGGGCCAGATCCAGTTCCCTCACCCGCTGGCACTTCTCCCGGATGCTCTCAAAGTCGCCAGCCGAGTCGATGTCGCAGTCGTTGAGCACCAGCAGAGCCGGGACACTGGTCAGGGGCGAGAGGCGGGGTATGAAGATGGAGAACTCCATGCGACCGCCGCACTTGGTCACCGTAAAGTCATTGGGCAGATCGCTTCGCTTGTGCAGTTCCGGCTGGTGGGCATTCTCGAACTCGCACTCGGCGAAGTATTTGCGCTCCAGCGCCTCCAAAAGGGAAGGCATGATCCTGGTCCTAGTCCTGGTCTCCTTATGGTTCCTCTTCCTTCTGCTCCTGCTCCCAAGGTGGTAATTTAGTCCGGGGTTCTATTGATTTTCACCACTCTGGCAGGCATAGACTTTTCTAGTTTCGTGTTCTGTGATGCAATTTTTTCAGTTTTGCGCAGTTGCAGTCTTCATTGATTTTTAAACAAATTATTGCGCACGTTTCGAGTTCGTTGTTGTTGTTGTTGTTGCTGGTTGATGTTGTTAATATTGCGCACTAATTCGAATCGTTTTTTACGTGCTTCGATGTTCACAAAAAAAGAGTTGTAACAAAGAAACCAATGTGCGTCCGCTGGTCTCGGCTTATTCCGAGTCTCTCTCCTCAGCCAGCTTAGATGCGTTTTCCCTTTGTTTGTTGATTGGTATTTGGTGTTGTTGTTGTTTTTGCTGCTTAACCTTTGTCGCAGTGGCTGCTTTTCCACTTTTCCTCTTTTCCTCGCTTCCACAACGCTCTCCGTCCGTCCGCTCGCAGTGCCACCAAACGCTCAACTAACCACCGAGAACGCGCGAACTCCGCATCGGTCGGAATGGTATTATAGTGTCTATATAGACCTCTATATGCCTTACATGAGACCGAATCACTCTGTATGGGTGAGTCGTGCTCGGGACTGGGGACTCGGATTCGTATTCGGACTCGGATTCTGGCCTGTTTAGTGCTTTTTCTGTGTAGGTCGCTCGACATGCGCACAGGAGCGGTTCGCGCCACTAGCGGTGTGGTGGAGTGGTGTAAGCGATAAGTTCTGTTAAGAACTTATCGTATAATTTTGATAAAGGCCAAGAAAGTAGTGAAAATTTTAGTAAATAGTCAAAGGAACACAATTTTCAAAGCAATCTTTTACAAGGTAAATATATTGATTTGAAAATTAATAAACAAGAAAAGGGGAAAGAGTGGCTTAGCTACTGTTTCATTTTGGTATACTTTAAACTAAAAACATATTTATTCATATTTTTTATAAACAATTTAACATTATTGGGCCCGATTTCAGGCGCTTTTATTTGCCCGTCCCCCATGTAAAAGATTTGACAGCGACCTTGCAGCCGAAAATAAATACTCTTTTCAATTACGAAATTTAGTTTAAACTAAGACGGCAGAACAAATTATTTGTTTGGTTGCTCTCGCTTTTATTTTCTGCGTTTCTGGCGCAGGCCAGAGGCAGAAATAGAATATAGAATGCAGGGCAGGGCAACGGATTATTGAAAATAAACACACATTTACAATGACCTTGTCGTGTGCACTTGACAGGGCCCTAGAAAACATATATAGAATGTGGAACACGAAATTCTGACAACTGTCAAATTGGGCGCCCACTTCCCGCGGAAGGTGAGTGCGCCTCTGGCGGGCCGTGAGGAAAACCAGTTATAAAGTCAATGGTCATGCCACAGTAGGCACTCATTACATATGACAGGTCGCCATTTTTGATGGTGACTGACGGACTCTCAATTGGCAAAAGCCCCTTTGCTGGGCAAATAAATAAATTAGATAAGTGCGAATAAATAAATGTAAATTTTCAGTGACCTTGCTGCTCCTAGAGTGCCGTTACATGAGCGGTTCGTGTCAGTCGAAGGGGTTTCCACTTTGCCTTTCAGCTTGAAAGGTGCGCAATAGATTACCCAGAGAGCGGAGAGTAGAGAGTAGAGAGAGAGCGCGCGCCAATTTACAAAGCTCTCGCACACACAGCTGTGCTTTGTTGTCTCACGATTGCCCACCTCCCACCTCCCCCTGGCTTGCTATAATAACAAACAGCGGGACACAGCGGAAGGCGCACTCATATGTTTGTTTGCATTACGGTGCTTTTGCTTACAACAAAAAAAAATTACGCAGCATTTGTGCTGATGGAGGAGCTTTGGCAGCCACCAGCTGATTGTGTTTGGGCAGGAAAGCTCTGTCCCTTCCCCCACAACTTGCATCCGCCCCCCAAAAAGCTCACCAGCCATGTGCCACACACAAAAACAACAACGAACAAACAAAGCCCCAAAACAGATGGCAGGTTTGCTCCACTCATTGTCGCTCTCTTTTGTGCTTTTTTTTGTGTCGTTATGATTTCCATATCGAAGGCTGCGCTTTACAGTGAGACCTCTTTAAGTGAAGCCTAAGGGAGGCAAAATGATATTCATTTAGGAAAAAAATTGTATTGTTTTCATTAAATTTTAATGTTTATTTTTTCTTTAGTCTGAGGACTGAATTGTTATAAACAAATGTTCTTACAATATTTTATTGGCTATTGTTTGTAAATTTAATTTGAATGTCATACACATTTAATCTTTACATTTTATTAATTACAATCAAAAGTTTATTTAATTCACATAAAATGTTTTAAATATGGAAAAGATTAAATATTTGATGATTGAAAAACAAAAACCAATCTATAAACTACAATTAAAAATGTAATTCAAATTTAATAGGATCTAACAAGTATTATTAAATTTAAATTATTATTAATGATAAATTTGATAAAAAATTAATGATTACAGCTTGCCTGGAAATCAAATTATAGAGCTTTATATAGACATATTTCAAAACAAAACAGTTACAAAAGAAAAAACTTCGCAATCCCTAAATTTTGTCTGCTAAGTTTTACTTATTTCTTTATTTTATATAAACGGTTCTTGTTAAACATAAATTTCTATATTTTTAATAGCAGAATTTATACTGTAACTGTTTTTGTTATATTTGCACGCCACCGTTCCGCTCGACTGGAGTCAATTTGCGAATATTTCACTGTGCACATGGCCATAAATATGGCTGATAGATAAAAGTGTTTTGTGAACACATCACACACGGACGCATGCAAGCTAATATTTTGGATTGACAGCTTGTTGCAAATTGGTCAATGTCTGAGAAGGGTTCAATCAAGTTGCTGCATTTTTTTGTTCGCCCTTCATGCTTTACCTCTTTTTTTTTGTAATATTTCGTGTGTAAATAGAATGAGAAATTGAATATACAAAAACATTGGCAGGTGGAAAATCATCAGATATTTACATAAATTTAAGTCAATTTTATAGGGGGTCTTAGTGGTTATTTAAATAAATTTTTGAACTGAATTGTTGTGATACCAAATTCTAAATGAAATTAAAATAGGTTGGTATGTTTCAAAGGTCTTTTAAATATAACAAATTATTTTCTTAATCGATTGTCATATTTCAAAGGAAATGTTTTACCCTTTATTGATTAGTTTTAATCCACTAATTCTATATACATTTTCTTTAGTTTTTAACCCTTAAATCCCCAAATCCTACAAGTGTCTCGAGGTAATAAATTTCTAATATGTCAAAAGAACGCAATATTATTCAAAAGTTCCCAAGAGTATATAAACTGCTCAGCCACCCGAAAACTCACTGGGCCGCCGAAAAGCATTAAGAGCCTCTCGGTGGGAAGTGGTCAATGTCCCGCTGACCATTCCCTCCTTACACACTATACTATTCACTTTATGGGGCTCTTAACCCCAGAAGTCAATCACTTAAGCAGGCCTGAACCTGGGCCACCTACTCCGGACTCGGACTCGTGTGTGTTTGCATCTATCAAGTCATTAATTATGTCGACGAGCCACATCGCTCATTAGCCTATATGCGTTCTTCTCGTACGATATAGTAGAACGAGTCTGTTCCCGCTGCCATTGGGTCTATATTTAACCAAAATCGTTGGGACTTTTGCTTTTGCGCTTAGACTTGCTGGCACTCAAAAATATATTCATATATATATATATAATTTTCTGTTCTCCGCTGCCAGCCAGCGAAAGCAGAGCGGCAAATAAGTCATTTGTCAATAGAATTTTCATTTCACTTGACTGTCGTGGCCCGAAGACTTTTCTCCCCAGTGACCGGAGACGACGGATACGGACATAATTCAGTTGGGTCCTTTGGGCCACAGGTCACTTGGCATGTCACTACATTCCGTATATCATATATCATGCATCGCAGAATTTATTATTTGCTGATCTATATGCGCATTGATTTGCTTTTATTGGGGGGGCTTTTCATGAAGATGGATGCGCTCGGCGGTAATTAGGAATTTTGCTATTGCTTTCCAGCGATATAAATATTGCTTTTATGGCCACAAAAACGCTGGCTTTTGTTTACACATCGTAGCGTTGTATGTGTATGTACAAAGGCTCTGGTATAATCCAGCCCATCGAATTTTCAAATCGATTGCGTCAATTAATGCAGAAAAACTAAACGTGTTGTTGCTTTTGCTGCTCGTAAAGTTTCTAAAAATTGTAAATTTTGCGACGTTTAACGACTTTAAATGAATGGCACATACACAACCTCAGAAATGGCAGCCGTAAACAATGGCCAGAGATATGAAAATGGTTTGATATTTTCCCCCGACAGCATCTTCATTTTGTGTTGTTCGTCCTTGTCTTTGTGTCTCTCTCTCTGGCCAGAGTCTAGACAGTATTTTGAATTATTGCACATTGCCCAGTGTCAACAGCATCGCTTCGTGGCGGGTTGGAGTACATAGATGTGTCTGGTCTGTTCGGCGGCTAACCTTGCGTATGAGTAATTTCATTATGATTAGCCGTCGTCGTCGTCGTCGCCGCCGCCTTGTGCTGCATTTAAAATGAGGTCTGCGAGACCATTGAACGTGCATGATATATGAACAAATGAGGTCGAAAAATTAATTCAAAGAAATAGAAAAGGATATTATTTAAAGTAACTAATATAGGGATAGGGATCAATTTGCTTTCCTAATTTTGCAAGAATTTATTGAAGAACATTTTACTGAATAAACATCTTTAAGAGTGACTCCCAGAATCACTCCCTACATTGTTTTTTTTTTTCATTATTTATTTCTATTATTTTCCCCTTAGCTGTATGTACGCTTCTTTGACACATTTCTCAAAGGCAAAAACTTGGCTCGTAAATTTCTGGCTGAGAATTGAGAATCGAATCATAATAAAAGAAAATGTTTTTTCGTTCTCAAGCGACAAGAGCAAACAAATTGTTTAAATGATTGAGTGCTATGTGTGTGCTGTGCCAGCGTTGACAAGTCAACAGTCAATATTCACTTTATGGCCCGACCCTTCGATACTGTCGATAAGCAATTTATAATTTCATTTTTTGTTTTATTGTTCTTCCCCGTGACCGTTATACTCTGGTTTTTTTACGCTTCGACTAATTTGGTTTCGACCTCGTTCGGGGGTGGGGCTGAGGTGTCTGTCAACTAGCGTTAATTTAATATGCGACATTTGCACTTTTCGGTCAGCCCACCTCCGCTTATACATCCCCCATTCCCCTCGTGGCTCACACAATTCAGCAGAGACACCGCCTGAGTTGGGGTTCATCGGTTACGCTGGTATCGCTGCCAGTGTCATGTTCGTGGGGGCAATCGTTGGTTCAGAGGTGGCTCTGCTTGGGGTGGCTTTTCCCGGGGCGTCTCTCTGCGGTGGCAGATGGCGCTGGCAGCGGAAAGTTCAATTTAAGCAATGCACTTTATGCACTTTCGCTGGTCTACCCCAACGAGAGGGAAAGCGGTGGAAAATGCCGGGAAAATGGGTGTTATATTGCTCATGGTTTGTCATCATCATATCATCATGATGATGATGATGATGATGATTATGATGGCGGTTGGCATAGCTGAGCATCACGCATTTTTATGAAATTTACATAGTCTGAGAGCAGGACTTACTTTCAGAGGGGGAAGAGTAAGGTTCTGAGGCAGACAAAATTATATTTTTTATGAAATTCACTTTTTAAGGGTTATAAAAAATATGTTATTTGCATGCAAATTTAAAGTTATAGTCGAGTATATTATTTGGGATGGTTAAATTTGGTTTAAAATATTTTTATTTTGATACCTTTGTATT